AGATAAATAGATAGATAAATAGATAGATAGATAGATGTGTAGATAGATAAATAGATAAATAGATAAATAGATAAATAGATAGATAGATAGGTAGATAGATGTGAAGATAGATAAATAAATAGATATAGATAGATAGATAGATGTGTAGGTAGAAACATAGATAGATAGATAAATAGATATATAGGTAGTTAGATAGATAGATGTGTAGATAGATAAATAGATAGATAGATGGATATATATATATAGATAGATAGATGTATGTGTAGATAGACAAATAGATAAATAGATAGATAGGTAGATAGAAAGATGGATAGATAGATGTGTAGGTAGATAAATAGATAAATCGATCGATCGATAGATAGATAGATAGACAGATGTGTAGATAGATAAATAGATAGATAGGTAGATAGATAGATGTGTAGATAGATAGATAGATGGATAGATAGATTGATAGATAGATAGGTAGATGTGTAAATAGATAAATAGATAAATAGTTAAATAGATAAATAGATAGATAGATAGATAGATAGGTAGATAGATAGATAGATGTGTAGATAGATAAATAGATAGATAGATGTGTAGATAGATAAATAGATTAATAGATACATAGATAAATAGATAAAACGATAGATAGATAGATGGATAAATAGAAAGATAGATAGATAGATAGATGTGTAGATAGATAGATAAATAGATATATAGATAGATAGATAGATAGATAGATGTGTAGTTAGATAGATAGATGTGTAGATAGATGAATAGATAAATATATAAATAGATAAATAGATAGATAGATAGATAGATGTTTAGATAGATAAATAGATAAATAGATAGATAGATAGGTAGATAGATGTTTAGATAGATAAATAGATACATAGATACATAGATAAATAGATAAATAGATGAATCGATAGATAAATAGTTTTTTAGATAGATAGATAGATAGATAGATGGATAGATAGATAGATAGTTTTTTAGATAGATAGATAGATAGATAGATAGATAGATTAGATAGATAGATAGATAGATAGATATATAGATAGATAGATAGATAGATAGTTTTTTTAGATAGATAGATAGATAGTTTTTTTAGATAGATAGATAGATAGATAGTTTTTTAGATAGATAGATAGATAGATAGTTTTTTTTAGATAGATAGAAAGATAGATAGATAGATAGATGGATAGATAGATAGATAGATTGATAGATAGTTTTTTAGATAGATAGATAGATAGATAGATTAGATAGATAGATAGGTAGATAGATAGATAGATAGATAGTTTTTTAGATAGATGGATAAAGAAATATATTTTGTATTTTCAAGATGCCAGTGCAAAGTCTTGGGATGCACCTGGGACCTGGGATCCGAACACATTTTTTTCAGATGTCATCAGACTAATGTCTGTTTGGTGGTTTGGCACATTTTCCCATATATTGGGAATAATCATCCCATATATTGGGAATTTCATAATCCCAACTGACTGTCATATTTTTTCAGAGGGATCGGTATACCACCAACCAGATGTGGTAAACCCAATAGGAAAACATCACCCAAATCACCAGAAGTGGGCTGTAACTCTCATCCCCAAATGGTAAAAAATAACTTTTCATGCCTAGATGATCCCCTAAGATAACGAAATTGTTGATATTCTCCAATAACTAGGATCTTTACGGTACATACATCTATAGTTCATGGGGTTGTACACCAACAAACAGAACTTGGGGGCACCACATTGTAGATGATGATCCCCCCAATCTTGGTGATTGATTAATGCTGGTCACACTATGACCTACGCACCGTGGCCAGCTTGCAGGTGGCCAGCCCTGGGGGTGTGAAGTTCGTGAAACGGTGCTCCGAAGCCGGGGGGATTCAACCAGGGATACTTTGGATTTCTGGATCTTATATGAGCCTCGGTTTGGTGAAGGATGCAGGAATTCAACTCTTCTTTTGGCCATGTTTGGCCGGAAAACAAAATAAAGACGGATTCTACATAGTCAAAAATGGAATTTCTATTTGTCATTGAATCTCCACTTGTCATTTGTGCAGCATCATCGGCCTTGTTTGTTTCTGGGAAAAATCGCCAAGCCGCCAAACAATCATTGCCACGGCGCGGTTTATTTTGTGGTAGGTACAATTTAATTTTTTCCCGGTTCAATCCTGAAGCCTACTTCTTCGCGTTGATTTTGAACTTCCGGAACTTTTTGATTGGTATTTTGCCGATCCTCCTGGTTGCCTACAATGAATTGCAGTGCCTTGGACCAAATTTGGAAAAGCCGGTGGTAGGGATGTGTCCGACTGGTGGTTTCAGTTCAAACTTAATTTTGTACGCATTTTATCGCATTTCGATGTCTCATTTTTTGTAATTATGAATATAATATACGATGATTAATCATGATTTCTAGTCATGTGTACATTGGTGTGGGTAGTTGTGGGGACGGGTTCTGACCAACAAAAAAATCATTCATACGTATATAGTTGTTTTCCTTTAGATTCGTCTCAACGAACATTAGGACTTTAATCCCGACACATTTTGAACCTCGAGGGGCAGAAAAAAGAGGACCAGGTCGGTGACCCATTTTCAGCCCGTGGTATTTTGCGAGATGGGTATGGGCTAGACATTCTGCCAAACTTGGTTGAGTTCTCACATCACCGGGGCAGACGATTCTTTGGGTGATTCTGAGCCTGCTTGGTGGATTGAGGTTGATTTAAGGCAGAACAAGTAAGTGATGTAAATGAAGAAAGCATATACATTGCACATACCATACCAAAGTGGTGGTTGATTAGGGTACAGTGTCGTAAGATGTTGATCGGGATTATCATCGAAACTCAGGATAGGATCATCTCAGTTTACTGTCACGATCTCCATATCCCCATGAATTATTGCCGTTATATTGCATGGGTGAGGCCAGCTATAAGGTGACAAAGATAAAGCCGTAACTATAGTTATATTCTCCTTTTACCACAAACGTCAATCAAATTATAGGTCAACTGAGCTATCGTTCAGGGGCCTCATCTTGCAGTTAAATCCCCAATCATCCAGACGGCATTCTGCAGAGATCGCAGGTTCTTGTCTCTCACCATGACTGTGGCCGTCTACGCGCTTTTGCAGGCTCGATTTTGGCCCTGGCGCACCCGCCTCTCCAACATCATGGACGCTGGGCCATCACAGCAGATGGGATAATTGTAGCCAACTATAGTAAAATAAGAAGATTTAGTGTGACTATATTGGCAGGGAATATTATACTGTATATGGTGATAAAAGGGGAGGAATAAAACATATCTAATCCCATCCCATGGTAATATTGAATATATACCCATTCTATGGTCCCAAATATGTGTAAATCCACGAAACCATACTAAACCATGCTTTCTGGTGGTGTTTAATATTAGGGGGATGGGATTAGTGGGTTGAGGTTTCCTGTCTTATGCCATGGGTGAGATTGCGAATAATTACTGTGTAGGGATTCTGGTTTCAAATTTGCAAGAACGGCAGTGATTTGTCCGCAGGGAGTGTATGATTTCGGCATGTTTATCGACCCTTGCTGGATCCAGACTTGGAGATAACTTCACCATTGATTGATATTGATATGGGGAAGTGCAAGAGGAAAAAACGGAAGTTTTAGGGGAACTGCCTGAAGAACACGGCATTTTTGGGGAACCTCTGTAAACATATCTTGGGGAACCTACAGGCGCTTTAGGTATGTCATGATATATTCACTTCTAAGTGGAGGCACATTGACATGTCAAATCCCTTGTACCAACAGCATTGGCTCAAATGAGACAGACAGAGGCATAGATCCATTTCGAAGGTGGTAACCCCCAGGTTATGTTTCTTGGTTTATATAATCCGCGTCAACTATAGAGATAAACCATGATAGTGCCAAACTTCGGGATGCTGAGAACCCACCTGTTACTGTAGCACCACAAGCCATGGCGACCTATGTTATAGATATGAATAGCTATGTATAGATGACGAAAATAAGGAGAAACCTTCTAGAATATGTGACAATATACTGTTCTATTTGCATGTTTTGGTGGCTATGATATAATGTATATATATATATATAAGTGTGCATGCATATGTTTATTTACATATGAATATACATATATATGTGCATAAGCACATATACGCACACGTCTAATTCAAGTCATATTACAGTATATATGTATATACATTTTTTCACCCAAGAAAAGGAGACATCATTTCACTGAGGATTCCTGTTTGGCCCTCTTCTTGATGGTCGTGATAGTTGTGGGTAGCATGTTGTTGGACTTTGACAGCTCCCGAGGCTGACGGGTGGCATAGTGAGCAAGTGGGTTTCACTGCGGAAGTTTTGACACTTAGGAAAATGAATATGTGTCCTTCCTCCTTTTCTTCCTTTTCTTCCTTTTCTTCCTTTTTTCCCTTTTCTTCCTTTTTTCCTTCTTCTTCTTCTTCTTGTTTGTTTTGTTCTTTGTTTTCTTCTGTTAAGTCCCTCTGGAGGTAGCATACAGCATTTCGATGCATGTTGCACAAATTTTGGTAGCTTCTAGCCAGCCTTCATTTTGGGACTTGGAACGCTTTCCACAGTGAGCCCTTTTGAAAGCGACCCCATGCGACCCCTTTTTTACCGACAAACGTACGTCGAGTGCTCTTTTTCGTACGGTGTTGTGCAGTGGGTTTTCGCCAGGAAACACGACGATCCAAATGATCCTGATCGTGGGCATGGTCCTGGCTTTCATCGGCTTGCTGTTGGTCTTTTGCTGGGCGGTCTATCGCACCTACCATCCCTCGAGGACATATGGACTCGCGGACCGCATAGCGGTGACCCTTCAAGGGGTCACCAGATGATGGACCCAGGCATCTGGAAATACTCTAATTTATATGGAAAAATATATATTGGACATCTTTGGGGATGAATCTTAAGATTTAGATCCAGCCAAAGGGTTTGCCATGGGGTTGACCATGGCATATCATGGCCCCAGATTCTGCTAGGGGATCGTAGATGTTCGGAGGGGAATGTTCCAGACCATGAAAATGACCCTATTATATTAGTCATATCAAAATCAAAACCATAAACAATTGACATTCACACTGCACACCAAAGCTTTTCATGTGGGAATGGGCCAAAACCTATGAACTTATACCATTTTTGGGGTACTAAACATCCTTTAGCCAGGTTTTTTTGGGGCAGCTCGGGTCCTAGGCTTTTGATTCAGGGCCCCACCGAGGAATTTTCCTGAGCCACCACAAGCTCGGCGCTGCAGTTCTCTCCAGGTAGAATGGCCATGTTGGGTGGCCGAAGGTAGGAACATGAGGATTGATACGGGATGTATATTGGATATATATTTAGTTTATATGGCTGGTTGAATCCCAAGTTCGTTGGCGAAATCCCTTCAAGCAAGGTTTGATCCCAATTTCATTGCTGAAAACTCTCCCTTGAAGGCCGAATGCCAAGGTCAACCTCATGGGTGATTCTACCCGTCACTGAAGTGTCTTCAATCGACAACTCTTGGGTTTGGTTCAACCTTGTGGATCTTTTAGCATCTTTGAATATCTTATTTTTGGGGATTGGTTGATTCACATCAAAATTGAACGGTTCACCTTTTCCGTTCAACTGTTCCGTTCAACTGAGCGTTATTTTTGTTTGAAAGGTGAGCCGTAAGCCAGATCCCATGCTGGATCCCAGATGCTCACAGTCGCAGGTGGTTCAAGATGCTCTTGGCTGAGATCACACCCACCCGTGTTTTCTTGGACTCGGATGATGTCAGCAAACTGGATGCCATCATCAATGTCAGCTCTCTGCATTGGCTGGGATGGGGTAATTAAACGCAAATATCAGATATTTATATATATGTGTGTGTATATGTACATATATATACATACACATGTGTATATATATATATATACATTGCATGTATATATGTAATTTATTGTCTATGGTCACATGTGTGTGTGTGTGCATGTAAATGCATACATGAACAAAAACTGAAAACCACCTAAATACAGTAAGGTAGAACACTATAATTACATCAAATACATGTTTGCTCGCTCGCAATGAATAGCATTGAGGTATAAAGCCGAGTTACTCTCCAAGTATGGCCGCTCTGTTGGGTGACACCCACATTTGGTTGGCGAGATCATTATCGATGATTCAATCCCCACCCATTTTTCACCAAGACAATTGCCATTTTCAGATATCAGAGAGTGGGATTGTCCCAAGTCTTGGAAGCCCATCCCACTCCATAGTTGATCATCACTATCATATTTCTTACTTTTTAACCCATGGCTCGGGCCATCAAAAAAAACCGACATTTTGAGACAAACCCTACCCTCGCCCCGGGAGCGTTCCGGGATGGGCGTCGCTGTAGGTCACGGCCTGGGATTCGGAGAACGTGGTGGTCCTGATGACCAGCGAAACCCTGAAGCGCATGTGGTGTGCCGCAGAGATCGCTAGCGCGTGGGCGGCCAGAACCAACATCGTGCTGGTGAGTTGTGATGGTGACCTGGTGAGGGATGGGGCGGGAGAAAACTATTAGTTTATAATCTAATAATTTGGCTTATATAAGAGTTATCAAGGAGGGAGGGAACTGTTGGGTTTGAGCTAGTGATAAACTATGGTTGATTGGTGGGAGATCCAATGCCATAAACCTACCACTTGGGAATGTTGAAATCCCTCCCATCAGTATGGGGTTTACCAGACAGGGATATGAATGGAATACCAATGGGGATACATACAATGGGTTTATGATTATAATTGTGATGGTGGCTTTGTTCCTTTGAAAACATATGGCACTTCTATGGCTGATTTCACCATGAATAAGCGCTCACTCTCTCTATATATATATAGAGTTTTTATTGACTATCAAAGACAGATGTGGTTGATTTTCGTTGTTCCCAACTATATCATTTGGATGGATGCCTTGATGGGCTGGTTAATGGTTGGTATAATTGGACTATCTATGACGATTTTATGGGGATAGATCCTACCATTCTGTGGGGATGTGATTGGGACCTGATGGGAGAATGGCGTTTTTTTTGCCGTAAACCCTACGTTTTGATAGTTAGAAAACCACTCGACTAACGATGGGGCATCACCTTGTATTTTCAATATAATATACACATAGGTATCATAGGTGTATAATATATATATATACATATATATATATATATGTATAGATGTATGTGTATATGTATATGTATATAAGCACATCTGTGACATATTTGGAAAACTAGGCATGGATACAATAGAAAAGGACTAAGAGGCGTGTGTGGTAAAAGTTACTGTTTTGTGGGTGTAGAAAGGATGAGAGACACACAAGATGTTGCTTTGTCTAGTTTGTGAACGTAAGGTTGCTGTGTCTAACAGAACATAGTTATAGTTATCGACTCCTTAAGGCCTCACCATGAGTGATGGGGCTCCATACGGGAAGGAGTAAGGGAAATCGTCAGAAAAATTGCCTGTTTTAGGTATTTATGACTTGCTGTTCTTCAAGTTTTTCTGGGCTAAATCATGAAATCAGCCATTTTTCGAAGGCGTTAAAGGTGGTATTTTCCTGTGGGCTAAGTAACAAGATCCATGTAGTGGATGCATGAAATTATGGGCAAATGGATGGAAACACTGGGATTGACACTGGTGGTTTCAAACATGAATCCATGGAAGGTCCCATTCACTAGCCAAGCGATTATTTCCCATCGCATTTTTTCTATCTCAATCCGCACTTTGTATGGCGTTTCTAATCGGTGTATTGTGGGTGAATCTCCCCAGTTAGTAGGAATTTTGTTCAACGCCTTATGGAAAAATAATCCGAAACAATTTTAATTTGGTAGATAATCGCCAAAAAGCTGCATTTATATTGGTATTGGTAAGTAATTTGCAGGATTTTGATGATATCAACAACAAGTTCTGTAAATCAATCTATTGAAGATCTCCTATTCCTATGGTATTTCTTATGTCCTGATGTTTGTTGGTTAGTTCATCATTTACGGCCATTTATAGCGTCTTTTAAGGTTTGGCTGATCATCCCCATAGTTGATGACATTCCTATGATGAACCTATTCCCCAGTTCACAATGAAGAATCATCCACATTTATGGCTATATAAATTATCCCGACATCCTGAAATAATTGATAAACTTTTTTTAACCCATTAAAACACCTTTTAAGCAAGTTCAAACCATATGTCTGTTCCTGGTTAAAAGACACCTAAACTCTCTGGAAATCGGGGTCACCGACGGTCACCGAGCTCCTTCGTGTCCGAGGCAATGGCTTTTCACAGGAGCTCTTGGAGATGATTCCGAGCCTTTGGACCGAGGAGCAGCAGGCGACATTGGCCAATGCAGGAGACGGCTATCCGGACTCGATGGGATCCCATATCCCAAGGTGAGCACGTGCTTGGTACAAACTGGCCATTTCCTATAGATTTTGTAGCAAAATTTAAACATATGGTCAAGAAATGGAATTTGTAGCTGTAGCCTGTGTTAACATTTTGCAGTAGGGCATGATCTTCATTGATAAGACCAATATTACTAAAAAATGCACTTTGTAGTTTATATGTTCGCCTCTACCTTGTGAAGGTGAGGAGTCATTTTGTAGTAAATGTTGGATGTTTTTTGTAGTAAATTCCGGGGTAGACCGGATAGAACCGCAGACTTTGATAGATTTGTGTGTTGAAATTATGTAAAGCTAATGATCCCAGTTAACAGATTTTAAAACCAATCGTGTGAGATTCATAGTGTGCGGTTTAGTTTTTTGTGTTGCTCCATAGCTTTGCCAATCGTCATAAATATTCTCTGAGCCGTGCCTGGGTTTGAGTTTTTGGTGATCACAATCCACGTGCATTCAATTATATATACTAGGTTGGTGCTCTTTTTTGTTCAATAGTTGTATTTTACCCAAGTTCAAATCCATGCTCAAAGTTTCTTTCAACCAAGTGAGCGCAAGTCCCATTACAGGACCTTGCGGTAGGGTATGATATAGAATGATATAGATAGGTACAGGCACACGATAGCCGAAACGGCCAAAAGGAGCAAACAATGCCGTAGGTCATCAAAATTAAAACCATGAAAACATATGTTTAATTTTTCAGGAAAAATGTTGCATACTAACTGGTGATTGTGCGTATCAAATTCTTTTTGTGAAATGGCGGTTCCTTGAACTCCGCGGGGCACAGTATGCAAGGAATGCCCATTGCGGTCCGCATGATGTCATCCCGGCACAAGTTCACTCCCAAAAACAACACAGGGGGATAGCTAGGGAACCTCACCCTTCTTTTTGTATCATAAATTTGTGTATCATTTTGTAGCAGGCTGTCCCCGGATCATCCAAAATTATCGCAAATTCATGTTAGGCGTTAACTGGCGCTAGAATTTCAGAAGCATGAATAGTTGTCATTGTTCTAGAATGGTGGCCACTTCAAACGGCCTCACAGCTACCAGTCCTCACCACCGAACCAGGAGTGAACATGCAAATGATCCTGGACTCCTACGAGGGTTTGTTGAAGCGGAAGGCCATTCCGTTGGACAGGCGAGGTGGCAAGACCGAATTGCACAAGGATGCGGTGAAGGAAGTGGCCCCTCGGCGCGGGAAAAAAACCCATCCACCAACGGAGAAACTAAGGCCCCCACGTTGTTGCTTTAAAAGGGCATCTAACTATCTAACTTATCTAACTACAAGCCTTCAGCATAAATCCAATCGCTAGCCTAGGTAATTAAAAACCAATGTTTAAACATATTTACCAATCGTTTCAGGGCCCCATCCACTGGTTTTTCCTGAACAAGCTCACTGGTTGATAATTCTAGGGGTTTACACTTGCCACTGCATTGGAGATCATGTTATCAAAGTCCATGAATCGTCATTGACCAACCATCATTTATGTGGGTGATTCTCCAAAATCAACTGATGCTACTCATTGCCAGCAACCATTGTCCGGGATATTCCGATGTTCCAAAATCAACTGGCACTGACATGGTTTCTAGGGGAGTCTAATATGAAGCAGGAAGTGAGGAAGGGATTAAATCATACCCCCTTAAATTCCTATGAATCACCGTTAAGTCCCATTAAATCCCTATTGATCACCGTTGAATTATGATAGATTCCCAATTCTTCTCGCAGTGGATGGCTCCCCGGTGCCTAGGTGGCTCAGTGCAAGAATCTCTCCAAGCACATGTTCTCCTCCATGAAGAGCACCATGCAGCGCCTCTCCTCGCGGCTGGGAGCCGAGAGCGCTATCTTGATGCTGGGTGCCTGGGTGCAGAAAGTGACGATGTTTACCATTGAAAATCAGCAAGGTGAGCCGATTAGAATCCAATAAAAGCTTCTTAAGATGGGTCTATTCCAAATCATCCAAAATTAGAATGAAAATCCATTGGAATCGGGGGGACCCTATTTTCAGACACAAAAGATCAATGTGCTTGAATGAGGCAAAACTTTTGTGGCACATAACCTATATCACATGATCCATTAATCTAACATAATCTAGCCCAATGATCAAACCCATTCATCTAGGTATGCCCGGGATGCACCTCCATTTTTTTGGGGAAGGCTATAGCGTCCTCTGAATGAAGTTTGAAGTACGTTGGCTGGGGGCAACGGTGTTCTAATGTGTACTGTATCCATATTTATTAACATAGACCCGGGCAAGCCGGCGGCGGAAGTTTCCCAAACATAAATGACCTATAGTTCAAAGACACCCTGTCCCGACCGTGTCCTTCCCTCGACACTCCACACCTCACACTGCACACTGCACACTGCACTCTTCGCACTCCAAACTTCAAACTTCACACTCCACACTTCTCACTTCTCACTGCTTCCTTCACACTCCAAACCTCACACTTCACACTTCACACTTCACACTGCACACTTCACACTTCACAGTCCACACTTCACACTTCACACTTCACAGTCCACACTTCACACTTCACACTTCACACTTCACAGTCCACACTTCACACTTCGTACTTCACAGTCCACACTTCACACTTCACACTTCACAGTCCACACTTCTCACTTCGCATTTCACACTTCACACTCCACATTTCACACTTCACACTCCACATTTCACACTTCTCACTTCTCACTGCTTCCTTCACACTCCAAACTTCACACTTCACACTTCTCACTTCGCACTTCACACTCCACACTTCTCACTTCTCACTGCTTCCTTCACACTCCTAACTTCACACTTCTCACTTCGCACTTCACACTCCATACTCCACACTTCACACTTCTCACTTCTCACTTCTCACTGCTTCCTTCCCACTCCAAACTTCACACTCCAAAACTCACACTTCACACTTCTCACTTCGCACTTCGCACTCCACACTTCACTCACACTTCAAACTTCACAGTCCACACTTCACACTTCCCACTGCTTCCTCCACACTCCAAACCTCACACTTCACACTTCACGCTGCGCTCTTCGCACTCCACACTTCACAGTCCACACTTCACACTTCTCACTTCACACTTCTCACTGCTTCCTTCACACTCCAAACATCACACTTCTCACTTCGCACTTCACACTCCACACTTCACAGTCCACACTTCACACTTCTCACTGCTTCCTTCCCACTCCAAACTTCACACTCCAAACTTCACACTTCACACTTCTCACTTCGCACTTCACACTCCACACTTCACAGTCCACACTTCACACTTCTCACTTCTCACTGCTTCCTTCCCACTCCAAACTTCACACTCCAAACTTCACACTTCACACTTCTCACTTCGCACTTCACACTCCACACTTCACTCACACTTCACTCACACTTCACACTTCACAGTCCACACTTCACACTTCTCACTGCTTCCTTCACACTCCAAACCTCACACTTCACACTTCACACTTCACACTGCGCTCTTCGCACTCCAAACTTAAACTTCACACTCCACGCTTCACACTTCTCACTTCCCACTGCTTCCTTCACACTGCACACTTCACACTGCACTCTTCACGCCCCACACTTCACACTGCTCTAAACCTACGTGCAACAAAAAACACTAGCGCCAAAATGGAGAAAATCTGCTAACAAATCCATGTCGCAGCCTTCATGCAGCCACTCCAATACGATTTACGAGATCGAGCTGCAAACGACAATAGTATGACAAATGCAGCCACAGCACGAAGCAACCTTGACGCAGCCATTACAATGCGATCTGCAGAGACTGAGTTGCAAAACACAATAGAACTACACACAACGGCGTCGGAAATTGTGGCTCCAAAACCAGATCTCGACGCCAGAGCGAAAAAAAAGACGATTTTGAAACACTTTTTAAAAGGATTTTTAGAAAGAAAATCACTAGCGCCAAAATGGAGAAAATCTACTGACAAATCAGTGTCGCAGCCTTCATGCAGCCAATCCAATACGATTTACGAAGTCGAGCTGCAAAAGACAATAGTATTACGAATGCAGCCACAGCACGAAGCAACCTTGACGCAGCCATTACAATGCGATCTGCAGAGACTGAGTTGCAAAACACACTAGAACTACGCGCAACGGCGTCGGAAATTGTAGCTCCAAAACCGGATCTCGACGCCAGAGCGAAAAAAAAAAGACGATTTTGAAGCACTTTTTAAAAGGATTTTTAGAAGGAAAATCACTAGCGCCAAAATGGAGAAAATCTGCTAACAAATCCATGTCGCAGCCTTCATGCAGCCACTCCAATACGATTTACGAGATCGAGCTGCAAAAGACAATAGAGTATGACAAATGCAGCCACAGCACGAAGCAACCTTGACGCAGCCATTACAATGCGATCTGCAGAGACTGAGTTGCAAAACACAATAGAACTACGCGCAACGGCGTCAGAAATTGTAGCTCCAAAACCGGATCTCGACGCCAGAGCGAAAAAAAGACGATTTTGAAGCACTTTTTAAAAAAAAAATTAGAAGGAAAATCACTAGCGCCAAAATGGAGAAAATCTGCTGACAAATCACTGTCGCAGCCTTCATGCAGCCACTCCAATACGATTTACGAAGTCCAGCTGCAAAAGACAATGGTATTACGTATGCAGCCAAAGCAGGAAGCAACCTTGCAATCCCATTTACATTGCGGGAAGGATACTACAGTTGCAAATCACAATGGAATTCCATTGGCAACTCATCCACCAGCGCCACTTGCAATCCCATTTACATTGCGGGAACGATCCTACAGTTGCAATTCACAATGGAATTCTGTCGACCGCACATAGACGAAACACAGTTGAAACCCCATTTACAATGCGGAACCGATCCGAGACCGATCCGACCATGATCCGAGGATGATCCGACCACACACGAGACCGTCTCGCACCCGTCGCGTCGCAGAGGTAGATCATCGAGGTTCGGGGACAGACTTTGTTTGTATGGAAAAACATAGGGTTTCGTGCATCTGCTATCTCTCAAAAACGCATTTCGTGCGAGACTTCCTTCAAAACTCCATCGGCAACTCATCCACCAGCACCACTTGCAACCCCATTTACAATGCGGGAACGATCCTACAGTTGCAAATCAAAATGGAATTCTGTCGACCACACATGCACGAAAAACAGTTGAAACCCCATTTACAATGCGGAACCGATCCGAGACCGATCCGAGACCAATCCGAGGATGATCCGAGGATGATCCGACCACACACGAGACCGTCTCGCACCCGTCGCACCGCAGAGGTAGATCATCGAGGTTCGGGGACGGACTTTGTATGGAAAAACATAGGGTTTCGTGCATCCGCTATCTCTCAAAAACGCATTTCGTGCGAGACTTCCTCCAAAACTCCATCGGCAACTCCTCCACCAGCACCACTTGCAATGCCATTTACAGTGAGGGAACGATCCTAGAGTTTTAACTCTTTCTTTGACTAACTCTTTCCCTGACTAACTCTTTCTTTGACTAACTCTTTCTTTGACTAACTCTTTCCCTGACTAACTGTTTCTTTGATAACTCTTTCTTTGACTAACTGTTTCTTTGCTAACTCTTTCCCTCACTAACTCTTTCTTTGACTAACTCTTTCCCTGACTAACTGTTTCTTTGACTAACTCTTTCTTTGACTACCTCATATATCCTGACTAACTCTTTCTTTGACTAACTCTTTCCCTCACTAACTCTTTCTTTGACTAACTCTTTCCCTGACTAACTGTTTCTTTGCTAACTCTTTCTTTGACTAACTCTTTCCCTCACTAACTCTTTCTTTGACTAACTCTTTCCCTGACTAACTCTTTCTTTGACTAACTCTTTCCCTCACTGACTCTTTCTTTCACTAACTCTTTCCCTCACTAACTCTTTCTTTGACTAACTCTTTCCCTGACTAACTCTTTCTTTGACTAACTCTTTCTTTGACTAACTCTTTCTTTAACTAACTCTTTCCCTGACTAACTGTTTCTTTGACTAACTCTTTCTTTGACTAACTGTTTCTTTGCTAACTCTTTCCCTCACTAACTCTTTCTTTGACTAACTGTTTCTTTGCTAACTCTTTCCCTCACTAACTCTTTCTTTGACTAACTCTTTCCCTGACTAACTGTTTCTTTGGCTAACTCTTTCTTTGACTAACTCTTTCTTTGACTAACTCTTTCCCTGACTAACTGTTTCTTTGACTAACTCTTTCTTTGACTAACTCTTTCCCTGACATTCTAAAAGTCCGTAACACGGAAGTTTCTCCCCCTAAACTTCCTTTGATAACTATAGATAGATGGATAGATAGATATATATATATATATCACCGTCCGAATTTCCTCTAGGAAATGGGGTCGCCTGGGCGACAAAAAAGTGGTCATGTTCTACGTGTTTTCTTTAAATGTGTGATTTTCTAGAGAAACCAGTTTTGATATGTTGTTTGGTCAAATTTTTGGTTCGAGTTTCTTTCCTCTTACCACTCATTTTCTAGAGTAAAATTTAAAATCTGACAAAAAACGCTACGACCTTCTTCAAGTAATGCTATAAACCACCTCATTTTCTAGAAGAATATCAATCATGTTGATTCAGATCACATTTTCTAGTGTTCGTTCCTTTAAAAAAACAAATATTTTCTAAAAAACGAAGGTCGCACATTTGATTTCTAGAAAAAACAAAAATCCTATTGAATGCAACCCATCACATTTTCTAGAAGTGGTATTTGCATATCATTTTCTAGACATAAGATCTCATTTCCTAGACATTAGAGATCTATAGAGATCTATATATACATATTATACACTATATACAGTGTATATATATATACATGACACACACACACACATATATATATAGACTATAAATATATATATAGATAGATACATACTGGTGATAAAAACATATAAAAAACAAATCTTCATTTTGTAGTGGTGGGGTGTCCCCTTCAAGTAACTTGACGATAAAAACCAATCTTCATTTTGTAGTGGTGGACTTCCCCCTTCAAGTAACCTCATGATAAATACCAATCTTCATTTTGTAGCAGTATCATGTTGTCATTTTCCGTAACTCTGTGGAGGTTGAGAACCATCATTTTATAATGGCTGAGGTTAGGAACTTTTTGCAATTCCTACAAAATGAGGGTCTCGACCCCATAGGTGAAATTCAAACCGGGATACATAAACCACTTTCCAAAATAACATCCTAATCCTATTCTCGGTAACTACATTTTTTTGGCTCAAAGCACATTTGTGCATCAAAGCAGCACCGATTGCACCAAGACCGCCATGGAAGTATATTTCTGAAACTAATCCTAGCATTTCCTAGATATGTTATTTGTCTCCTAGTTTGCAAAGGCATTTTTTGGAGATAAATTTCTGAACATAATCCGATACATTTTTTAGGCATGCTTTCTTTCTCCAAAATTTTGTGGCATTTTCTAGAAAAACAATGACAAAAAATGTTCGAGCTTTTTCTTTAAACATGTCATTTTCTAAACTTGTTTGATCCAAAAGAAAAACAAAAAAGTTCGAGAATTTGGCCTCTCTAGAAAATGTATTCAAAAGTGGATTTTAGTACCCCCCGGATTTTTCATGCCTAGTCATTTTCTAGAAGTTTTTTTTTCAAACGACAGCATTTTCTAGACCACTTACTTGCCAGTCTCTATAGGAAAGGGGGTAGTCCAGGTGCCCTCTCTGATTCGGACGGGTGTATGTATGTCTGTGTGTGCGGGTGGTGTCCCTCTATGTGGAAAGCACTGTTCTTTCAAATGAAATATGTTGAAGGCTTGGATGAAGCAATCAAAGAGTTGGAGAATGACCCTTGGAAGATGTAATGTGGGCAACCCAATGCCATAAAGGTATGATTTGGTGATGGTTTATAGTACCCATTTATGGTGATCCTGGGGATGGTTTATTATTGGCTTTACCACAGTATATAACTTTTCCCCTTGAACTTCGGTGTGTTGGACTTCATGCTTGTTTCAAGTATCGTTATCCCTGCCCCACCATGGTTTCGTATGGGATCGAGTTCCAGTGTGAGTTAAATTCTGGTGAAGTTGACGTTTGTCCTTTTGGTTAGTCCAATCTTTTCTGGACAGAAATCGTGTTTTCAAACCTGATTTTGGCATTTGAATTTTATATCATGTGGTTTAATGACCATACCGTAGTTAAATAAATATAATTTTAGTTAGGTTTGGTCTTGTTGAGAAGACTCTCACTTCAATGGCTGTGTTTGGTTACGCTCTCTAGAATTAACAGGGCACCTGAAAAAGGGAGTGCAAACTGTTACCGCCAACAAACGTAGACCCTGCCAGGCCCTGCCATGAGCAGGGGGTTGGAAGCTTACTTTCGACTAAAAACTGGCTACTTCCGGAGTCTATCTTTGTTTTGGCGAGGGGTAAATCCCATTTGATTCGTGGAAAGCAAAGGGTTTGTAATCCGATCTTTTGAAATTTATCAAAACAAATCGTCCAAACCAAAGCTAATCATTGCTAATCTTAACATTCATTTTTTAATGTTGTGAAACTTTGGTTTGCTAATTCCAATTCAGATCTCATTTTGTTTGCTGCAGCCGTCCAAGCCACCGGAATGGTGCCATCGAAGCCTCGCTGAGGCGACCTGAAAACTGCCGAAACTGGGATCGCAGGGAAAGATCTGAGGGGATTTCCCCCAAAAACCTGGGATATGTTATGATATGTTTATATATAGATTTTGTTACAGGCTGGTGCCCCATAGTCATAGCTAAGTTCGATAAAACAACTCCGATAACGGTTGGGTTAACGATACATTTATCATGAGTGGAGGCGAAAAACCAACTTACAACTGGGGGGGCACCACCTTTTAGAAACTCTCTGGGTCAAAAGCCTGGTACACTGGTGAATCCATCCCCATGCGTGTTTTTTTTCTCGGGATTTACCTAGACTTGGAGAATACTTGGAGTTTGATGATTGAATTTTGCTGGGCATTTACCCCTCAAAACAAAACATAGACCCGGTTTTCAAGAGGCAATTTGCATCCCAACATGGTCCCGTTCGAACAGACTTGTGAGGCTCCCAAAGTCGCACACCAGATTCAACAGTTGGGATGGTTCGAACATAAGATGATCATTGATCATGTCTCAACGACTTAGTCGCAGGGATGTGATGGCAAATCGGTGGAGGATAGCAGACATAATTGGGATACCCTTTGGTATTCAAACATGGCCAGTGGAATTCCGCTATACAAACGGCCATAAATGGAGGTTTAAATGGGAAAAGTCCATATTCATTGCCACATTTGATTACCGGAGGGTATGCTACAAGATGACCCCCTGCTTTTGAAGTGGTCTATGACCTCATCTGACTACTATCTCCACCATGAATCAAGCCGTCAGCAGTCCTGGGGACCAATTTAGCTATGGCTTGGGGGGTGGCCCGGGTATACCCTTATATTGTTGGTTATCTCCTCCTTATATCCTGATAAATTCTGCACTACATCACAGGTTGTCTTGGTTGAATCATTCTTGGTGTTTGTCTTATATCATTCCTATCTCTACATCATGATGGTTTGTACAATACCAATATTTGTTCAGTGTATCTGAACGATGGTTGGTTTGATACCCCATGTAATTCCATGCTCATCACTTACACATTTGTTTCTTGGTGAAATCAGTGAAATCCGATTAAAATCCACCTGTTGATTGAAATCATTGTTATCATTATTCGGTTGGATGTAAATCCATTGAAATGACATGAAATCACCTTTTCTTCGTTGAATCCCGATTTTGCTCGTTTTGTCATGGTTCCCCTTCCGCATCATGGCGGCTCGTGGATCGTAGCATTTCTAAGGAGGCTGGCAGCTGCTGCCGGGTCATTCAGATGCTCCTGCAAACCAAGTGGCGAAGCGGCAGTTCCACTCAGAACTCCCAGCTGTTGGATATTAATATGTGGGCAAATTATAACGACCTCACTGCGACCTCATTGGAATCATGGAAAATAAGGAGAATCATCCCAAGATGGCCTTATTTCTGGTTAGTGAATTATTGTAATTTGCCCGGATATCTATCTGGTTGTATACAAGAATCAATAGATACATTATGAATAATTATGATGCATTGATATTTATGTAGTATAATCCCGCTCAGTTATAACATTTAGATCCATTGAGTTATTATTTACAAATATATGTATCTGTGTATATATATATATACGTGTAATCCTCTTCCCCTAATACTAAAACCACCCCAAAAATAAACACCTCAGGTAGTTGTTATTATTAGGCGGTATTTATTATTAGGCGGTATTTATTATCAGGGAACCAAAGCGGACCTTAATAATGAATTTAAACCCTTAATTTAAAAAAAACGATTTCAAAATCAATTGATTTTTTTTTAAACGCAAGTAAGATATTGCAAAACAATTGGATTTCGAAGCTTCTCCCTAATATATAATAATTTTAAACCCTTAATAAAAAAAGACATGTTTTTTTTCGATTTCAACATCAATTCAATTTCCTTTTACAACCCAATTGAAATATTGCCAAAAATTGGATGTCGAAGCGGACCCTAATAATACATTTAAACCCTTAAGAAAAAAACATGTTTTTCTTCGATTTCAAAATCAATTCAATCTCCTTTTATAACCCAGTTACAATATTGCCAAAAATTGGATTTCAAAGCTTCCCCCTAATATTAAATTAAAATCCCTATAAACAACGATTTTTTCGATTTCAAAATCAATTCAATTTCCTTTTTTAACCCAATTAAAATATTGCCCAAAATTGGATTTCGAAACGGACCCTACTAATAAATTTAATGTTGGATACTGATTAGTGTGGACCCCACCCCCCTCAACAATTTTAGGCTACTCAATCAATAACTCAATCAATAACTCGGCATTTTCTGGGCCCTCCCCTCAACAATTTTTAGGATACTCAACTTAAGTAAGGATTTCAATTGGCATCAATCCACTTTCAATTGATTTTCCTTTTAAATACAAAAAAAAATGCACCAAAAGTTTTTGTGCACAATAGGGTACCATCGAAACAATTACCTTCTTGAGGATCTGGGTCACTCATGGGGTCCTCCCTTGAAAAATTGTTTGGGTGCTGTTTTTTAAATAAGGGTTTAATAAGGCTTCTAATTATTTGGGGAACCTTGCATTTTCAAGGCATTAGCATGGATATGGCTTTCTAAAGTAGATGGACCAGCTTTACCCAAAGAAAGGTTGATAAAAGGTTGTGTGTGTGTTTTTTCACCCCGAAAGTTTTTGTGCACATTCAATACGGTGCCATCGAAACAATTACATTGTTGAGGATCTGGACCACTCATGAGGTACCCCTTGAAAATTGTTTGGGTACTGGTTTTTAATAAGGGTTTAATAAGGCATCTAATTATTTGGGGAACCTTGCATTTTCAAGGATTCAGCATGGATATGGTTTTCTAAAGTAACTGGACCAGCTTTACCCAGTTCCCAGCGCGGATCTTTTCACCAAGTTATTGGGTAAACAATGTTCCAGGTCCGATTGGACGCAGTCCAAGCATGTGCGAAAAACACAACTTTTCGGAGCTTGAAAAATTGTTTTTCTGCAAGGCCCGGTTTCACCCCATACTGTAAGACTGTAAGACCATATAAGGGGTCACGCCTTTAAAAAAATGAAACGCAAAAAGGGGTATTTTGAACCTCACGTATAAACAGCAATTAATTTAAGAATTTGGCAATCCTATTCCAGGGTCCCTTAAATTCTTAACGTACGATGTGTTTGGTCTAGCTGAAAATATATAGCCCGCCTTGGAACCGAGCCCCTCAAATTCTTATACAGTGAATTCTTGTACAATATTCAAGTTGTATCTTATGAATGGAGGGGGCCCTCTATTGTGAGAAGTTTTTTCTCTTCTCATTTTTTCAGGAGAAACTTTATCCACCTTTATACACCTTTCTTTGGGTAAAGTTGGTCCAGTTACTTTAGAAAACCATATCCATGCTAAAGCCTTGAAAATGCATGAAAATGCTAGATGCCTTATTAAACCCTTCTTAAAGACCAGCACCCAAACAATTTTCCAGGGGGTACCCCATGAGTGGCCCAGATCCTCAAGAAGGTAATTGTTTCGATGGTACCCTATTGAGCACAAAAACTTTCGGGGTGAAAAAAAACACAAAACCTTCTATTCCCGTTTCTTTGGGTAAAGCTGGTCCATTTACTTTAAAGAAAGCCATATCCATGTCAAAGCCTTGAAATGCAAGGTTTTCCAAATAATTAGATGCCTTGTTAAACCCTTATTAAAAACCAGCACCCAAACAATTTTTCAAGGGGGTACCCCATGAGTGACCCAGATCCTCAAGAATGTAATTGTTTCGATGGCACCTTTTTGTGCACAAGAACTTTTGGGGCAGTTTTTGTTTCTAGATTTCAACGGAAAAGCAATTGAAAGTAGATTCAAATGAATTGAAAGTAAGGTGATTTCAATTGAAATCCGTTCGTACCATTAAAATTTTCTTTGAGGCTCAAAAGGAAAATCCATCGAAAGTAGATTCAAACGAATTGAAAGTAAATTGATTTCAATTGAAGCCCTGTCTTATCAATAGATTTCTTTGAGGTTCAAAAGGAAAATCCATTGAAAGTAGATTCAAATGAATTGAAAGTAAGTTGATTTCAATTGAAATCCTTTCGTATCATTAGATTTCTTTGAGGTTCAAAAAAAAATCCATTGAAAGTAGATTCAAATGAATTGAAAGTAAATTGATTTCAATTGAAATCCTTTCTTATCAATAGATTTCTTTGAGGTTCCAAAGGAAAACCAACCAATTAAAAGTAGATTGATATCAATTGAAGTCCTTACTTAAGTTGATCATCCTGAATTTCCCAGACCTGGTTCCCGAGAAAACGTCGAGTTATTGAGTAGACCAAAATTGTTGAGGGGGGGGCCCTACACTAATCAGTATCCAACATTATGATGGTTGATGATTGGGGGTACCACATCAGATATAAGGATATGTAGCAATATGTGATAGGATTTTTATAGCATGCCAAAAAAATATTTATAATAGACACATATAAAACAATAATTGACAATAACATTAGAGAATCCCTTATATAATATAGCCATACATAAACCATTATTTTATCATGTTTCTACGGAGATCATTAGCCTGCTTACTCCAGGCTTGAACCAGCTATTACCAGTTGGACCTATTTGGTGATGGTTTCATTGTACCTTTTTATCTTCAAACCTCTTTGGCATGGAAAATTCCAGCTGACTAATATATTATATATATAATTATATAACTATCCCGTGGTGAACGGAGGAAGCTAAGCTGTTCGAAGCTTTATGTATCTATATTCCCTCTTCATAAATGATGATCCAAGGATCTTTCCCAGCGAAATGATGGCAATCCTTTTTTCTGACCATGTTTCTCTGCGTTTTGTTCCAAGAAAGGTTGTGCAATTTGTGTCCACGAGTTTGATCCATACTCCTGAGTTGCTTTAGGCCGCCCGTTCCGGAGTTTGTTACTTACGATTCGACAAGCTATCCATTACCACCCGGTCGCAAACCATTGTTAGGAAATAATCTCAACAACTAACATGGAACGACCAAGTATGGCTTGAGCTATTGACTTTTTGAATATATAGTTTTTTTATGTTTTTTTGTGCGTTGCATGCACAGATTTCACGAACAAAAAATGACCTGACAAAGTCTTCATGGCTTCTGAATCCACAATTCTCAAATTGCAATATTTGTCGTTGTCAAATTGCAATTTTTGTATAGGCCGTATTTATTCACAGATCTTTGCAAAATATCCTTTGCTAGAACGGTTCCTAAAATTGGATCGGCAAATCCAAGCCGGAAAGCCCCTTGATTTGAACTTTAATAAAAAACAGGTTTTCCGGCAAATCTTCCTGCAGACCTTCCAGTGTCATCAAACATCAGCTGGGCTCTTTGGCTTAGGAAGGTCCAAATTCCGAGGCTGTTTTGAGGAATTTGGACCTTCCTAAGTGCAGCCAAGGCGCCAATTTGTTCCCAGCTATAAACATGTTTTTTTAAGATATTTATAGGGGATATTCCATTGCCATGTTTGACTACCAGTGACTGCTATGTTTGATTGCCAGAGGATAAACCAATCCATTCATGACATCCCACTGCTGTCTTTTTGGTTCCTCCCAGGCTGCAGGAATCTGTCAAGGTGGTGGACCCCGTGCAGGCGAGATGGCAAGACGTCGCTGTTTTGGGAGGTCCGAAGCTGTCAATCCCAACGACGAGTGCTACATAAGCATATATATACATAGTAATAATAAATAATAATGATAATAATAGTAATAATAATTATATATATATATATTCATATCAAAATGATAGTAAAAGTAATAATAGTAATATTAGCAATAATATATATCTATATAAACCCATTGCGTTATTAGCGTATATATGTATATACATGTAATATATTTGAAATAGCTACATACATATATACATATATAATTATAATTACATATACATACAATATATATATACAATACATAAATACATATGTGTTTTTTGAGGGAAAACTTACTTTACAGAGATATGGGTAATTGGAGTTGCACAGTTTGGTTGATACATGTTGATGCTACAAGATCATTTCATCCAGAATGAATCAAGTTGCCACGAGCGCGTCAGCAATCCAACCAGCTCATCAAGAAAGTCTGACCTTGGGGGGTTGCTTATATACCCCGGTGCAAACTGGATTCGTGGGATTGAGTCCTCCAACATTGGATAGTTGATACTGCAATCGACCAAAGTTTAGGAAACGTAGGTTTTTATCTTATCCAACACGGGACTGATTACAGTAAGGGAAAAATGTTTGAGATATTACCAGAAATGCTCAATAATTAAGTCAGTTTAGGGTTATAAGTTTTATTTGTGTTTGATATATTTCTTAACAGTTTGTTTCTTATATTTACACTTCAACATCATGCATTCCAACCGTGTGTTTCTTATATACGCTGTATTTCAAAGTGTATTCCTCGCCGCACGTCTGAACTCCTGGCAATGGATCTTCGGTGTCAGAGCCCTTTTTCTGCCATGGATTCATGGCGATGTCACCAATACCGTGCTTTTATATTTCACAGATATTCTATGTATATACAAATCGTATGTTATATATATATACTCATCTATCCATCGATCTATCCATCCATCCATCTATATTGATCGATCCATCTATCCAGCTATCCAGCTATCCATCTATCCATCGATCCATCGATCCATCGATCTATCTATCCATCGATCCATCGATCCATCCATCCATCCATCCATCCATCCATCCATCCATCCATCTAACCATCTAACTATCTATCCATCTATCCATGTATCCATCTATCCTTTTATCCTTCCATCCATCCATCCATACATTGATCCATCCATCCATCCATCTATCCATCCATCCCTCAATCCATCCATCTATCAATTTTTCCATCTATCCTTTCCTATCTCATCCTTCCCTATCCTATCCTATCTTATCCTTTCCTATCCTATCCTATTTTATCCTTTCCTATCCTTTCCGATCGTATCCTATATTATCCTTTCCTATCCTTTGCTACCCTACCCTATCTATCTATCTATCTAACTAATCTATCCCATCTAATCTAATCTAATCTAATCTAATCTAATCTTCTACCTAATTAATCGATCTATCTATCTAGCTATCTATCTATCTATCTATTTATCTATCTATGTATCTATCTACCTATCTATCTATCTATCTATTTATCTATCTATCTATCTACCTATCTATCTATCTATCTATCTATCAATCAATCAATCAATATTTCTATTTATCTACCTATAAATTTATCTATCTATCTTTTTATCTATCTATCTATCTATCTATCTATCTATATATAATTATATATATTTATGTTTTTTTCTTTCTATCTATCTATATGTCTAACTACCTATCTCTCTATCTCTCTATCTCTCTATCTCTCTATCTATCTATCTATCGATCTATCTATCTATCTATCTATGTACCTATTCATCTATCTATCTATCTATCTATCTATCTATCTATCTATCTATGTACCTATTCATCTATCTATCTACCTATCTATCTATCTATCTATCTATCTATCTTTCTGTTCCTATCTATTCCTATCTATTCCTATCTATTCCTATCTATTCCTATCTATTCCTATCTATTCCTATCTATTCCTTCTATACCTATCTATTCCTTTCTATTCCTATCTATTCCTATCGTATCCTATATTATCCTATCTTATCCTATCATATCTTATCTTATCTTATCTATCTATCTAGCTATCTAGCTATCTATCTGTCTATCTGTCTATCTGTCTATCTATCGATCTATCTATCTAGCTATCTATCTATAGAAAGAGATCACACACGCAGATATATATATATATATGTATATATGTATATTTATATGTACACAGACAGTATGTATCAACAATATCAATCAGATTCAACCAGCATGATAGTTCGAGTTGGAGAATGCTTCGTTTCTCGAGGCTTCTGAGCATTTGGAGGAGCTGTCTGAAGAGATGGGTTCAGCCAAGGCCATGGAGAAAGTCCACGGAGAAAGTCGTGATCATAGGATGAGATACGTTATAACTAGAGTATATTTAAATTTACACATGTGCATATATGTTTCAACATCTATCAACATATATATATATATATCATGGTCCACGAGATCGATAGGTTGGTTGGTTGGTTCAAAGTCCAAAGGACAAATTGGGGGGCTCCACCTGGCAGCAACAGGATCCAATCATGGATTAGCAGGGACCCCAACATGGAGTCTGCAGGACCCTTACCTCAGTAAAGGACCAAACAGCTTCATGCCACCTGCAGCTGTTTAGTTCATTCCTTCCAGAATATCCGCGCTCGCCGAACTAGTTCCTGTGCAAACAGGGCCATCGGCATGTAGCCAGGATGGCTTAGATGAATGTCAAATATGGTTGAATCAAGCCCCTGCAGGAATTGAACGAGACAGGGCCTTTGGACATCTACCAAGCCTGCACTGGCGTTCACAATGTGAAATTTCACATTAGAATACCTCTTCTGACATAACCATATCTATGGTTCTTAACTTACAATGTTGGAGGATGCTGGATGGTTTTTTCAGGTTTGATTTTTTTGGATTCTGAACTTCACCCGTCGCCTCAAGAATGTCGAGATTCACTAGCCCAAACGGGAGTTGTTTGGTGTCCCAACTTTGAACCTCACCGAGATAAAAGTTAAATGATCGTCCAAATGGTTGGTTTGTAAGAATTGTTCAAAACGCCAACTGGTCACTGGCCATTGGGGCGCCCCCACATCAGGTGATTTATCTTGAGTTAATGAATCAAATCCTCAATGGCTTCGATGCTTTCCCAACTGTTCACATGCCATTTTTGTCCAATGAAATCCACGTGCTTGTACCGTCTCCATCCATCTCGATGTTTCAAGATACTTCAATGTTTTGTTGCATTGGTCTTCTCTCGTTCCATGCTGTATGACATATGATAATTTTCGAGCAGAAAATGGCTCTGATAGAGGGTCCTTGGAAATTGATGTGTGGGTCCTTGTTTTTTTGGTTCCGTCCGATTCTGTGCATGTCTTGATTTCGCAATGCTCTGTGTCAGAAATAGTCTTCAAGAAACATTAGGATGATGCTTATCCCAGAAGATGCCCCTGAGCACTGCCCATTGGTGTTCCTGATCATGTTTATACATTTTTGTTCACAATTTTAGCCATCAACTTATTAAACCATTAACTTTTGTACGCCATGTTCCCTATGTTTTTTCAATGTTTTCCTCCATTCCTCTATTCTTTAACAAATCCTTCCAGATCAATCACCAAATTTCCTACCGTAGATGGACGATGAAATCAAACCGTTGCTGTATTGTTGTCAACCCCCGCATCCCCAAATTTCAATGTTGTCTTTGGGCTGCGCGCCTGGGTCCGGTGGACAAAAAAAACAAACCCTGAAGGCAGAGGAAGTTAGATAGAGTATGATAGAAATTTGTTCAACATTGAAATTTGGGATGTGGGATTGTACTTGGTAGAAGTCTGTGGGGTGTGTTTTTTTTGTCCATCTACTATGTTTATCATCCATCTATGTCACCACTGTTCTTTTATGTTTTTCCAACATGGTCCATTATTTTCCTAGATCTTTCCACCTTTACCACCAATATTTCGGATGTTTCCCCATAATTTCCATATTTCTATCATTTTTGATTGGCGGGTGGATGATGGATGTGTACCTGCAACTGTCTCTCAGACTCCCAGGCTTTCAGGATTTCATAGCTGACATCACACCTATAATGTGAGAAATTTCGCACTTTTTGCAAGGGTATGCTGCAAAAGAAATATGCCAAATGTGTGGTTCGATGTGACTTGTGATGATGATTGGAACTGATCAGCTTGTCAGTCAGACTTTCAACTCTCCTCCATGTTCCTAAGTTTTTTCCACCTTTATCCCCAATCTTCCCAATGTTTTCTATTTTTCCACCTTTTTTCCACCTTCACCAAGTTTCGTATGTTTGTCACCCATATTCCCAGCTTATTCCAGGTTTATATTCCAATTTTCCCATCATTTTCCCAGTTTATTCTACCTTTATCCCATTGTGTGTTGCATCTTTTCTCATGTTTTTCTAAATTTTTCCTGATGTTTCTTCCACCCGGCAGGTGGTCCTGGTGATTTTGACCCAGGGCATCCTGACGGAAGCCACCTTCGCCGGCTCCGTGGCGGCCTGCCCGGAGGAGGTTCGAGGGAACTTCGTCCCGATCAAAGCGGATGAGAACTTCGTGTATCCGGAGCGCCACTTTCGCTTGGGGGGATGACTGATGTATTTTCTCTATGTCGATAGTATTATTTGTGTATATATATACATAGTATGTATATATATAGAGTGTATATATATAGTATAGTACAAATGTATTGTATATATATAAATAGTATATATATATATAGTATGGTATATATATATATATATCTATCTAGAGATAGTATATATATATATAATATTTATATATAGTAAAGAAATAGTGTGTATATATATAGATCGCATATATATATGTAGTTTATTTAGATATATATCTATAGTATATATATAGTGGATATATATATATAGTGGATATATATATATATAGATCGTATATATTTATACAGTTTTTATATATATATATACATATGTTTATTTATTTATAGTGTGTATATTTATATATATACACTGATAGAGTATTTATATATATATATGGTATGTATATATAGTATTTTTAAATAGTATATATATTATATAATTAGTATATATATATATAGTTTATTTAGTATATATGTATATAAATACATCAAGTATATATATATAGTTATTGTATATATATATAGTTTATATATTTAGTACAAATATAGTATAAATATATATATAGTATATATATAGTATTTACTATATATTTATTTGTAGTATATATAATATAGTATAGTATTTTTATAGTATGTATATATTCATTTATTTTTGATTTCTATTATTGATTCATATGAGTATAACTGATATATGATGATATATTTGATCATCTTCAAAGTTGAGACCCTTATTTTTAACCTGACTTTTGAATTGCGCGCTGGCATCCCAGTATTCGATAAACCTAGAGGATCATACCATTGCTGTTATGTATACAATATTTCTATGTTCATATTTATTCGTGGTAACTTGGGTCCATGTTTTTTTCTTATGGTCATTTTCCGGTTAAAGCTATGGCTGATTTAGTTCGATGATTTGCTTGTTAAACATGGCTATGCTGATTAACGTAGGTTATTCCCCAATTCCCCGTCAGGGTCTCTAGATTTTGACAAAGGTACAACTCCTCCTCCTTCTTGTCAGCCCGTCGGGACTGTGGGCAAGAACGGATCCGAGCCATGTGGCGAACTCCGGATGCAGTGGAGGGCGCATGCACCCGAACAACATATCGCCAGCTCGGGATGCTGTGGGGCACGCCTGGACACGAACACATGGCAGATAAAATGCCAGAAAGAGTGCCAGCTAGAATGTCGGATATGTCGGAACATATGTCAGAAAGAATGTCATGTCAGAACATATGTGAAATAGAATCAGCTAGAATGCCGGATAGAATGTCAGAATCGATGCATATGCCAGACAGAATGTCAGATAGAATGTCAGAATATATGTCAGAGAGTGCCAGAAAGAATGTCAGAATATGTCAGAATAATATGTCAGGGTCTGGATCGGTCGAAGTAAAGTATTTTTTGTTGTAATTTTGATTTGGTTTATGATTAGGGTAAAAGTGTGATGTTTATTGGTGTCAGTGTTTTATGTTAACCCAAAAAAGTTGCAGTAAAGTTATTGGTATGACACCTGGTGACTTTACCGTTGTACCAGCAAAAACAATGAACGGGATTTTACATGGACAGGCTGGGAATGTAATGGACATATCAGGAGCCATCGCTGGGGTGATTTTTATGGGATTGGAGGTGGGACCAGGTGGGATGCGCTGGGATGTATACATTCTGCATAACAAGGTATTCCTCGACAAGTTGATGGCAAGGTCCAGATTTGTCTTTGGAAGCACCCTGTTTTTCTTGATTTTTGATGCCACAAGAATGTTTTCATAAAACAACGGTCAATGAAAACTGCAAATGAGCGGTTTCATTGGCTGATTAGGTCCTTTTCTTAAACTAATGATCACTTTGTGAATGATCTCACTTGGCCCGTATTTTTCATATGGTGCGTTTACAGCGTCAATGTTGCCCAAAATATGAGCAGATGCAGGGAGACCACCATGTTGTCGAGCCTTACCTGGCCGCAGGACCCAGCCTTTTGGGAAAAACTTGCTGAAGGCAAGATCTTCAGTGCTGAGACTCTTGCAACTTTGCTGTGGCTGAGCGGTGGTAGTTTCCTATGTTGGCTATATTATTTTAGTATATGTTGGCAATATGATGGATAGAACAAATGTGCATTTACCACTTTACCATTGATCCGTTCATTTTCCTGATTCGTTGGTTTTTTTGGTCGATACGAACGCATACCGTATAGACAAAGAGATCACATCCAACTAAAGAGATACATGTTTGCAGCGGCATTTTTCGAACATCATCTTCCGAACCCTGTCCTTCAAATTTGGTTTGTCTATGCAACAAGGTGCTGCACCAATAATCCAATAAGATGGCTTTACTGTTCCCATTTAAATTGCAGGGGGGTTCTTGACTGTCAGATACGCACAAATCAAGGTTTCATATTTTTTGTTTGGCGTGCATGATTAAATTTAATGTCTCTCATTGGGCCAATTTGGCCAAAGGATATATGACGGATGGGTGGGATGTCCCCATTTTTTCTTAGTATGGTTAGATATGGTTAGTCTTACCAATGTATCCCTGCCATCAAATACATTCAATCGTGTTTTTTTTTTACATGTATATATATATATTGACAATATATTTAATATCATTTAAGATAATATATTTATAATATATGTTAGCATAATATACTTTAGTATACGCATGTAGGTTTATATATATATATACATATCGACATATATGCACAGCTCATACAACTCTATATGTACACATGTATAATTGTATATATATATATATGCTGGCCAGATGTTGGTGGAGAGAGGGAGAGGGAGAGAGATAGACAGAGACAGAGACACACACACACACACCCTGGTATATATATATATGTATTTAAATACGCACCATTATATGTAACCTTTCTTTGTAAGCGATAAATGGTATATAGAAATCTAAAAAAGGCATATATTCTGGTTAAGTATTGAACCATTTAACCATATCGAATGGCATTAACCATAATTCAACCATATGGTATAGTTTAAAAAGTATAATGTTAGCAACGCAAAAGTAAACCATTCTCGAATTTTCATTTTTTATGCGTGGTAGAAAGCAATCAAAATATGTATTGTTTTTGACATTGCTTCACGAACACTATCCCATTTAGTTTTTTTTTTTTAATAGATCACATATCAAGTGGTATACCATCATTTATTGCAATCATATGGTATATCTAATTTGGTATAACTACTTGCTGGCCCATCCCACCTACCAAATAGGTTATAACCCTAGTGATAAGTTGATTAATTAGCACTACTAGCCCCACCAACAAAACCAGGAATATGACCTGCCCTACATAGGATTCGTGGGCAGTTCGCCTGCCACAAAGTTATTTTTGTTTTAATTTACTAACAGCCGCATTTTGGGATAACCAACCATTAATCATAGTTATTGTCTATACTTATTCTTGCTTTGTGCTTTACTGGCATTCGCGGAAGACCTATCACTATTACTGACTACAGTTACGATTAGTTACTATGATATCTGAATGTATCTTACAGTTTTACACTTTTGATTTACCATTATATTCTACTCTTATATACTTTTTTGTATGTTATTAAATTGTACTATCATATTTATTTTACTATTGCATTTACATTTATATTTTACTATTGTAGGTGCACAGTTAACATGAATATAAATTTTGTATTTAACATAATACCATTATTTATCATATGAAGTCATATGGTTTAGCCATAATTATTATTTCTATCTTCAGCCCTCAGCCCAGGCGGCCTTTTTGACAGACTTCGAGGGCGTCCGTGCAGCCTACGCACGGCTCTTCAACGTCTTGGCCTTGAAATTCACCAGTCACGGCAGCGCCTTGGAAAAATGGTGAAACATGCTTTGTTGAGGCTGGGATTCAATGGCTATAGGTTAATAGGATAATGATATGGTTATAAGTTATGATTATTGGTATCATGATTATGGCTATATGATTATATGTTAGCTGTTTTTCTGAAATAGTTTGATAAGTTTAATAGGTATAGTGATGGTATAATCACGGGATATTAATGGATATACCCTCTGGTGTCATCAATCGTGGCTGGCGGGAACCCCTGAACTGAACGGAGGTTTACAGCTGAAATCATCGAACTAAAAAGGGTATTTTCCAGCAAGCCATGTTTGATTACCGGAGTGTATCCGCAAAAACAGGTTGGTAAAGCATATGAATGAATATAAGAGTCATAAGCAACCTATTCCACAATTATATTATATATATATACATACTGTATAAACAAATATATATATATATATATATATGTATGTATGTGTAGTATGTAAAAAAAAAAACATCCATCGCCCATCTGAGCATTTCTGGTTCAAACATGTGTTCAAAGATTTTTGCTATCCCAGATGCTCCCTGCACAGAGGATTTACCATCATTTTCCTCCGAGAAGGACCCAAAGGTATTTAAATACACCATGCAGGAGCAAGGTTGATGTTACAGTATTGCCCCACACGTGATAGGCATGTGAGTGAATTGTTCGTTTATACAAATTTTATAGCCAGATTTTCGCATTGATGCTGGTCAAATCACATGAAAATCCCACTAAGATATAAAATATTAATGTCCACTTGTTGGTTAGATCCATTTTTTGTCATATATGTTCCCGTGATATTCCGAGGGTATTTCCACTATATTCCAACTATATAAGCTAACATGGCCCATGTCATTATTGTTATAATCCCCAAGTACCTCCATATCAATCCCTCCCCATAGAAACATTACTAGCCCTTTTTGTTGGTTCAAATCCCATTTTGCCGTAGTAAAACCATGATTGATGGTTCAATCCCATTAAAGCCCGATTAATTTCACAAAATATCCCACCATATCCTCAATAAGCCACTAGAATCCTCAACATGCCCGCTACCCTTTGGTAACCAAACATGGCAATTGAACATCCTAAAATCAATGGTGGTTTGCTGGAAGAATCATCTATATCGCTACAACCTCTGTTATATTCCATTATATTCCCAATATGTTTGCAATAAATTCCCCATATCAATCTGTATTTTTATATATATATATATAGTTTTTTTGGATATATATATATATATATATATTTGATGCGCCTATTCACGCTTGATTTTCCAACACAATCTCGATATATAGATCATTTTCCCAGCTATAAACCTCCATTTACAATGGATGCCCCATCGTTTTCCATGGATTTTCCCATGGATTTGCCATGGCCATGAGGTGAAAGCATCCAAGCCACAGAGATTCACGTCATGAAGGGCCGCCTGGAGAGCATGATCCACGATTCACCGGTGACTGGCTCAGTGGCTTCTCCGGTGGATCGTTATCAAAGCGATGTTTTTTTAACAATAAACATAGAGGTTTATAATATGGTTTAAGTTGTTTTGTAGGATGAAATGTATCAATCCCTATTTAACGAACTTGAATCCCCCAGGAGTGCCCATATCAATCACATAATGATGGCGGGTTTTGCCATTTTTGTCGGTGATTTCACTGATGTAAGCATCAAAACCTATGTGGCATGTGGAGGTTTCACCAACAAAAATCGAGGTTGAACCATGAAAAATTGGGATTTAACCATTCGTTTAACCAATTTAACCATCAAACACGGTGATTCACCAGAAGCCAGCAATACAACCCAACAGCAAGTTCCAGGGTTTCAACGTTGCGGTTTCGTTCCGGTATTGGGCCCAGCAAAAAAATGACGCACCACTCCAAGACCCAGAGATCGAAACCCAACAGTCACTCCTGCCGGGAATCAAATCTGGCGACTAAATTATTGTATGCAAACATGATTGGTTTAGGAATTTCAGTTATTAAGAATAATTTCAGCCTTCAGCCTTTGTTGAACTCTTTGGAGATGGCAATGGATGAGAGAGGAGAGAGATTCGATGGTTAATAAGTGGCTATTACTACTGTTTGGTGAGTTGGAACATGTTTTGTTTCCATCCAACTGGGATGAGTCATCCCCATTGAAGTGTTGGTTTATTGATCCCGGGCTGACATTGAATGATATGCATGTGATTTTTTGTTGTGATATGAGTATGCAGCAGTGCAAGTATGCATTATTAATGGTTTAATGGTATAACCAGCCGGCTTTGAATTAGTTTTCCCAAAAGGATGAACCCCATGTGTATATATACATATATATATATGATTTTGACATCATGTATATATATATATATATATTTCTGATTGTATATATATATATATAATGATTCATATTACATACTATCATGATATGTATATATATATATGTATACACATTATCAAATAACATGCGCATCACACATCTATACACATCTAAACATACACACATATATATATATATACACATATGTGCATATATGCACACATGTTAATGATATAACACCATTAAATAATAATCATTTCCTTCCATTTATCTGTTGCCAGGTGGAGAAGTCTACGTCCACGATCTCAAAGCAACGTTCCCAACGTTCCAACACCGGCTCCGCTCCTGTGGCCCCCGCGGTCGTCGCGCCAGTGTCCTCTATCATCTCCGCTGATTATGACAAGGCGGAGGTTTATAGCGCGGAATTGTGAGCAGTGAATCCATCGCACGTTGATGGGTTAGTGAATCGATTGGTGATTCAAGCATCAAATATGGTCTCTAACCACCAAACATGGGAATTTTATTGTGACTTAATTGATTGAGGACGCTTTATGACGCTTAGTTGATCGTCAATAGAAAGTTGTTTTAGGGAGCTATTAACCTATCAGCGGATCCAGCATAGCACGGGTGCTCAGAGATGGGGCGAAACTTAGTTTTGATGATGATTTTACTAGAAATATCGCATGGTTTTTTAAGCTTCCGCTCAAAAATAGGTACTTGCATGGCCTATGTCAATTGGATTCAATTGGCGGAGGCATATATATACAGTATATATACAGTAAATAAATAAATAAATAAATAATATATATATATATATTAATGCATATATATATGCATACATATAGGAACAAATGTACAATTTGGATTTATTTCTTCGGCATAAAGTTGACCACATGGAACCATTGATTTCGGGATCCTGATGGGTTGCGCACAACTTTCCACTGCTCATGTGAGCCAGCAACTTAACTTTTTGGAGGTGATTGCCCACCGCACTCAACTCCTTCGAATTATAGTTTTGCGGGTTTGCGTGGTGTAGTCAATCCCTAGGCCCAAAGGGCCCAAAGGGGACATGTTGCTGCCATTGGAATACGCTGTTAAGAATATGTTAATTTGCTGTTCATCCCATGCTCCGCTGATTATTCGGGGGTTCATACTGCCAACCAGAGAAGTTGTATTCCGATGCTGTGACACTTGACACAGTCAGTTTGGACGGGTCAAGAGCCATCTGGCTGCTGGAGTGCCTTGCCAATTCTCTTTTCTTGATCATTAGTGAGTCGGTGGTTTATTCAGATGTCGGTTTGGTAGTTTCCTAAAGTAGGGGTACCCCCAATTCATCCCAATTCATCCACTTTTTTGCGGTTTTCTCCACTATAAACCATCCAGCCTTTATTTTAGAAAACCCCCATGAAACTTGGCCCTCGAAGATGACTGGAACACCCCTGTCATAGAATCCTATTAACGGTCAGTGAAATCTATTTAATATGTGGTATATATATATATTCTACATATCTAATATCTAATAATGGATGTTATATCTAATATCTAGTATCTATACCTGATGGATTTTCCATTTCCATCCATTTCCATTTTTGATGACAAGAGGGCACCCAGAGATCTATGGTCCTGAGCTGGTAGTATCATGACAGTTCTCCAGAGATCAATTGTCCTCCATTTATTCCGTGGCCATGTCAGGCAAAGTTCCACATTACGGCAAGGATTTGGTTTTAATCTTTGATATATCTACATCCATTTGCATGCCCGTCAAATCTCTGTGATGTTCAATGATTTTGATGCAATTTTTGAATTTTGATGATGACCTTATACAGTTGTTCCAATGCTACAAGCATCAGATTATTATCCCATGTTATATCACTCAATCACCACATTTGCGACTCACAAGGTCGAGGCAGAAAGCTTGTGGCAAACCGCGAATTTTTGCCAGGTGGTAGCTGGCGAGCTGGGCAAAATTCCGCTCGATGAAGGTGAACAATTTATGTTTTCTATAATGTTAAAGTGATCTATCAAAGGGAACTTGACCCATATTTGAAAAATATCTTATATTTTTCAATTTGACACGGAAACTAAAGATTCAAATCCCATGTGTGTTGAACATGGACCAAGACTTTTCTTTTGACCTCACTGTACCTGGCGAAATTTGAGGGAACCAGCCCAAACTCAGGCTATTTCAAGTTTGGGAATTGCCCTGGGGTAGGCGTAACTAGATGTGGAAAACCAATGGCAATAATCTACAAATGGTGAGTTATCCACATGTTTACAGGAGGGCCCAGGAGGGTACAAGAATTTGCCCACACATGCCACTGGTATTGGCCTATGCCCAAGGCAAGTCGGACTGATGTTAATGTATTGGCGTGCCGTGCAATGCGCTGAGGCTTTGGCCGCTGCGCTATGGTTAAAACGTGTGCGGTTGTTGCATCATCAACAATTGGTACAGGAACGGGTTCTTTGCTGCTGACTGGCCAATCTAATTGCAAATGATGGGATTCGTAAAGGCTAGTAAAGGGATTCGTAAACAACATGTCCTTAACTCCAGATAAGGATGTACTAATTAATTAACACCAACATCTATGTTCTTGTTAAGGGATTAGTTTTGGGATGTTTTGGGATTGTCATGAACAAAGCAATATAGATCCAGATACGAAGCAAGATCAAGGGGACAACTCTATAGGAAGATGACTGGCTGATTAGGCAGTCGATCATCATGCCCCACATGAAAATACACGCAACACATGTAGTGAAGGTCAGGGAATGTCGTTGTAACTTGTAACTATATAATTAGTCACATGTATATTCATATGAGGGGGGTTCCTAAAATAGGGGTACCCCCAAACCATCCATTTTAATAGGATTTTCCAGTATATCCATTTTGGGATACCCCCATTTATTATGGAAACCCCCATATACATGCATATATGCACAAGAGATTTTGACCATGGCCAACGTACGAAGTTTGGCTGTCAAGGCAGTCACCTGTTGGGGTGACCGTTGGCAGCTGTGGAAGACGCAAAACGACTGTTGGAGGGTACAAAGGTGCGTTGCAGTTCTGCATTATGCTGTTTCCATGCCATGATAATAATGACATCTAATGATCATGATTGCGAATGATTTTCAATATCAGTCTATTCCTCTCAATGACTGATAAGTATTCATACACTACCCAAAGGAAGTTTAGAAATGTATACTGTATATGTCCGTCTTACGGATATTTAGAACGCAAAGACGTCTCACAGCAAAGAAGTGTCACGGCAAACAAGTTTCACAGCAAAGAAGGCTCACAGCAAAGAAACCTAACAGCAAAGAAGCCTAACAGCAAAGAAGTCTCACAGCAAAGAAGCCTCACAGCAAAGAAGCCTCACAGCGAAGAAGCCTCACAGCAAACCAGTTTCACAGCAAAGAAGTCTCACAGCAAAGAAGCCTCACAGCAAACAAGTTTCACAGCAAAGAAGTCTCACCGCAAAGAAGCCTCACAGCAAAGAAGCCCCACAGCAAAGAAGCCTCACAGCAAAGAAGCCTCACAGCAAAGAAGCCTCACAGCAAAGAAGTCTCACAGCAAAGAAGTGTCGCAGCAAAGAAGTCTCGCACGAAAGCTTCGTTTTCAGAAGTTTCAGTTGCAGTTTTTGAGGGAAGCCCCGCACGAAAGCTTCGCTTTCCCAAGTTGCAGTTGCAAGTTTCGAGGGAAGTGGTTTTACAACGTCTATGTATACTATATACTTGCGGCTGGGGTGCCGAGATCAGGACAGGAGAAGCTTCTTCCTTGCCAACGTAAATCTTTGTTTTTTTGTGACTGTGCTTGCAAATCGCGTTGGATTGTTGCTCTGCGTTGTGGTTGCACAGGTAGTTCTATGGCCATTATGGTCTCTTGCAGCTTGCTGCTTGCAAATCGCATATTGGAATTGTCGCGCCAAGGGGCCTGAGATGAGCTGAGGTTTTCTGACAGGGGAAGAGATGAGAAGAGCTGGAGCTGAGAAGAGCTGAGGTGAGATGAGGAGAGCTGGAGCTGAAACGAGCTGAGGAGAATAAGATAAGAAGAAGAAGACGAAGAATAAGAAAGAAAAGCTGAGATGAACATATGAGAAGAGATGAGCCGAGAAAAGTTGAGACAGATTGAATAGAAGAGAGAAGAGATAAGAAAACATCAGGTGAGAAGTGATGAGAAAAGAGTTGAGATCAGCTGAGAAGAGGAGAGAAGACATGAGATGACATTAGCTGGAAGAAATTCAGAAAAGGAAAGAGGATGCGTGAAGATATGAAATGAGATGACATGAGATGAAATGCCCGATGTCAAAAGATTGTTCTTGCAACGCACGCGGCGCTCGCCCACATCCTATAGGCACATGTTTTTTTTTGGCTCTATAAGCCATAGGCTTTCATGTTTGAAACTTCCGCACCTGGCTTGCCCAGGTACTACTTGTAAGGGTGATGATGATGGTGATGATGATGATGGTGATGATGATGACATTGATAATGACGATGATGATGAAGATGATGAAGATGATGATGAGGGTGATGATGATGATGAAGAAGAAGAAAAAAGAATATGATGACGATGAGGATGATGATGATGATGATGATGAGAAGGATGATGATGAGGATGATGTATGCCCTGTGCTCGTTGATCGTTGATCATGTCAAAAACGACTCGTCACCGTGCACAGTCGGGAACATTGACGACGTGACCAACGGCCTAGTGGCGGCAGGCGCCGCAGTGGTGCCATCACTGGCCGGACACACCAGAAATGACGCATAGTCAGGGGAACCACCTCCCCAAGGAAATTAACATGTCATATTTTACTTGTTTTCTTTCTCCCAGTATTCCTATTATTCCTACTGGCCCTACTAGTCGTCATAGTAGTATAGTCGTCGTTGTAGTCGTAGTTGGAATAGTATTGTCAGGATTGAAAGGATTGTTGCGATATTGTTGTACTATTAGTTCTATTTGCGTTAGCAGTATCTGTAGAAGATCATTAATATTGTTAGCATTATTGATGTTTCATGTGTTGTATTAGTATTATCATGATAAGGGGCAGATGATGAATGCAAGTTACAATAATGTGAACATCCTGATTCGTGATGCATGTGATACAGGCATTTTGTCGCATACAATGTTTAGACTCCGGGTGGTAGTTTCCGGCAGGCGCCCTACAAAGAATGGACATGGCATGGTGTCAAAAAATCATTCCTTGGACAAGGAACATTCTTCTATGGTGGGTTCTTACAATGGAAAGCACCAAAATGATTTCAATACTAAAATGAAATAATTTTGGACGACTGGTGGCACCAACATTTTCGGAAACCTCCATGTTTCTTTCAGCCCATGTCACAACAAGCCGGTGGTGTCATAATTGTATGCGGTTTCACTTGTTTGTGTTGCATTTCCACGCATGAGAGGCTGATGCCGGTTAAGAGTTGCATAAGTTTTCCGACTAGGGTGGATAATTAACTACCACCTTTGTTCTCATGGTCGGCAATATGCTACCGTGAAGATTATTTTTGTTGTGTTTCAACACTTTGTTTTTTAACATCACATGAATCATGTGACGCATAGGAGGTGGTGATATGGGTATGGTTGGTATGGATCAAGTGTCAGATCCTCACCACACACACATGTTCGTGATGTTTGTTATGAAACTACTCCATGTGATTCCCTGGGAACAATATGTTACGTTGTTATAGCGTATGGCCCATACCCTCACCCAAGCCCATGAGGAGTTTGTTGGAGACCAGTGGCCCGAGAAATCCCCCAGAAAAAATGGAAATTAAATATGTCCGGGAGGCCTTATTGCTGAGAAGGGATTTTTCTATAGTTGATAATTGGCAATTACGTATTCCAAATTCCAAACATATATTCCCAAAGTGGCCCAAATGTAAGCAACCAGACCATCCATGGAGCATCTGGGGTGGTTTGTTTTGTGTTCTCTGCACAGCTTTCTTCATCCATAGCCTGTGAAACCGCGTCAAAAATCGTGCAAGATTGGCATCCCTGCAGTGGCAACTAGCCTTGCCCTGGCCGCACTGTAGACCAATGAACAAAATGGGTTGCACATCATTCATGGGCTGAAGTAAATGGTACCAGCCACCAAGGGCATCCCAAAAGTCAATCGTTTATCGTCATATTGATTGTTGAAATGGCACAACATGGCCACATCCTAGGATATATAATGATCTTCCCTACATGTGTCATATATTTTAACGACCACATAAATCCCTGTCCTGTAATATAAATGAAATACCCCGCACGTATAGTCATTTGGCCCAAAATGAAAAGCTCCAGTCCCGAACCAGAACAATCTTGGGTTTCTGGGTGGTATTTCACATTGGGGCAGTCTTTATATTCGGATTCACCATGATTTACCCCACGTCCGGACAAACCTATTTGGAGGTTTCCTGGAATGGGGGTACCTCCAAATCATCTATTTTTAACATTGTTAAACCATCCAGCTATTGGGGTACCCCCATTTGTGGAAACTCCGATTTGAGAGCAACATATCGCCCCGAAACACCGCAGCGAATCATGCACTCTTTGCCCCCGCATGGCGCCCATGTTCGGCGGACGGGAGAAATCGATACAGACGGAGCCATTGCAAGGCTCTGCTGGATGCATCGTGCACTGTTGGTTCAACCATCTATAGTCTAAGATGGATTATTGTTATTATTAAGTTTATTTGTTTATGTTTTTTTAATATATATATATATATGAATATTATGTATAGTTCATGTTATCGACGGAAGTTTTGAAATCAAACTTCCGACAATATGTACAGATGAAGCAGCAGAGGTGGGAACAGTTTCTATGTTGCCCCTAGATGTTTCCGGTGTTTTTCCCTGAGATTGAGCCCATTCCGCTAATGGGAAAGCTGTCCATGTCCCACTATTTGGAGGGCCCGTGCTCGTGGCTGTTTGACGGCGGGGACGACACCCTTCGAGCTTCAAGTCGCTGGAAGCTGCTTGCACTTGCGGCAAGCAGTGTGCTGGGATCTCAGTAGAGAAGCCAACGTAGCATATAAAACCATAGAACTTGGGGTATATTCCCTTTTCTTATGGTAGGTACCTCGAATTTAGATCAATTGAGTTCCCTGAAATTGCCACTGATATGAGGTACAGTCAAAACTCTGGCAGTAGATCACTTTAGTAGGGAGAGCTCACTTTTTTCTGAAAAGTGCACGAAACATTGTGTAGCGATAGGGCCCAAAAAAGCACGCTACCATCCGATACCTATAATTGTGCGTAATGTCCACATCTGAAGCTGATTTACTTGTTTACACAAAATTGTGTGCATGTAAGAGGCAAAAGTAGCTAGACCCCTAGCATGCCCTTTTGTTCACAAAGTAGCCTCAGTCCACAGATAGACCCTCTCCTCCTTTCCTTTCCGCTTCCTTTCCTCGTCTGGATTGAGAGGCATTACTTCCTCCTCCTTCCTCTTTCTTTCCGCTTTGTTTCCGTCTTCCTTCCTCTTCCTTTTTCTTTTGTTCTTCATGTTTTATTCTTTTCCTCTTCCTCTCTTCTTCCTTTCCCCTCTTTCTTTCTTCTCTTTCTTTCCTCTCTTTCTTTCCTCTCTTTCTTTCCTCTCTTTCTTTCCTCTCTTTCTTTCCTCTCTTTCTTTCTTCTCTTTCTTTCCTCTCTTTCTTTCCTCTCTTTCTGTCCTCTCTTTCTGTCCTCTCCCTTTCCTTATCGTTATAAATACAAAACCATGGTTCGCGATAGGCCCCCAAAAAATGATACCTTGTCTTTAAGCAAGGCGAAAACATAGAATTTTGCCGCCGGCTCATATGGGTCTGCCCAACTTGCGGTAGGGATCTGCATTTGCCCTCCCGCATGCCACACATTCATGTGGTTTTAAGTGGTTTTAAATAGTATCACGAGCTTCAATCTCTGACAAATACACATTATCCCATCTCCCTAATATTAGACACCTCTAAATGGTCCCAAATATGGATTCTGGGAAAGTTTAATATCAGGGGGAGTGGGATCACAAAAACGTAAAGCCCGTTTTTTTCCTGCAATTTGACCTCAAGATAATGCCTCGATCCAGTCTAAATCAACCTGGGGTCAACGAACACAAACAAATCAGCCGTATTCCTTTAAGTCACTGTAACCACTGTTAATATATAACTATAATGTGTATATATGAATATGAATATATATATATATATACACAGCCTACCAGTTTTCCAGCAAGATTCATATCAATACCAACAAACAGCTGATCTATTTGCCGTTCAAAGGTGCTCGAGAGGATTTAACCCTGTTTCACAGCCTCAAGGCAGAGATTGAGGCCAATCCTGAAGGGCTGGTGGGAGGACTGGCTTTGTTTCAAGACATGGCATACTTTGTGGTGATTTAATGGGGATAGAATGGGAATATAATTTATAACTAATCAATCCAAACAACGATTGACTTGCTACAAGATGCTACAAGTGGTGCCCCCAGCTATGTTTGTTTGTTAATAACATTCTATTGACTACGTGTGTATATACATATATATATATTTATTTATTTATTTATTGATATATATATATATATATCTACTTGTGCCATGAACCCTAAGTATTGAAGTTATAAACCGTATGCGATGAAATATGGTACCCCGAATGATTCATTTGGATTAATTTGGAGGCAATATACCATTTATGAATGGATGTAAATCCCCTTTTGAAGGAGCCTAATAATCCATGAATTGATCCAATACTACACAGTTCCTTATAGATGGGTAATCCGGTATTTAATCTGAAGGGAAAGGGCTACTGGGTGCATCTTGGTGAATGGTTGGTTCATGCTATGTAAGGCAGGGCATGATGTGGCATCACATGGCTATAGGTATGGGTATTATATATATATATATATTTATATATATATATATTTATATATATTTATATATATATATAGGCAAGCCATTTTAGGGAAGATATACACCATCCATTTGCCAGCAAATTTTTGATGTTGTTTGCCAGGGGTATGGGATTTTGAAAGATCCTCATACGTGCCTTTATTGGATTCTATTTCTGGTGAACGGGGCATCGTATCCATCCACTTCAGCAGCTACACATGCTCATTACATCCCCATTGCGGCGAAAGCCTTGAAGTCACGTCCCCATTCTTACCCTCCGCGAATCAAACATGGATTGCTGGAAAACATGGAAAACCCTATTTGGTTCGACGATGGTCGGTGATATTTTTTGTTAACCTCCATTTGGCTCGGTGATTTATAATCTGTTTTCCCTTATTTAAACCTCCATTTAGTTTGATGCTTCTCCCATTTAAAAATGACTATTATAAAGGTTTTTTCAATTTTAACCTGTTTTTTGGTTTTTGAGTCCCTCCGATTTCGCCCATCTCGTTGGTGGTTTGCGCAACCCGCGCAACCCAGACAGCTGGTTACCAAGAGCGCGGCGATGCTTTGGGACCTCATCGGTTCTTTGCCGGTCCCGATTTGATGGTTTTCGAATGGGAAAAATGGTGGATTTGAATGGGAAACATGATGGAAACATGGTGGTGACATGGGTTTGAATGGGAAATATGGGAAAATTGGTGGTGAAACAAGATGGGAATTGACCCTTTGGTAAACTAACATAGCTATGGAACATTGCCCATTTATTGGTGGTTTACCGTATTGAAACTTCTGACTGTCCATAGCTATGGAACCGTTGATTTATCGAGGAAGTCAAGGAACTGGAAACTTTTTTGTACGGCCGAGTTCGGACTTGCAGTTGGTTGTTTTTTAAGCTATGTTAGTCGGTATATGGTGTATGGTGTATCTATAGTATGCATTGATTGGTGGAAGCATATGGAATTACAATATGCATCTCTATAGTCCATACTTCACATTAGGTGGTCACAGATGCGGGATTAAAATGCATAATTATGCATGAATCAGAGTATATCAGAGTATCTAAGAATATCTAAGATCTCTAAAATTTACATCCACAGTTTCATTATACCCACATGTCTTAATAACATCTATTCTTCCACCAATTTAACTTGGGTCAGAGTACCGTCCCGAGGCATGAGGAGGAGGGTTTATTATGACTATTATTGAGGGGACATTGTCAAACTAAACAAGGGAGCTTTCCAGCTAGCCATGTTTGATGACACCAGATGGTATTGAGAAAGTGAAGTTCAGTTTGTTTATTTCTAAGTTGGTTTACCACCAAACATTGAAGGACATTGGCAAGAACTGCCGATGAGGTAACACCCCAAGAAAGCCTGGTTCCTGTCGGAGAAAAGACAACATTCGCGCCACATGCGGACTGAAGACTGCCAAGTTGATGTAGAAACTGCTTTGCTATCAACAAAACTCAGAACCTCAATTATTTTCCCCGACTTTCTACAATAGGTTGAAACGAACTAACTGGTTAGCTAGGTGATGCGAACTAATTAGTTAACTGGGGGAGCTGAGATTATAATATTAGTTTGCATTTGTTTAAGGTTATTAAACAATATCAAACCAAGTTAAACCATACTAAACCACATGTTGGCGTATGTTTGTCAATGGTTAAACATGTCAAAGCGTTAAAACTTATATAAAACCATATGAAATCACATTAAACCATGTGTTTACCCCAACTATATAGTGGCAAACAAAAAGCTTCCAAAAAGCCTTGCAAGTAACGGTTAACACCATTGAGTCGAACTCAGGAGCCGAAAACACCTGCAGATCTGGGGCGATGCTCTGTGTCTTGGAGCCGGTGCACGCTGGGTCCCATGACCATATGAAACAATTACACCGCCGCAGAGTGCGTGGGTTCTGCATGGTATGGTTACATTATATATGGTTTTTGATATATAATGTTATATATAGTTCTATAGGGTTATAAATATATATATATATGTATGTATGTATGTATGCCTTTATTTTGAAATTTTATATGAATATACGATGGATAAGAACAATCATATACATATTATACAGGTAGATAATATATGATAATAGTATGTATTTTTAAACATGCCTTTCAAAACTGTGATATGTTTGGGAGAGCGGGATATATATACACATATATATATATAATTAAATGTATAGAAATAGAGATGTACACAGATACAATGAAACGTTATAAAACCCTGGACGCAGATCCAAGTAGGAATCGATCTGAGTTTGATGATTCATGATAATTCTAAGACCCAATGATTGTAATGGACTTAATCTTTATCAATTTGATCCTACATATTGGTGTTGGATTTCTGGATTGAAATTCCCAAGCATATTAGATGTTCAATCCAGATGAACTACTAGTTTTATGGTATGATTCACATGACCATGTCTAGGGTTGTACAATCAGACTAAATTGACCCGTATATTGCAACCTAGGATTCGCCGGTGATGATGATGAATCATGGCAAATCTCATGGATGTTTTAATGTGGCTTTCAGTTTTGACGGAAGCTGATTTGACACCCTTCAGTGAGTTGATGTGATTTGACATTTCACAGATTTTCACAGGTCACTATAGGTAAGCCATGCCACATTTTATAGATGATTTAATGTGATCTACCTGGAATCTACCTCACTTAAGAATGATGGTGATACAGTTAGAAATTACCAGGGGCAGGTTTTACCCAATCTTTCCCGTGCAAAACAACAACTGGGGATGATGATCCCAACCGACCGAGATCCGGTTCGCGGTGCTTCGCTTCCCTGAGTCTTGGTCGAATGGGAGACGTAGTCGAGCAACTCGCACGTCCTGCAAACGGCTTCAGAAGCCCTTTTAAGATTTCCAAGGTTCATGCATCTCGGGATGTAGAAAGTTATAGAAATCTAGAATTAAATAATCCCTTTATATCCCTTTATGATATATTATATATTAATATGTCTGAACACACCAAAATGGATCCTCACATTTGATATAGTATGATGTAATATGATAACATCTAAAAAACACATGTAGACATTCATGAGATTTAAGTTCTCTTCCCCATTGGTCCCAAAACGCCGCCTTCTTGCGCACCGAGGATCACCAAGGCTTTAGAGATCTTCGACTTGACACTGGTAGATTGCTGGGCCAATCTTTATCGAAGCAACGAAGACGTGAAGAGTTGGCATCACGACAACTACCAAGACTGGTCGCCCAGGTGGGTTTTGATGCAAAGCTGGATGTATTAAGTATTGTTGAGTGATCCATACTGGATATTTGAAGATGGGGTAGTAAAAGCACCATTTTGTTGAGTTTTGTTCTGTTGATTTATGATGTTGATAATCATATGTGTTGATGTTTTTGTTTCCAAAAAGAGAGGGTGGAAGAAAGCAGACTGCGTTTGTTGCTTTCTTTTGTGCGCAAACATGTCGTGACAGTGATGTGGAAACTGGATCCCAAAGAGATGCGCTGTAAATTATACTATTAAGGGAAAGGAAGGTTATGCAATCCGCCAAAACTTACCAGGTGCTTGTACCCGATGAAATGAAATCGATGAACGTGCCAGTGGCACTCCTGAACAGAAGAGAACGTAGCTTAAGACACACATCCACTTCCATTTGAAACCAGGGACCCACCAAGCTTTCTGACGAATAACTTGGACAGTGATTATCGCTCTTCAACTCCAAGAGCTTGCTCTTGGAATTGCTGTGAATATCCTCAATATATCCTCAATTATGCTGAAGCTACAGGCTCCCTGTGGAACCAGGCCAACCAACTGCGGACATATCAAGAGAAGAAAGTTCAAGTGCCAGGAACTCTAAAACACATAGAACGCATTGTCTCCATGATCTCTCTTTATGAAGCCTTTTAGGCATCCTAAAGTTCGGATTTTGGGACCAGGCCCACTGCCACAATCGGTATCAGCCTGGGAGCCCCTCGGGCATTGGCCTTCCAGAATGCGCAGACCAAACGCCACTGCGCTGAAGATAGCTGAAGCCGTGAAGCCCCGCCGACCACGCAAACAATATTATATTTTCACTAAGGTCAATAATGGGGATATGATGCGACAATCATGGAAACTATGACTGTTCAAATGTTTAGTAGAAAAGAACCAACAACATATTGGGATATAATTGATAATTATAAGAGAATGATTAGGGAATTATCGAGAATATATTGGGGGAACATAATGGGATAGAAACCAATAATTAGTGTAATTGCTGTGTCTGAAAATGCTGCATACCCTCGTGGCCATTTCAATGGGGAAGATGATTAATTATATGTAATCATTGCAATTGGGGCGTCCTATTTCCAGACCCATGTAAGCCCCCACAATGGACAGAGTCAATACTAAAGATAAATATTGTACGGGTTTCTTAGAAGCAATGTGCTCAGTTCAAAACAATAAAACTGTAGCACAGAGGGTACCTTCTGCTAAGATGGGAGTGGACCCCAAGACATGATGAGTTATGTTCAAAACTATGCTAAGACCAACAAAGTAAAACAAAGAACAACACACCAAGTTGCGCGCCCTACCCCGGCGTCCGAGCCAACAAAGATCAAAGATAGGAAGTCCATCATCTCCCAATCTTGGTGAATTCCAAGTCAGCCAGGCGAGCATGAAGTGCTGCAGGAGAATGGTGACATCTTTGCCTTTGATGAGTGCCTCAGTCAAGCCTTCTCGGCCATGGGCAGATAGTCTTTTGTTCAATTCTTGATATTCGAGTGCCAACATTATCTCTAGAACTGCCAGAATCCAAATTATGGGTGCACTAGTAAAGTGTGTTGGACAGTGCAGGAGTAATCAGGAGTGGCGGATGAGTTTTTTAGTGGCATGTGATGGCGTGTGGGTTCAGGCTCACGTCCAACACAGCGGAAGGTGAAGTTGAACTATGCTTTCAAGATCTCCCAAGCTGGTTGGAGTGGACATCCACCAGCTACTATAGATGCCACGCGTGTCATGAGTCTTGTGGAAAGTCCGGTGAGATTCGCAGACCTGAGGCCATTCAACAATTTCTTCAAACATTCGGTTCCTGCAGTTGTGTCTGGCACTGGCCAGCGCATCTCTGTAATCCTCTTTGCGAATGAGCACTTTGGCTGAGTTCGCTGAATTCGAATTGATGCCCCATCTCAGCCACACTTTTTTGGTCAGCATCCTCTTACAGCGGGGGAAAGCCATGAAAACCAAGGCAAGACCATGTGCCTCGCACGCTCCGAGTGAGACTCAGACTGCAGACGTAGTTAGACGTAGGCTACCAGCGGGGCTGTAGCCAGGAAAACAGGACTCTGAAATAAAAGGGGATCTGTTCTATAAGCCCGCTACTAGGGTCGAAGGATCAGTAGATCTTCCTGCGATATATAAATTTAATATATATATATGTGTGTGTTTTTATATTTAATTTAAACGATTATGATGCTGTTTCCTCTTCAATTTTGCCTTATGTTTTATGTTTCTAGGCAGTTTCCTATACAGTGATTTTGTGGCGTCACTATGTCACTCTTCTGTGTCAGCTGAAGTTGATGCGGCCAGGGCCAAGTTCGTTGGCCGGATTATTTTGAGGATTTTATTTGAAGCTGCACCGATGTACAATCGTGTCCAACCTGGTCTGCACATATTAGTTTAGGCTACTGTGTTAACCCTAAGGGTGGCTTCAAAGTGCTGATGTTTCCTCACAGGTGCTGTTACTTGGCATACTTCCACTGTGTACGTCACAACGACCCGCTCGGCTCTGCCCACGGGTAACGCGCGGTCCATTGTCACCTCTCACACATCTGCGTTTAATTTCCATTAATTTCCAGTTGAGCGGGATGAACTCATGCTCATTTGCTCGTATCGAAGAAGTTACAGGGCCGGACCCATTGTTCGAAATGAGTTAGTTTGATGTGATGGTCACGGGGCAGCCAGATTGGTTTGATTTCACGTGCGGACAATCCTTCACAATCGTCCACATATTCTTTCTCCCAGTGACAGTGTTTTTGATTGTTTCCTCTAGAAGTGGCCACATTTTTTTGGGGGGGGGCGAACCTGATAACTTGTTTGTGCTTGGTGAACGAAGGGGGAACAAACAGGGCACTTTTCCATACTTTTCCACTGAAAGCGGTAGTATCCACAAGTTTCCCCATGTTTTGTCAGGAAATTGGCCATAGCTGCCCCGTTTTCATCCTTTGGCATCCAAGAACAGCCACGCCTTAGGAAGAATCCTGGAATGCGCGACTGCATCCCGCTGGATGTTTGCTGGGTGGCTTGGTGATGATTCATGGGTTTCTTTTACGGGAGAATCAATCTAGGAATCATGCCGGACACTATGGATTACCCAGCAAATTTGCATGCTGATCTCCTGCAAAATCTCCCGGAAAAAAACGGTTTGGGATATGTTGTGTGGATGATGTGCAGATGGTGTTTTGATTTGTGGGTAGTAGCCTAGGCTTAAACTAAGAAAACCAAACAATTTACATCTGGCACTGGATGTTGTTTGCGCTTGGTTTGCTGTGATTCACTTACATCATCTTACAGCATGTTTCCTCTTTAGCATTTTGAAGAGCTCCGCATTTTGGAACACTTTGGTCACCTTTGGTGTTAGTGTTTCCAGATGTGTCCAGGATATTTGGGACACCTGCGGCTGTGGAAGTCTGTGCCGACGAGACAGGCTCCTAAAGATCTTGGAAGCCGACCTGAATCTGGTTGAGATCTCCACTTTTGGACATATTTTTGTCCATGTCACACGCCTGACTGAGTTCAGGGAGTTGTAAATGTTCCGGTTGTTTGGGTTTGTCTTTGTTAAGACGGTAACCCTTAAATCTTTACCTATTATGTAAACTGATTTAAACTGCAGTTTTTATGAACATGCCATGGTATAATCCTTTCCAGACACACCCATTCAGCACCGAACTAGATGATCGTTGGTATACCACAATGGAAACAACTACAGTATAAGTTTATATAATTTTTATAGATGGTTTTCCCTAAGTAGAACCTCCATTTGTAGGTCCCATTGAAAATTCCCATGGTTTTTTGGAGGATTTCCCGGTGCCATGTACAAAGTACCATCCATCACCGGCAGATGCGCGGCGGCATCCAATGGCTACGAAGCAGCTCAGCTGCGTGGATTTTTGGGAACATGGGTAGTGTATTTAAGCCCTGTTATTGTTTGATGATTAAACATATGGTTGGGTTTTACTATTCCGTTATATTTTTTCTATGGATGGTATGATGTATATCATAATTCATATTTGTTCATGTGGGAATAATGGTGCACCTAATATTCCATGATTTGGGAATTCCTACTAACCAAGAGATCCCCTTGGGTATCACCAACCAAGGGGATCGCATGGGACACAACCCGACACCGGTGGCTTCGTCCCATGTTTGAGCATAGGGTACCCCATGGTACCCCCAAATTCGCTGGTTAATCAGCATTTGCCATTCTGGAGAGTCCCAAATTGTCAGACACAGCCACGTATCCCATAAATATCTGGAAAATCCCACTGGTTCATTGATTTAAATTCATAGACCTTTTTTAAATCCATTCACATCCCATTGAACCATGAAAAAATACATGGCTTCATCATCCCCAGATCCCTTTTTGTTCTTCCCTGTGAGCTGCCTGAGGCGCCTCAATCTTGGTACAAAGTTGCCAAGTGGCTCGATGTAAGGTACGAGACTTGGTGCCGCGGTAATCAAACATGGCTGGAACATCCACGGAAATGACAGGAAAACTTTGACAGGAAAGGCGGGAAAAGGTGTCAAAAACAAGGAAATTTTGATAAATTATCAAACTTTGGGTGAATGTTTTTGATCAGGGACATTGGTTGACCTATAGTCATGTGCAACATGCGAGAGGCTCGTTGTTTACCTATCCCCCTCACTCTTTCCAATATCTTCCCCCAATGAAGACAATCTACAAATATGGATGATACGGATGTGTCTGAGTGGACACACCCATATTGCGTTATAATGTGCTGATGGTTACTGTCAAGAGACCCTGCAACACCACTTGCCCTGCAGGAGTTTCGCAGAGATTGAACACGTCTTCAAATCGCTGGCCAAAGACGTCTCGAAGGATGGTTGCCACCAGAGCGTGTCCTTCTACTCCATGCCCAAACGCCACTTGGCCATGTTCTTCTATCAGGATTTCCATCGTTGATCATCGTTGTTATTTTTGTGCTTTGTGGAACCCAAGGCCGCAAAAGGTCTAAGAATGGGTGAGTGAACCTGCATTTCAACATGTCAATCCGGTTTTGATCTTTGTGTGCAAACAACATAAAATATATCCAAATCATTAAACAACCCATGAAAAGAAGACAATCGCCGCCTTTTCTGCCTTTTCTGCATCGTTTTTTCCATGGTGTGGGCCAAAACCACGTCCACCACGCCCCAGTGCAAACCACAGGTGAGCCACACAGCGTGCCTGGCTCCCGTCAGCCGTCGCCGCAGTCGCAAACAATAGAGCAGCGGCCCGCTCGAGAGGAGCTGCGATCGGGGTGTAGGGAACGAAACAACTCGGAGACAGTGGGATATAAACCAACGTATGGCTTATATATATATATAATCGATATAGGAATTATAATATATTATAATCAATATAAGAGCCAATTTGGGAGTACATGTTGTCACTACCTGGGATTTGGATGTTTTATGAGATATTGTTTGTATTTTATTCTCATCATAACAAGAACGATGGGGATGATTAGGCAGCAAAAATGCGGGAACAGTGAATCTTAAGTGGGCAAATGATGATAAGCCATGTTTTTTTGGTAGACAACCCCGTATCCCGTATGGTTCATATGAAACATTGCTATACATGCTATAATTACGTGAGCAGGCAAATTTGGAAGATTTGACACTGCATAATTTGGCAGGACCATGGAGCATTTGGGAATGAGTGACTTCGATATCAATATCAATATCCCTTGTATAAACAAATCAATTCAATATGCCAAAACAATCCAAAACATAGGTTGACTAGTGACAAAAAAAGTATCCAAAGTAAACAGCAAGTTGACAAGTAAAGCCTTTTTATGTAGAACCATACTCTATGGACCCCATGGTTGCAAAGACCTCCTGAGAAGGTACATTTTTTCTGTGAATCATGGCCCCAACACTACCTGGTTCATGACCCGGATTAACTATGATTAAACTATGTTTATATTGTCAATATTGTATTTGCTGTAAACCCGAGTGAATTGGAATTCTGTTGGCCAACTTGACTAACGAAACGAAGTGTGGCACCACCGTGTTGCTTATGCAGGTTGACTCCCACGATAGTTAATTCAATATGCTGAAATCGCAACTCTCTTCTTTGTTAACATTCACTCAGTCGACTAAGAAACCTATGCATAAAATTGTATAAAGATATGCATTTACATATGTGAAGCTAACAAAAAACGGAAACAGTATTTCAAGAACAACACACACACACTTTTTTTTTGATTTCGTTATACATATATTTATATATATATGACATACATACATACAAATTATAATGACCCTTCATTTGTGCCTGTTTCTCCCTGGGTCAGGGTGACCCACAGCGGCGAATTCGGCCAGGACTTGGAGCTCTTGTCCGCGCGGCAGGCACTGACGCTGCAGGGGGCGCAGCAGGTGGTGGCCATTCTGCGTGGCAAGAAACTGCAACTCGGCAATCGCCTGGAAAATCTTATGGAACATTCATGGAAAAGTCATGGAACACATGGAACATCGATGGAACATCTATGGAACACTCCCAAAAGTCATGATTTATCATCATATTCCCCATGTTTGATGGCTATTTCTTTAAATGGTATATCTATGTATATCTCCATTTTCAGAGAAGTCCGTATGATTAATTAGCACATGTTAAAAACCTATCAATTGTCCATTAAGTTCGGGCATTTTCCGGCGCATGTTAAATCGGACACCGGAAGAGAAGAAATGATGGGAAAATGGTGAGACAATGGCTAGACATTCCTGATTTGTGTGTATTGTTTTTTATTATTGGCGATTGATACTTGGTGAGTTTGATTCTCTTTCCCATTGGAGAGGTGAGGTGACCCCCAACGACTATCAATGATCTCCTCATTTCTTTTGGGAACAGCGTTCAAATCACTGGCTATGGCAGAAAAGGATAGAAATGGCGGATTGTGGGTTGAATCCAGAAAAGTGCGATTGTTGCCGAGCAGGATTTTAATCTATTGAACAGCTCGTCGTTTCACTAACACTACACCAATTATATACCATAAACAAAGCCGCAAATCATCCATGTTGGCACACTGGTTAAGGCACACTCCCATCGTTAAACATTGCGGCACAGGATCGAAAATCGTGCCTGGAGGACCCGGGGCGCTAAATGTGGGAAGGGGGCATCCAGACCTGTGAGGAGGTTCCCGGACATAGCCCCTTTGATGGAACCACCATACAAGCTATGAACTCTAGTAAGTCGGGGGTCATGCAGAGCAGCAGTCCAATAAATATTGAAATATATACATTATATATACAATTATATATGCATATATATATATATATTTATTTAAATATGTAAACATACAAAGTATGTACATATATACAGACATTTATATACTAATATAATATGTTTTATGCTCAAAAATATTATGCATTAATATGGAAACATGTCAACACGTATCCTTAGTTCATTGAACTTTGCTTCAAATTTGAGAAGACTAGGTATGCTGTGAGAATAATGTTGTTTGGAACCAAGTTTCCGGACTATATCACGGTCAGGTTATGACCCAGACCAAGAAATGAAATGATCAATGGACAACCGTTCTCAAAACAGACGCACATGCCGCAGATGAGTCAATCATGGGTATATGTCGGATTTTTCATACTATATATTTCCTAGATTGGATGGTTGCAAACGAACAATAACCAATCATACATCTTCACATCCCGCCATATCCTGATGAAGTGGTAGCATCCCTCGGTGCCAGGGCATGAGGAATTCAAGTCACAGAGCTTCAAAAACACAGCTTTGAATCCTCAGAGATGATGAGATGGGTCTGAAATAGCTTACCCCAAGATCCAATGATAGTCATATTCTCCATATGTTCTAGTAGATGCTTGGGTTTTTGTTCCCATTTTCAGACCCAGATGGTCTGGAACCGTGCTCTACGTTCGGGGCCATCCCAGGAGACCATCGAACTTACGACAAGGTGGTACCCCATTCCCTATGTTGGTGAACATAACTCAATAACCAGGGCTAGGAAGGTAGATATATCCGATATATCTCTAGTTCATGGTGTTTTAAACCAAACCTATTGGATCATCCCAACACCTCCAGGATTCCCGTGGGTTGGTATGCCATCCACGCGGGCGCTCAGACCATCAACGACGAGCGCGCAGCGCGGATTCGGTCCGTGTGGCCGGAGGCACCAGCGGAAGCATCTCGGTTGAGACAAGTTGAGGCCTGATTGCCTACCATTCACACCATTCACCAATTGAATAGTTCATCCGGGCATTGTGTTTGCCTGGTTGCACTTCCAGCTCAGCTTGTGATGAAGTGTGAGAATTGCTGGGATGAATGTCTTGGCAGGATGATTTACAAAGGACGACGAGGGTTGGAACTGTAAGAAAAAACATGAAAATATGGATTGATACAAAAAAAACAAGTTGCATCGGGTATTAGTCCAAGTATATCCAAATATCTTGCAGAACACTAGCCTTCAAGGTTTCTTTCGCTTGCTGGCACCACAGAAGTGTGGCATGTGGACTTTCAATGCCAGCACATCTTGGATCATCCTGGCACATCAGTCGCACATTTGAGTCACTCTCACAATGGATCAAGACCTTCGCGCCCTGGTGAAATCGGGTGAACATCGAAATAACTTTCACATGGTTTTAATACAATTCATATTCATCATACTCATTTATAGATTTATATCCTATCTTAGATTTTGCCATGCTTTTACCTCCCATTCTTAGATTTTGACCTGTTTTGACAGTTTTTGGACCCATTCACATTGACCTTGATTTGATCAACTTGCGGTGAGCCGATCGCACAGAGACTAAGGAGTCACTGCCCCACAGTGCCATTTTAGGATCCTCAGCAGCGAAGGGTGGGGCCCGATCCACTAAAACCCGTATAGGATCCAGTGGTAAACCCATGAGTACACCTACCATTTGGGGATTTTTGTTACCAATGTGTGGTAAGATTGTGGATTGATTTTTGGGCTTGCCACATTACAAACCTTTGGGGCAGAAGCCATGTTCAGTTGGTATGGATTGGATGAAAATCATTCACCAAAAGTGTACTCCGGACTCTGACAAGGGTACAACCAATGGTTGCCATGGATGCCACACCCGATCGAACATGGAAATGGATGGACATGGTCGGAAATGGAGCGAACATCGTCTAGATTGGAGGTGAATTCAGAACATTGCAAGCTATACTGGTTCCTTCAGTTTGCGTATGTTGGCGTACTAAATAAAGGATATAAAATGATATAAATAAATATGGGAAACCAACATTAACAAACATTTGCCAACCTGGAAGGGGTCTAATCACCGGTGCAATTGATGGCCCCCAAAAAGTGCCTTGCCTAAAAGACCGCTGGAGCCCCTTTCTGAGGCCTTTTCTACGTGCACAGCCACACCGTCCCGCAGGCGCCGTGGTTTCGACACCACCAGTGGATTCGACGATCCAACAATGAACCAGGGTTTCGTTCCGGTGATATTTATGGACCATTTCTGGGCCATATATGGATATCACATGATAATAAAGTAAATATACATATATATATATATACATATGTATGATAGCATCAGATGTTCAACCCTTTCGGAGGAATATATTATTTAACTATGCTCAGTGGAATGGTTGACTTATGACTTCAGGATGGCCAACCGAGGTCATGTTTGGCCCCCCTCAGTTCACGTAGAGAAGTCGACCAAGGATGGGTATAGCCACGATACTTTCGGAGCGTTCCTGACATGGTGGTACCGCCATAGCTGGGCAGTCCAGAACGGAAACTCCCCTAAAAAATGGATGATTTGGGGGTACCCCCATGGAAACCTCGATAACATGATGAGATCATGATGAGCATCCCTATGCCCAAGATCTTGCCCGGTGATGTGGGTAGAGATGGCGCTACTTCTCCATGCACTAGATATATCCATGGGTGTAGTGTAGTTATGTAGTTTAGGCAGGCAGATATTTGCAAAAACAAATGATCATAGAACAAATTACCTATAATATATAAATACACTTACGCACTCCTTCTTGCACTCTACTGACACTGGTGCCCCAAACTTTGCTAAGTTGGTAACCATAACTCCAAAAACTGTTCGGTTTATGGTAGACATATCTGAGTAGTTTTCACGGAGGTTCAATGGACCAAGAAAGATAACTGTTGGGCACCACCTGGTAGACTGTCTATAGCTTAAAGGTCAGATAAAGTTGTACGTAGTTCTGCATACTATATCGCGCATCTCTTTTTCAATAATCCATTTTAGTAGGACTGTGATTTGTAAACCATCCATTTTGGGGTGCCTCCATTTTTGGAAACCTCCATAGAAGCACGCTCCAGAACTTCAAAGCTCAAGGCGTGTCCTTCGTACGTGTGGGCACGTGGACCGTCGGATACCAAGCCCTGGATCCGTCAGTGGAGCTGTGTTCTTATCATGTCGTTTATCCATAGCTGGCCAAATTATTGGTGAAAATCATGCTTAAAATAACATCCAGAATCATCCAGACTTTAAGTGCAAAAAAACATCACACTTGTGTTTTACTCCTTACAATCTTGTTGGTGACGAAAAAAATCACCACTTTTTTTTTAGAAGGTACGAAGGTAAGATGGCCCAGGCCACGTCACGACTGAGGATTTGTCATGTGATCTCCAAAGCCGTTGAGTTGCCACGGCCGATGCACTGCCGCGGCGGCAAACACCTCTGGGATTTGGAGGCCCGGCATGGTGCAAGAATCACCCAAGTTCTTGATGTTTCTTTAAGCAAACAATGGGGTAAAACAATGGCATACACCATCCCCTAGCCATCACCATGTTTATAGGTGATATGGTTACCATTCCCAGTCATGGCTGGTTTATGACGTTGTTTTACCCACATTTTGAATTATATAAATTGAATCAGCCAAAACTACAACAATAAAATCATAAGAACCAAACAATGATATGATACAAGTGTGGTTGGTGCTTTCAAACATTTACAATTTACATGGAGAGCAAAAAAAAGGATTGAACCACAATTTATAATGACTTACATATACACAGTTATACACATATATAATCATATCTATATATATATATATATTATATATGTTGTTGGTGGTTTCAATTTTTTACAATTTCCATCTATTTTCAAGATAGATAATGATGCCCAATGGATCCCTATAGTAGGAGCTTGTCGTAGCACCGCAGCATGCGGCTGCGATCCTCCCTGTCCCATTCCAATACCCGCCCACACCTGTGCGTGGCAAAGAAGTGGAACTGATGGCTTCATGATGTGGGGCAATTTCATGTAATTTCATGATCTCGGATGGTGTTTTGTTGGATCATGGAGATTGTTTTGGTGTTTCTTTGCTTCTCAATCGATATTTGGGAACTGCTTTCGTTTCAGTAGATGTTTGGTACTTGCCCAATGGATCCCCACACCATGCCCTGGCTGGACTAGGCGCCTTGTTCCGGGCGAATTTTAAATACCAACCCTCTTTGCAACCTCACTGTGGATGCAGGTGGTGTTTTAACTGGATCACTTCAAAACTAAACGAGAACTTGCAACAACAAACTGTGAGTTGATATATATATATATATATTATATATACATATATATATATATTATATATATATATTATATATTATATATATATATGTGTGTGTGTTTATTTATTTATGTATGTATTTATTTATATATGGCTACATATCAATACACGCAATATATATATATATCATATTTAGTATATATGTCATATATTTAAAACATAGTACATACATACATACATACATACATACATACATACATACATACATACATACATACATACATACATACATACATACATACATACATACATACATACATACATACATACATACATACATACATCATGCATCCATACATCCATACATCCATACATCCATGCATCCATACATCCATCCATGCATCCATGTATGCACGCATGCACGCATGCATGCATCCATCCATCCATACATACATTTATACATACATCCATACATCCATATATCCATACATCCATACATCCACACATCCACACATCCATGCATCCATGTATGCACGCATGCATGCATGCATGCATCCATCCATCCATACTCCATACATCCATACATCCATGCATCCATGTATGCATGCGTGCATGCATGCATGCATCCATCCATCCATCCATACATACATACATATATACATACATACATACATTCATACATCCATACATCCATACATACATACATCCATACATCCATACATCCATACATCCATACATCCATCCATCCATGCATCCATGTATGCACGCATGCATGCATGCATGCATCCATCCATCCATACATACATACATACACACATACATACATACATACATACATACATATATACATACATCCATACATCCATACATCCATACATCCATACATCCATACATCCATGCATCCATGCATCCATGTATGCACGCATGCATGCATGCATCCATCCATCCATCCCTACATACATACATGCATACATCCATACATCCATACATCCATACATCCATACATCCATACATCCATCCATCCATGCATCCATGTATGCATCCATCCATCCATCCCTACATACATACATACATACATCCATACATCCATCCATTCATGCATCCATGTATGCATCCATCCATCCATCCCTACATACATACAAACATACCTACATACATACATACATACATTCATACATCCATACATCCATAAATACATACATCCATCCATCCATGTTTCCATGTATGCATCCATCCATCCATCCCTACATACATACATACATACATACATTCATACATTCATACATTCATACATCCATCCATCCATGCATCCATGCATCCATGTATGCATCCATCCATCCATCCCTACATACATACATCCATACATCCATACATCCATACATCCATCCATGCATCCATGTATGCATCCATCCATCCATCCATCCATCCCTACATACATACATACATACATCCATACATCCATACATCCATACATCCATACATCCATACATCCATACATCCATCCATGCATCCATGCATCCATGTATGCATCCATCCATCCATCCCTACATACATACATACATCCATACATCCATACATCCATACATCCATACATCCATCCATGCATCCATGTATGCATCCATCCATCCATCCATCCCTACATACATACATACATACATACATACATACATACATACATACATACATACATACATACATACATACATACATACATACATACATACATACATACATACATACATACATACATACATACATACATTATATACCTTTGAGCCCTGAAAAAAAAAATCTGACCAGGTCTGGCAGCTGCAGCAGATCCACCAGCAGCTGCAAGAGGTCTCGGTGCGCTTCCACGACCTGTCGGAACTGTCGGAGGCGATGCGTGGTGCATCCCAGGCATCTTTATTACCCATATATACAGGTATACATATGTAAATATAAGATATATATATATATATGTATGTGTGAGGAAGGCTGTTGAGAACAAACAAACAAAGGTATATATATATAGTTAATTAATTATATATTTATTATATATTTATATTTTTTTATTTATATACATATTTACCTATGTGCATATGTTTGCTTACTAAAGCTTTGATGCATGATGCTTGCAGAATTTGGAGAAGGGGTGAGTGCACAGACTTATTTAATATTGTTTGCGTATGGTTTCGGATCTTATGTTTTCGAGTTAATCCTTGGCCGTTATTCATGTTTGCGAGTGTCGATCTGTGAGTCCTGTTGGTGTTTTGTGAAAGTTCAAATTTCTAATTTTCCTGGGGGAACCTTGATTCGGAAGGTGGGTGAGAAGTCCTTTTTTTGGGCCATGGACTGCCATGCCCAAGTCATCGTGGCAGGTCCTGGGATGACCGTCCTGACCGGCAAAGAAAAAGGAAGGGCCTGTCATTTGGGTGAACCTTGGATGGGTAGTTTAACTCACTTTACTGTAAATCATTTGGGATAAATGGGGGCATATACTGACTAGATTTGATTGTCATGTTGATAATATATGTGTATATTGTCATGATAAGAAGATTGTTTTTCATGTCACGGGGAGAGGAAAAACAACAACCCTGCTCCAGTTCGGTGGACCCCCAATCTGGTTGGTGGTTTGGAACATTTTTTATTTTTCCACATTTTGGGAATAATAATCCCAACTGACTAATATTTTTCACAGGGGTTGAAACCACCAACCAGCAATGATAGATCAATAAACACTTATTATTGGTATACTGTTGGTTGTGGATAGGCCGGAACAAGTCCTTATGGGTCTCTGGTTGAATCCCGCCAGGTCAAGTCGAGCTCACACCAGACAGGCCGATGTGTTTTCGACGGTGAAGCTGGATCCGACATATTTTGTTACCCTTTGGTAGTCACATGTGGGAATAGAAAATCACTCATTTATAGTTGATTTTCACATGAAAAAACTCCACAAAAGTGGTGGATTTCCAGTTGCCATGCTTAATTACCAGAGGGTAAGGATGTTTTGCAATGGCATTGATTATATTTTGATTATATATTACCACCCAAAAGAACATGCCTAGTTGACCAATATATAAGATTTTTGTTGAACCATAGCTTTTGTGTCATGATACTTAGAAGATGTTTCCATTGGGACTTTGGATGATCATGGCATGTCAGACAAGATTCATTTGAGGCGGAACAAGCTCCAGTGTACTAGGACGTGCTTGAAAGAGATAGTTTGATATGTCAGACGCAAAGCATTTGTCCTAAACAAACAAAATGTGTTCAAAATGTAGTACACTGAACCCAATGCCATAGGCTCAGCCGGGAGCGTGGCGTCGCAGAATTGTCATGGAGGGCGCAGACAAGCCCAATGCCATAAACTATCCCCCAGTCATGGTTGGATTAGATCCCAAGTCATTTGGGATCTTGTGAAAACCTTTTTTGATCAGGAAAATCTGACCGATGGATTGACACATGAAATGATCTGGATGGAAGTTGATTAGCATGTCAGACAGTCATATATAATCACATATATATATATATATTTAAATATAGATCATATTAAGCCACATTACAGCCATAGCCATAGGACAATCATCAATAATGATATTCCACCATAGCCATATATCTTTGGGCAGGGCTGTCGCGGCTGTCGCGGCGCCACAGGAGTTGCCAAGGGTATCCAAAGGTCAGGATTTTTGGGGGATTATTATGACTTAAAATTAGTAAAGGCTAACAACTAGGTCAATCAACTGGATGCGCAGGGACTCGTCCGATCCGATGTTGCGCAATTTGAATCGGAATATCTACCAACCAGCCAATAATTGGATTTTTTTGGCAGACTACCAAAGATTCACCTTGTCATTTCAAGGGGGATATGTGTTTCTTTATTACTATTTTGGGCTAAATCCCTACATGTGTTTGAAGCACATATAAAACTACAATCAGGTATTGTTCCTTTTTAGATGGTTTGGAATGTGTCCGGCTTGTTTTGGCATACCATTGGGTTAAATAGTGGTATATGGAGGCCCATGATTCAACACGGGCATGGAAAGGTAGCAACAGGGAACCCAATTGTGATTCGCAACACGATCAAAGCACTACACCACCTTGAACTGCTAAATACGTTTCGTTACATATGCTCACCTACAAGATTCTTCCAACTCCAACTTCCAAAAATCCGAACTTGTTTGAAAATCTTATTCCAACCCCAAAACATCCACATCTTTGGCTCCAGCAGACCAGCCATGGACAGCTTAGATTTGGATCTCGAGTCTTTGGGGCTCCGCCATGGCGGCGCTTCCTCGGCTCGCTGTGCCCGGCATGCCGTGATCCTACTCCTCACCGCTGCCGTGGTAATCTGTGTCCTGGTAGACCGTCGCGAGGACGGCGACGCCGCGACGCGGAGAGATCGGAGAGAGACGGCGCTGCAGGAGAAATATGCCACTGACTGGAAAAGTTGAATGGTTCGTTTTCTGTTTGTTTTTGTGGTGCAATTTCAAGAAATCTGGGTATTTAAATAAAGTAATTAACATGTACACCTGTATATATTGGTATGTATATATATATATATAGGGGTTCACGGTAAGATGGCACACACAAAACGATGCATTTATGCCATCCAAGAGGCGTTCATACCCCTCAACGAAAACTGTGGCGTATGATGGTATTCTAGGACCCCCTCCCCCCTTCCGTGTGCCATCTTAGTGTGACACCCCCCCACTTGCAAGAAGTATGCACATGTCTTGTATTGGAAAACTCCATGTATGTTTTGACCTTCACTCTTGGCTTGTGCCGCTCCATATGTTTTTTCTTGAATCCTCCAATGTGTTTTCTACAATTTTGCATGGTCCTGCCCTCATTTTTGCATATTCTTCCCCGATTGAATGGTCTGGAAAGAGGTGTCTGCCATCTTAGCGCGCCCCCCATTTGCAAGATGTATGCACCTGTCTTGTGTGGAAAGCTCCATGTATGTGTTGACCTTTACTTTTGGCTTGCGCTGCTTCATTTTTCATGGTTTTTTCTTGGGTCCTGGAGTCCTCCCTTGTGTTTTCTACAATTTTGCATGGTTCTGCCTTCATTTTTGCATAGTCTTCCCCGATTGAATGGTCTGGAGAGGGGTATGTGCCATCTTAGTGTGCCCCCATTTGCAAGATGTATATATATATATTCATATTTATGCATTTTTGCTTTTAGGCGCTTGGTCTAGTATAGGCGGCTAAGATGGCACACAACTGCCTCAATGGTGTTTATAGCAGTGTGCCATCTTTGGCCCTGCGGGTGGACCTCTTTGACCCCTGCGATTTTTTGAAAAAAATGCCTGTTGCCATTTTAGTGCACCTGGTTTCGGTGTGCCATCTTACCGTGAACCCCTATATATATGTCTATATATTCATGTAAATGTATATCCGTATTTATTGGTTATGTAAGTTAACAAACGTTCAGAACAATATGAGCTTTAAATGGTTTTAATAGTCACCTATGGACTCACTGAACTTCAGTAGATGCTAACGGAGAGAGCCAGCAAGACGAGTACTTATTTTGCATCGGTTGATTTGTGGTTCCATCTGTATATTCAATGTCCATTTCAGGGACAGTTTTTTTGGGATGTGCCTTTCATGATTATCATGAGGCATTTTTTTGCTGGCTATGCGAGGTAGTATTCCCATTGATCTATTTCTTCTGCAGTGTTTTCCGGTCAGAACTAGCCTCGAGGTCTCCTGTATCTTGCATGGTTTCCATGTTTTTTTCCCGTTGGGATAGTTTCCCGCAACCAGGAAAGCTCCACTGAACCACTGACACCAGCACCACTGGAAACTTGCATCGTCACGTTTCTGATGCAAGAGACGCTTTGCTGAGAGAGGGCGATTCAACGCTATGCAAGTCAGTGTAGACTTTCATCTGGCATCCAAGGTAGATGGGTTATGAAAGCAAATCAGCTATACCTAGAGCCATATATCGTGATACACATTCATAATCGTTCGTAAGCAACAATGCATAAACCCACATGTAATGATCACATATCTGTTCAGAGGTATAATGCTGAAAGTATCCCCTTTGGTGATCCTGAGATTAGATATGATATATCCATGGCTATTAAGTAGACCACCAGGTGTCCCTGTCATCGTAGACTTGGAAGAGAACATTTAGACCAGATATCACTTGGGAGTAAAAACCATCACTTCCGCTTCAGCTTCACGTGTTCATAGTATTTCATAGTGAAAGCAGTGAAAGCCCACTGTTTCACGGTGAAAATCTATTTTTTCTGGTGAAAATCCCTCCTTTTTTCGCCCTTTTTGCTTGGTTTTCATCCCAGGCCCTGCAATCCCCTCGATCTCCATGGGAGCTGCGCTCAGGACCTGTTTGAGACCTCTGGTGATCTTCATGGTTCTTCTGCTGCTGCTTCTCCTCATGCTCTGTGTGTGGGAGGTGGCACTTTCCGCTGGTCGAGGATTTTGGACACCATGGTGAAACCCGGGTTTTCAGCGTTGCCCATTCATTCACTGGTATAAACATAATGGACCTGGACATATTCTCACCTGACACCATCATCATGTTTCAAGAAATGTCAAGCACCATTGTTCATATCAACCTTCATTTGTGTTCATGTCCATAGTTGCAATAGCAAAGAAAGAATCGACATAGAAGAAACCGTGACACGACTGTAGGAGCAACCATCACCATCACCATCATCATCAACATCATCATCATCATCAACATCAACATCATCATCATCATCATCAACATCATCATCATCAACATCATCATCGCCATCATTGTCATCATCATCATCGTCATCATCATCATCATCAACATCAACACCAACACCAACACCCTCATCACCAGGTTTTCTCTATGAGATCCCCTCATGACCTCGAGCTTCCCAGGCCTTTCACTGCTGCTGCTGCGGCACCAAACCCAGCAGCACGGTACCGGAGGTGGAGCAACTGATCAACGGCAAGGAGCGAATGGACGAAGTGCTGCGAAGGCGCTGCGGCTGGATGGTTTATAATATTATCATGTTATAATCCGATGAACATGGATGGTTTGGAGGTACTCCTAGTTTAGGAAATCTCCACATATATATATATATAATTATATATATATATATATATTTGTGCATATCAAGAAACATGAATCGCATGCCAGACTGAGATATGCATTATATTATCATATATGCATCGCAATCGTGTCATTCATGGGTTTTTTTTTTTAACTGCCACGCTACCATTTCAAGGATGATTTGGTATCTTTTGCCTCAACCACTTCTGAGGGTATCATACGCTAGGATGATCCATTTGGCGAGCAAATGCCAGCCCACTCAGCCCATGGTGGGTTCAAACCTAGCCTCACACATCAGCTCAGCAGTCAGACCAGTTGTCTGTCAGTTTGTGACGTTTTCAAAGGAACTTGGATTCTGTCAGCCAAATTTCTCTTTTGAATAGGAGAGGATGGGCCCAAAACACTATGGGACTTGGAAGGGAACAACTCGGACATCAACCTACTCCCAAGAGATAAATATTTCGAAATGCCCCTTTTTAAATTATTTTATTGGTGGTTTTGCAGCCTTGGTCAGCTGTTTAGCATTCAGCTTCCAGGAAGTCCATCAAGTTCCTGGGTGAGGAGTGGAAAGAAGGAACGACCAGCAACATGGAGATTGAGGAGAAAATCATGAGGAGCTGGGATGTGTCGCATATCGAAGAAAACTTGGAGTCTCGGACCTTTGTAACGGACGTTTGTAAGTCACAGACACGTGACATGGTACAACGGAGATTGTGCCCCCAGATACGCTATAAGTTGGTTTATTTTGATCATGTTTGATCCCACTAGGCAATTAGCAATATATAATTAGCGCACAGAGATACATATACAAATATATACAATAAACAAACTTAGCTAAGTATGTGGCACGACCCGTCACGACCCTGCTCAGAACATCCCCCATGTTTTTGGTGTCCGGGCCTCTAGGAGTGCAGGCGCTTTCCTGCTTTTTACATCATTCATCCGATCGTACTGCACGTGCACACCGACTTAATGCTACAGTACAATATATGATTATATATATATATTGATTCTTCTACGTTATCAGATCTTGTCTTGCATTTGCACACCGACTTGATGGTACATTATATAAGGCCCAAGTTCAAAAGCTGTTTTCCCACAACGATCGTTTAAAAACAAATGCCAAAATCATTGATTGAATTAGAATTGCAATCTTTTCAAAAAGCATAGTAATTGAGAGAGAGAGAGAGAGCCTCAAAATGAGGCGCCCATGCATCCAGAAAGAGAAATCAAGATATTGAAACATTCAAGAAACCTTTTTCAAGGCTTCACGATTTCCTGGAATCCTGGGTGATTGAAGGTGACCTTTTTGGGTTCGGTAATCCGCCAAGATCTCCCGAAGGTTCGGGTGAGGGGCAAGATGGGCCAAACACAGCAACTTAGACTCCCTTTTTGTGAGCACATAAGCTCTAGGATATTCTAGGATTACACTACCCATGTTGGAGTTATCATCCATGATGACAACCGGACTTTTAACATTTTTCCAAATTGAAACTTGTTTGGTCTGTAGAGTCTGCCGAGACAATGCGCTGGACATCCAATTAGCATGCCACATCAGACAATCAGAAAGACAAAACAAGACAAAACCGCTCCACTTTGGTTGTGCTTCATCACCAATTCTTTGTAACTAGCATTTCTGATATTTTTTTCATATGACCAAAAATGTTTTGTAATCATCTTACAAGTCGACTTCTCAGGTAAGGTATTTGGACATGTGGCCTCAAGTGTGTCAAATCTGGATCCTGAATATGGCCCATATTGGCCAATCCATTTGTGGCACCATGGGATACCATGGTCCGAAATGAAAAGTCACACACCAATACATGACTGGCTGGTGGTTTCAAACATTTTTTTTATGTTCCATAATATATGGGATAATCCTTCCCATTGACTAATATTTTTCAAGATGGTTAAAACATGTTAAAACCACCAACCAGATGATATGCCATGATATGCCCATTTGGTAATTCAATCCTTCATGTGTTGAATGGTCACGATTCGCTCACGATTCAGCAGTCAAATCTCCATGTCTGAGAGTAACTCATCAATCCGTCCACTATAAACACATAGGCAAGATAGAAATACACACACTTATGCATACATAATCGTATATACACATACATATTTATACATGTATAGTTATGGATGATATGGGTGTGGGTATAGACCGAAAATGTAGACATAGATATAGATTACATTTGGCGACAGATAAATATTATTTATATATATATATATATTAATATATGCCATCGCCTGAGGATCTTGTGGACCAGGTGGTGCAAATCATGCAGGACTATCCAGGCGGGTGGAGAGGAAGGTGACCCGGTGTAGCTTTTCACGGTGTTGCTATGAATGGAGCCAGGAAAAGTACAAGAAAAAATGCAGGGAACCATTTTTTTTCCTGTTACCCCTTGGTAATTTAACAGTGTGCTATTGTTTTTTTGTCTATACTTTGGTATATAAATCATCTATGAAGAACAATTTTCCATAGCCATGTCAAATTACTAGAGGCTGCTTTTACTTTTTGTTTCTCTGAGAGGGGTGGACGTGTTGGACAGTTGGATGATGTGATTCTTGAGGGTGAACAAGAGACAATGTTTCCTCAAACCATTTTTTGATACCGCTATCATCGTAATGATAGCCATTAATATTCATAGCATGTTATAGTAGCATATATTATCTACCATCATCATCCTCTAGCATTATCACCAATTTTGTTTCAGCAATGGAGCATATATCCAGATTCATTGATATGCGTCCTGACACGAAAACCTCGAGAAAAGATCGGTTCGATGCGTGCGATACGCATGAAATACAACCACACATATGTATGTGTGTATTTATATATATATATATACGTACATTATGTTACAGATAGACTATATATATATGTACACACGCACAATTATCGAAAGAAGTTTAGAAGTCAAACTTCGGACAATATGGACAGATGAAAAAGCAGAGGTGGGAGGAGAAGAAAAATGAAGATCAGAGAAGAGAAAGAGTCAGAGGAAAGAAGATGCAGGTGCGCGAAAAGGTAGCAAAGTGCCGAAGCACTGTGTTTTCCAATGGTTTGTGGCTCCGGAGGGTCGAAAAGTAGGCTCGCTAAAGCGGCGGGTGCGGAGCCATCTGGCCAGATGAGAGATGAAAAGTTGCACGCCGTCGTGGCGCGAAGCACATTTCGAAGTCAAACGTGCAAAAAAGTGACGGTCTCAGACGACTTTTGGAAGTTGAGATGTCGAAAAAGTGCACACTGTTGTGGCGCGAAGCACATTTCCAAGTCAAAATGTAGAAAACACACCAGGTCGGAGCACTTTTGGAACTTGAGATGTCGAAATTGACGCTGTTGTGGCACGAAGCACATTTCCAACTCAAAATGCACAAAACAATACAAAACACGCCAGGGTCGGAGCACTTTTGGAAGCTGAGATGTCAAAAAAGTGCACGCCGCTGTGGCGCGAAGCACATTTCGAAGTCAAAAGTGTTAAAAACTGACGGTCTCGGAGCACTTTTGCAAGTTGAGATGTTGACAAGTGCACGCCGTTGTGGCGCGAAGCACATTTCCAAGTCAAAATGTTAAAAGCACCACATGTTCGGACCACTTTTGAAAGTTCAGATGTGGTTCTGCGTGGCAGGTGCGAGGGATCCTGCACCATGCCAAAAGTGAGCAAAACGTGAAGAGTTCTGTAGCAGTTTCAACTACAATCACCACTACACTACAAGACATTCCACTACATTGCGCTACAACTACAACTGCAACTACGACTACAACATACTACAACTACAACTACATTACACTACGCTAAACTACACAAAAATAATCACTACACTACACTACGCTACGCTACACTGCACTGCACTGCACTACACTACACTACACTACACTCAATTACGCTACACTACACTGCAAATACAACTACACTACATTACACTATACTACACTACATTACACTACACTACACTACACAACACACACTACAAGTACAACTACGACTACAACTACAACTACAACGAACACTAAGACTACCACTACACTACGCTACACTACCCTACACTACACTACACTAACTACAACTACTGCTACAACTACAACTACGCTACTTTACACTACACCACACTACACTAGACTAGACTACACTACACTACGCTAACTACAACTACAGCTACAAACAACTACGCTACTTAAAGCTACACTACACTAGGCTACTACACTACTCTACATTACACTACACTCATTACACCGCCACAAATGCAACGGCAACTCCACTACGCTAATTACATTACACCACAACTACAACTCCACTACATTACAACTACAACTACAGCTGCACTACACCACACTACATCCAGAAGTTGTGGGTGAGGTGACCGACCAGGTGACCAAAACACAACTCCAACCACCTTTCAGTCCATCAGTGGATTCGCTCTGCCAGCCGTGATTCACAACAACCAACCTCTCCTATAGGTTTCCTATTTTTGAAACTTCCGCCACCGCCTTGCGCGGTGCTATTGCTAATATATATATATATATGTGTGTGTGTGTGCGTGTGCGTGTAGTGATATGATCTATTTTTTTAATTAAAGAATATGTATCGTGCATTTTTTTTGCGGCGGGATCACTGGAAGCTGAGTCATGATGGTCGATCCAGGTCTCATTCTACACATCAAAGCCTTCACAATCACCAAGCTGGACAAGAGACAGAAGAGTGAGGTGGTCGACTTGTACTTGGCCTGCAGTTGGTGTCTATTTTTTGTCGATCTATAAATGATTGAACCAATTCAACAGTTGATGTAGAACATATTCTCCAATTTTTCCTGAAAGATAAAGGTGTTGAATGATTTTTAGCCCACTTTCATGCGTGCTTCGCGCCAAACACTATCATGCGGACTTGATGTGAAATGATAATCCCTCAAAAGTGCTAAGGCATTAAAACCCCGTTCGGGGTATGGGTGTCAAGTGTGATGAGGCCCCTGTTTGTTTCACAGCAAGGTCCTTGGGATCAAATTGAAGGGAGGATACAGATGGGACTCGTTTCAGCGACAACTGCCATTTAACTGTTATTTCAGCCGTTTTGATTTGGGTTTGAACAGGTGGTGGCCCAACGAAGTCTTCTAACCGTCTCACATTGTTTTTGCACAGTAAAGTGGCAAGGACTGTTTTTCTTTAGCCGCTCCCCTTTTGAAATCATTGAATGGTTTGGTTCTTCACAGAAAAATGGTCGATTCGATTAGGGGTTATCCCCCAGTAATTTGTAACATAGCTATTGAATTTCACCAATTTCAGGTAAAACCATCTACAAATGGGACATGTTCAATCATGTTCATACATTTTCCATAGTTATTCACCAAATTACCAGAGGCAAATATCCCCCTTGACGCCATGTCGACAGCTTCCAAGGGTCAGAGGTGCCTTCGCCAAAGACTTCAGGGACGACTTCCCGTACGAAGCCGGGCAGCGGTGATCGTTTTGGAATGTCCTTGTCGTTGTCTTATTCCTGGAGCTATATACTTGTAGGATACACACACAATCATGATAATAACAGTAATGATATGTCATGATTGTGATTTGAATAATAACAATGATAATAATAAATTAATATATATATATATAATGATATATATATACTTATTTTCATATATATATAATATAATGATATATATATATATATGTGTGCACAGTAGTCGCATGGATATCTATTTACTGTAGGATTGTACATAGATAGACATGTATACAGATCTAGATAAATAAATACATCGATACAGATCGAATGGATTTACCCCAATCACTACAGCCTGTTCCACAAGGTGGTGCCCCATGGCTAAGGTTTACGGTAGATATATCAACTAGTTACATATGAATTATGTGTGGGTTATAACTGACATAGCTGGGAACCACCTTGTAGCATTTCAATTATTTTTTAGACTGATTCGTTAAATGCATATATATATATATATAGTATATTATATATATACTGTATATATATATATATGCATATATATTTACATATGCATATATATATATATGTATTTGCCCATCATCATATTATATCACCATTACCAATATCCATGTTGTTCAAGTTCCCTGGTGACCTTGCAAAAGCCCAAGGAACGGATGGATTTGGAACTGGCTTATGCCCATGGCCGCGTGCTGAGCCTAAAACGGCTCCTGGGGCATAAGCACATCTCCCATCGCCGAATCAGGACCAGTTTGGAACATGGGAAGGACAGGGTCAACCCATGGGACTTTCGGGTTGGAACCTGTTGATTTTGGTGGAAACCCATCTTTGATTTTATAGAATTATAGGGTAACCATGGGTAACCGGGTTACGTTCATCTAAATCATTTTAATTTTTGGATATCACCCACATATTGAATATGTTGTGTGTGTGTGCCAGGCAACGTGTTTCGCCCCCCTGTGAAGCGTGACCTGCCTTGAAAAACCCTGCAAGGAGCGCAAAATGGTCTTGGAGTTAGAGATTCCTCAGGGCTGAGTTGCCGTGTTGCCGAGTTGCCAAAGATGTCTTAGCTGGGAAGGGCTGGACGTTGAGGCAAAAAGCTCAGGATTGTTCTTATAACTTTATTTATAGATATAATGAAGTGATTTCAACCCGTGATACCTAGACTAGAAGCTCTAGCACAATGGCTTAGTGTTCACCTTCTTTTGGCACAATAATAAATGGCATTTTTGGCATCCAGTCAGCACCAGTTACCAGACCCGCGCTTCACAGTTTAACAAAGTTTAAGTTTTAAGTATGTTTAACTCCTTGCTGCTGGATTGAGGCCTTTGGTCAAGACATGCAGAACTGGGTGTCAAGAAGCCACCATATCTACAATTGGGTACTGTTGTTTCTGATTGGTCGGTATTTGTTCTTCTAACTTGACCTGGGATCATGATCTGCAATGGCACCACTAAGCGGATCTGAAGATCGTTTTGTTTCCCGGAATGAGCACATATTTTTTGCAGCATTTAACATGTTTTTGTTTTGTATAAGGGCCATCTTATGTCATGTTCTACAAATATGGATGCATGGTATTCGAAAGTTGTTGGGTAGAGCAACGGTATACCGGTATGCCATTCAAAATTTGGGGATTTGTTGGTACCTTTCAATGACCTCACAATGACCTCATACAAATAGTGACTGCAGCAATCAGTGAGGTATTTGTTTGGCCGAATGATCCAAGCATGAGCATCATGTTGCAAAGAAAAACGTGTGTATATATATATATATATCGTTTGATACAGTTTGCTTTCTTTCGAGTCGTTTAGCGGCAGCCCAGCTTCCTCAGCCTTGGTGTCACCGATGTTTCACCTGGAACAGCCGTGCGCGGGGCTGGAATCGAAAGCATAACCAACAGGTGTGGCTTGGAATTTGGGATATCAACGTGGACAGATCAAAGTTGCTTTTGTTACGGTGATATACATATGTATGCTTAGATTTACAATATACTATATAAATAATTATAAATAATTTACACACACATACACACACACACACACATATATATATATATATACGTGTGTGTGTGTGTGCATGTGTGTGTAATTTGGTTTGTGTGTGCGCACAGTGTTGCCTGCATTTCCAACTCCCTTGGTTCATCAGATTCAGATCGTTATTTGAATAAACCAACTTAACATTTTTTTCTGTTGGCGATTTGTTTTTCCTCGTTGAATCTGCATTTCTAGCTGTTGGTGAACTTATGTCAGTCATGTTGTTGCTACGGTTCTCAATTCGGCATTTGTGGTTAGCACTTATTGTGTTTTTGGGTTCTTTGTAATCTCTGTTTGTAGTTTGTATCATTTGTATCATCTAATTTTTTTTAACCCAGCAATAGGCATGATTTTACGATGGTGTCGATTTATTTTCCTGCCATTGTTCGGGTGACAGCCCCAGACCCACACAGGAGGCCCAAGTCTCCCCTGCGTGCGACAACGCCGCAGTGGCCGCAGTGGAGCAGTGACACTCAGTCGCCAGGGTTGGTGCCTGTCATGTTTGTTGCCTGGTAAATGGTTTTACACCCCATCTAGACATATTGACAGATCTACCATAAACCTTACTTCCCTATATGTTAGTTGTAAACCACTTTAGCGAAAACTATGGGACACCACCGTGCAATGGTCAAGCTGGTTATGTAGGTATAAGAACAATGCACGATGGGTTAAGATACAAACATAGGGCTGCTCTAAGCAACAGCAAATCTGAATCTCAGCCAAGAAACAACTCAGCACAAATGCTGATTCTAGATGTAGGGAGGCTCACCTTCAGCAAGATGCTGAACTCCCCGAGAGGGCGATGGAGAGAGAGAAAGAGAGAGAGAGATAGAGAGAGAGAGAGATATATATATATATATATGGAGGGAGTTGGAATTTAGCCAAGAAGACATGTGTATGAGACATGACCCAAAGCTGGATGTATAGCCAAGAATCATTGCGTTCACGATTAGGCGTGAGCCGCGCCCACTTAGGAACTTGTGAGCAACCATGGTTTCTGCAGTTTTCCTCGGTACGTACTAACCTCTGGCTTTGACATTTCGATGGCGTCCAAGAACCTGCAAAACAAGGATCAGTTGAATCTTTTTTCGAGGATGCTGATATAACAACTCCCCAAAGTATCCCGAACAATTCGTGAAATTCGGAATGCTCATGGCATTTCATCGGTTGTGTGATTCGGATCCGAGGTTGGACTTTGGGGATGTTCCTGCAGAAGTCTGAGCCTGAGCGTCAGATGCGTCGGCTGAGCGATGGTTCCGTGCCCCAGGTCAGACGGCAAGAGATATCTAAAGAAATCTATAGAAATCTTAGAGATAGAGATTGGAGTTGCTCAGTCAATCTTAGTTATTGATGGACATGTAAGTAAGTAGGATATTCTCATATGACTCATGTGACATGTGTGTTCCAGATATCCATCAAAGAGTTGTCTATAGAAGAATTGTAGCTCCCAGCTCCTTTAGAAACCATTGCAGTGGAAGGGACAACAGTGAGCACCACAGCTGCTTTGGTGGTGTGTACACCCAAGCTTATCCCAACCTTGAACAGCTTTGGACATTTGGGGATACAGTTTGATGATGTTTGATGTCATTTCATTGTTGGCAAAACTCACGCTTGCTTAAACTCCGATTTGGATTGGTCAAACGCATATTTGTGTTGATCAAACATGCTGAAACCTATATTGCTTGTTTGTTGGTGAGATCCCTTTGTCGGTTTACGTTTTGTGTCTGTGTGTGTGGCTTAAATCACCATTTACTTTGCTTCAATGGATGTCTATTCTTTTCTTGGTAAATTCACATGTTGAAAAGACAAAACATGATTAATAAATAGTCATGAGTCAAAACCTGGGACTCTAGGGCCTTAGGTTGGTTCATGGATGTTTCTTCCACCATGGTAAAACCCTTTGGTTTTGACCCCCCAAATCAGGAGGCACCGCGTTCACCTCCACATGCCTTGGCATTGAGGAAAGCGGCGTCTCGGAGTTTTCTACTTGTCATTCCCTAAATTTATCGAAGCCCAAGTTGATACAAGGTGAGGCCCCCGTTTTCGATAGCTAAGTTGGCACCGTATATACCAGGATATAAATATAGCTGATGGGTTTAAAACCAACTTATTTCTGGAGGGCCTCGCCTGGTGGTGTTTGTAAGAGAATTGTTCCATAGTAATTTCATTGGCCAACTTGGGGTTCCATGTTCTATTAGAATTCGGGGGTCTACTTGTCATTGAATTCTATGATCACTTCAACCAGCAACGGTCCACCAACATTGTTGGACCCCACTTCATGAATGCTGTAGATCCAATTGTGGAAGGCACTGCTTGCAAGTGCACAGATGGGGGACACGTGGGGACACGGCTAGCATGTCACGCTGTCCTTGGAATGTATGCTGTGGAACACAATCTTGTTTGTTGCTCATTAGATCCCATTGGCACTGTACCTCCGAAATTGGAGAAACCTTGCGATACTAGATTCCTTATCTCCAAATGTTTCAGTCAGCTACCGCAAAGCATTTTGGACACAACCATTGTTTGTTTACATATTTACAAATAAAAAGCAAAAATATAAATAAATAAACACACATATATATATATATACTTAATTCTTATATTAGTATGTTCTGGTTGTTTCCATTTCTTGATAGTATAGATTATATTTATACCTATTATCATTATGTGTTACTTGTATTGGTAATATTGTATTACTATGATTTGTTTCTATTGATAGCATTACTAGTACCAGAACACCCGTTGACCGACCGGAGGACCGCTGCACCAGCTGCAGCTGGACCAGCCGGACCAGCCGAGGACAAGGACGGAGTGTGGCACACAGTGGATGCACGTTTTACAACGAAAGATGGGAATGCTATATATACAGTTATGGCCCTTAACAGTTGTAAATGGGATTATAACTCCTGCAACTAAGGTTATATTTCAGGAGGTTATAAGCCAGTTATAACTGTTAAGGGCCACAACTGTATGATATGTATCTAGTAAAAGAGGACATGAATATAAATCTCTGTAATAAGTATATTTATATATGTATATGAATGTATTTGTATATGTATCTGGGTGGGAACCATCGGGCATGCAGCCAGTAAGTGGTTAGTAAATTAGTTTCAGTGGTTTCAAGCAATTCTGTCAAACTTCCATGTTTACTTGTGTATTTCGGACTACCCATTCGCGTAAATAGCAAGCAAGTGAATCCACACCCATTAGATCGAAGCCATTTATGACGAAGCCACACATATGTATATGTACACATGTATATATATATATATATGTGTGGGTGTGCAATTGATGGGTGATGTGAGTGAAGAATAGTCTTCCAATTGTCCATATGGATCCATACGAATTGTATGAACCTAGGGTAGGTGCCCGACCATTATTCTTGATGATAATCTCGCTGCAGATTAATTCTCGCCCTTTCAGATACTGGTGGGATGAAAAATCGATCAACACTAGCATGTTTCCAGTCAATTTTTGTCATTTCGCATAATCCAACAATGCTATCCAAGACGGAGGTGTTTGGATCCCCAGGGATTATGATATACAGTATATACATATCAACTATCCCTATATATTCCAAATGTTGGTTATATACCTCCATTATATACATCCCAGTCTAGGCCTTTTTTGGATGGCATGATTATGGCATTCTCCCCGCCGCCCCCTTCCCTACCAATTTCGGGCTCGCAACCGCAGACCAAGCTGACCAATGGCAGACCAAGTCGCAAGGAAACTCAGGACAATCTGAAGAACATATTTTATCACCGTTGTTTTTCTTTCAATATGTGCATATGAATACATAAATGATTAATTAAATGTATAAATGTATAAAATAGCAAACATTCTATAATCATTGGTGGATTGATCATCCGTCATCCTCATCTAAATGTGTTGGTGATGTCCCAGTAACAAAATGGGGGTTTAGCCTCCACAAAAACTGACAGTTCGCTAGGGAACATGGACCATTTATAGATGATTTAGCTATTAAAGATGGTGATTCCCATAGCTTTGTGTGTGTTTACCAGAGGATACCGGAGGGTTTACCATGAGTTCGACGTGTCTCGCAGTGCGCTCCTTGGTGTCGCGAGGCAAGCACTGGCCCATTCCTTGCCTTTGCTCCTCCACACGGACACGAGAATGATGGCAACCAGCTTTTCTACAGAGTTTTACCTTTTGGCAGAGACAGAATCGGACAATTGCTAAGCTAGAGAAATTACAACTTGATGGGGGACAAACGAATCTCAGTCCAACTCAACGGCAAAGTTTTGGGGGTATGATTCCACATAGCCCGGATGTACATCATTGACGTTGATTGTTTTAACCGGCTTTTTTGATGTCCACCAGGATAGCACGGTTTTGATCCATAGCCAAAAGTTCAAAAGAGGAACCGAATTGTGCATGTCCTTTTGGTGGGTGAACATTTCTAGCTTGCCCAAAATCCCCACACGATCGAAGTTGTAGCTTGGTCAGGGTCACACTCTTATATATCATTACCTCACTGCCTCCCCAAAAAGTCACAATTGATTTTCCATGGGACATCATGGGACAACTAGGGTCATTCTGACTGGACACTGCCGGAGAGGTACTTTTAATGGGAACTAAGTCCTAAGCGATCTTCGATCCATGTCGAAAGGTGTTCTCTGCGGACATGGGTTTTCCCCAGATCAGAGCGTTGGAAAACTGGGGCAAGGGCGCGGGTGCTACGAACTTCTCCCCGAAGCCAGTTCAGTGGATTGTTTTTTGGGGCGGCTTTAGCAGGGTTGCCTGCTGATTTTTTTAGCTAAATATCAGGACGCTCTGCAAAATTCTGTTGGGACGTGTTGATCATTGATTTTTGATGTTTATGACCACGCCCTAAGTGTATGCAGCTCTTCTCTCGCTGTGCAAGAGGCCCTATGATCATTTGGTTTGATTCCAAATAAATAAGGAAAAGCCCAAAATCCAACAGTTGATCAGTTGATCATGATGTTCCCTAGTATATAGCCTTTTGGGGCATTTGCGCATAGTTAATTATATATAATATATGTCAATAATTAAGTATGTATAATATATATAAATATAAGTACATATAAATGCAACTCTCTCTATATATATATACATATATACGTATATATATATATATAGACACCCTATGTTTGGACTAACCGTACCCACGTGTTGCTTGTGATGTGTGTGCAATGTTCAGGACGTTCAGGACGCGCACCGGCGTCTTTTTCATGAGGTGGCAAAAGTTCAATGCCACAACATTTCTGGTAAATGTGGTATTTGGTTGAACCATATATTATATATAAATGCCCAATATATACACATTTGCCAGATATATACCTGGTAAATGTGGTATTTCTAGTTTGGGTGAACTACATCGCCCTTTTTTTTCTGGGATTTTTCTGGGGTAACGTGCTGGTGGCTTTGAGAGATGCCAGCTCAATAAACCAAGTTTACCCGGATTCTTGTTTCAAGTCGGTTGCAGTAGACAACAGTTAATCAGTCCCTCAACTCAGCATTCTGTGTCGGGTAAACCAACTTGATCTAAACCAGTTGCTACACATAATTTCGGGGAGACAGTTGACTTGGTCCAACTGTATACACTGTGTTCAGTCAGTGACCGCATGTTCGCTCCTTCCTCTGGGCAGTCTCACTCAACGAGATGGCAATGGACAAAAACAAGTACATAGGTTACCCTCTGGTAAACTAACATAGCTATGGAAAATCACCATTTTTGAAGGGTAAATCCACTATAAATGGCAATTTTCAATAGCTATGTTAAATTACCAGAGGGTAAATTGTTTTTTTTTAATGCCACTTGTCACTCAACCAGCTGGGGTTTTATCTCATCGTATTCCCAGCTGCAAATCTCTCCGCGATGGGCACTCCCAGCCATGGCTACGATCCTCGGGAATCGGTCTATGCGGCGAAGTTGCAGGACTTACACAAGCCTGCGGTGCCACGCTTCAAAGATCTTCAAAGGTGGAAAAAACATAGGTAAATAACATTAAATAGCGGTAAATAGATGTAAACACCATTGATATTGATAATATCTGAGTTGTATGTAACACAAGATCCAAAAAAGGGTGTGATGGATACTATGTTGTGTCATGTTGTGTAACATAGACATATGACATAACCAAACAACGCCGACATTAAGACTGCCACTACCAAAATGGTGAATCACTGAGTACATGGGAAGGTTATGACGGCATCATGGGCCGACGTGACCTTTGAAATGGCAAAGAAATTAAGGGTATGTATACCAAAAAAGGCGGGACATTTAATGAATTGAGCCAATGTTACCGAAATTCGGATCTGTTAAGTCTGTTAAGCTCTAAATTTGAGAATATGGTTAAGTTATTGTTTGGGGGGTGGTATTGCTGGTGGGCAACCTACAGCACTCAACTTCCCAGAATCAAGGGTTTCTTTTTGCCGGGTCCTTGGATGAACGTTGAGGCCATTCCCGTGATCTCCCGCTCCAACATCGATTCGGAGTGCATTTGGGAACGCCGTGATCGGCTCAACGCAGAGGCGGCCAAACGGGAGGACGCTGGGCGGGTCCGAAGGGTTGCTGATCAGAAACGTTTGGGGAGCATGGGGATGTGAAAGAGTGTGAACCTGAATTTGTTCAATTAGCCTTTGTGACATCATGAGGAATCTAACAAAGCTATGGAAAATCACGATTTAATTAAATTACTGTATGTAAATCAATGTATATAAATCATTTAATACCATTTACCAGCGGGTCATTGTCCACAGCTATGTAAGATTATGTAAGTACGAAACCAGTAGGTCGAGACTCCATGAGGACTGTCGGAAAATAGGGTGTACCATGGTGTACCGGTATAATTACCTCCATTATTATGGTCATATCACTGGGGCACATGATGATGAACCGGTATATATTTAGGTGTACTATACCCTATTTTCAGAGAAATCCAATGATTTTCTAATTTGTAATAGTGTAAGTTTTATTTTATGTGTCAATTTTTCCTATGTTAAGTCTATTTTGTTGGCGTTGAAAGTTGAAACTTGTTGAAACATCTTGAACCACAAAGCACAAACTGGTGCCACTGTAGCTGCAACACTGGAGCAGTGGTCCAGTGACTCGTCCGCCAGCGTCCTCTCAGTTCAATATGCAGCGTCGGAAGATGTAAATACCCTAAGATGTTCCGTTGGAAAGACATAACCCCAGTTGATAAACGCAAAGATTCTGAGTTTTGAAAGATCTTGAAAGATCTAAATTCATCTAAATTCCACGTCCTTCGGAGTTTTAACCTTTCAGAATCCCCTTACAGTTCACCTTATCCTGATGAATTTCATGGTGGCCCCCATTTTTTGAACCCCCAATTTTCAGCTCCCCACGTCATCCCTTTGCGCCGTCTCCGAGGAGCAGCGCTTGCTGCGCCAATCGCAGCAGGTCCAGGACGTCTTCGCGGATCGCCTGCACCAGCGGCCCTTGGCCCATGCACGGCGCAAGGATGGGATGGGACCAAGTTATGTGGGCCCATGGGCTTCCCCAGTTTTAGTTGGTCGTTTATGACCACCAACTAAAGATCCATTTTATAGTTATTTATGGTTTATAAGCCTATTAACTATTGTAAGATGTTATAAGTATCATAAACTTTCATAAATCATAGGGAGCCCCACATGGTATGATGATTAATGATGCACAAAATTGATTGATAGTGATGATGAATGAGTAATAGTCATTATTAATTATTTGTTAGGTGATTGTATAATGTAAGGACAAATAGGATAAATAATGGGAAGGAATTGGATTATTGTGGGGTTATGACAGATATATGATATAGATAGATATTTAATTGATATTTATATACATATGTATATATATATAATGCTGTATGATAATGAAACTTGATGTTGGTAAGGTGTAAAGCCAATGATCAACCATCCATATTTTGGTGGTAATGTTGGTAGAGCCAATAATAGCACGGTCGCACGGATGGTTGACAGAAACATCATGAAATTTCTGTGTATATATATATATGTGTGTGTATATATATATATAAATGAAAACCATCGTTTGAAGCAGACCTAGTTGACCAGACAACGATGTTAATATTGGTAAACAAATTACTTTACTTCGTGTGATCCCCACCATGACATTTATACATTTTCTTACTGGCAAATCTTCTGGCATTCTATCTGACATATCTTCTGACATTCTATTTGGCATTCTATCTGGCATATCTTCTGGCATATGTTCTGGCATATCTTATGGCATTCTATCTGGCATATCTTCTGGCATTCTATCTGACATATCTTCTGGCATTCTATCTGGCATATCTTCTGGCATATATTCTGGGACATATATTCTGGCAGCGACGAGCGGGGGGTCGCGCCGGGGACGCGCTTTTTGGTCCGGGGTCGCTGTTGAGAGCCGGTGTACTTGGGGGGGGCACCGGGTGCGGGGGGTGGGTGGGGGAGGGGGGGGGCGGGGGTCGGGTTCTTGGGTTGCCCGTCGGGGGCTCGCGTTGTGTTCGTTTGCGCGGTTTGTTTTTTTTTTCTGGCATATCTTCTGGCATATGTTCTGGCATATCTTTTGGCATATCTTCTGGCATTTTATCTGGCAAATCTTCTGGCATTCTATCTGGCATATCTTCTGGCATTCTATCTGGCATATCTTATAGCTTTCTATCTGGCATTCTATCTGGCATATTATTTGGCATTCTATCTGGCATATCTTCTGGCATATATTCTGACATATCTTCTGGCATTCTATCTGGCATTCTATTTGGCATTCTATCTGGCATATCTTCTGGCATATCTTCTGACATTCTGTCTGACATTCTTTCTAACTTTCTTCTGCACATTCTTTGTCCCATATCTTCCTACATGAGGTCCGGCAGGGAACACTGGGCGTGGATGGTCGTGGTTGAGGTCCGGCAGGGAACACTGGGCGTGGATGGTCGTGGTTGAGGTCCGGCAGGGAACACTGGGCGGGGATACTCGCGGTTGAGGTCCGGCAGGGAACACTGGGCGTGGATGGCCGTGGTTGAGGTCCGGCAGGGACCACTGGGCGTGGATGGCCGTGGTTGAGGTCCGGCAGGGACCACTGGGCGTGGATGGCCGTGGTTGAGGTCCGGCAGGGACCACTGGGCGTGGATGGTCGTGGTTGAGGTCCGGCAGCGAACACTGTGGATCGCGAGTCGCAGTTGAGCAGGAGGACGAGGAGGACAACGAGGACGACGAGGACAACGAGAGGACGACAAGGATGACAAGGAGGACGAGGAGGACGAGGAGGAGAGGAGGAGGAGAGGAGGACGAGAGGAGGACGAGGCAGGAGGAGGAGGAGGAGGCAACTGACATAAAATCTAACAACCCTCACCTGGCAGGTGGGGAAAAACAAGTCATCTATATTTTGATCGTTTACACCACCCATAAAAATTGTAAACTTGGGGATGGCTCACTATTGCTTTATTAGCATAATGCATTCAAACTCCAAATCGAATTGTTTTTAAATAGATGATGATATAAGAGGATTGTTGGACAGGAACTTGCGATTGATTCTCATGGCGCTTGCAGCTTGCACGAGTGGCTGGAAGGCATCAAGGTAGCAAGTTGGATCACTGCCGGTTAAGAATGAGCCCCCGACCCCCCGACCCACAACTAGGTGAACTGACCCCAGGTTGACCCTGCTTGGCCCTAGTCGACCATAAGTTAGACTATATGTAATTAATCTAGTTGCGGCCGGATTGAACTCCAGGTTTTCATCCAAGTTGAAAGCCGTGAAATGATTGAAATGGATGAAAACCAGTTCCAACTAGCGAAATCCAAGTTAGAAGCTGTTGACCACCGTGCCGCTCCAGGAGCCCAGCGCTTCTCGGCCAGGACCCCAGGGGTGGCAACGGTTACCCATGGGAAACACTTGTTTTTTTTCATGGAAAATTACAACATCATCATATTTTCCCATGATTTACCCCTGTTAATAGTAATAGTTAAGGTCAATAACGGTTAATCATCATGGGAAACTATATGATGATGATGATGATGCTGATGCTGATGCTGATGATGCTGATGATGATGATGATGATGATGATGCTGATGATGCTGATGATGATGATGATGATGGGAAAATATGAGACAACAGCGGGATATATGGGTTAATAACGGTTAATAGATGCTAATAGTGGGAAAATATACGTGTTTTTGTTATGGGAGAATAGTGGGAGAATGTAGGATAATAATAATGGATTATAGGATAACTATAATAACCGAAGAATAAATGGGGAAACATGGTATGATATGAATGGAAATGTGTGTGAAACTATGGGTTAATATGGGATAGCATGGGAAACTAGTAGGATATGACTGGGAACATATGGGTTAATATAGATAATAACTAGTGGGATGATAATAATAGATAGTTATGGGAGAACAATAGTAAATCATCCCGAATAGAGGTCTATTATTGGGGTATACTCCTAGTAATTAATGGGATGATGTAAAATAGATACCCCCCAGTCATTGAATGGCATTCCTTTTTTAATTGGGTTTACCACATGATCATATCCTCCGTATTAAAACATATTTTTTGTAATGGCACTACAATCACAGTTGATCCCTTTACCGTTTCATATTCAGCAGCCTCAAGAAACTATGGTGTAACTAATGGGATTTACACATATTTGGGACCATGGAATGGAGGTGTTTGACATTAGGTTGATGGTAATGGATGGGATTATATGCATAGAACTGGCGAACATCTTGATGGTTAAGAGGTGAAAGTTTTTTACTTACTGTAAAAAGGGAAAGAAACACACGTTGCATTTCTTTCTTGAGATGCAATGTTCAAAAGCAAGGCGTCATTTGGATGGAGAAGCCAGAAGAACAACAAACCATGCTCAAAATTGCCATAGCTGCTGATTTCCCCAAACTTGAATGTATTAGAGCTGGGTTTCCCAAATTTGAATCAAGAAGAGTTTTGGTTTCCCAGAACATATCATATATATATATATATGTGTGTGTGTGTATGTATAAATTATACATGTAAAAACAATGAGTATAAGTATAAGTTGTATAAGTATAAATGACTATAAACCATGGCTTTCCCACGGTTTTTCCATATGAAAAAACAACCCCAAAAAACGCGGACGGGCAAGGCCTAGCTGGGCCAGACCCAAGCCTTCCATCCGGATGCCGCGGTCAATGGCAGTGAAACCCATGCAGGCGCAGCCTACCTACATCGGGGGCCCCCGTTGGATAGCTTAGGCGGTTTATAACTACAAAACGTGTTGGGTTTATGGTGGATATAGATATACATATTACATATAATATATATATATGTATATATATATATATTATATATATATATATATGTTTGTTATTTAGTTAAATGGTTTAGATATATCTATAGTTAGTACAAAAACTAGGGTTAATTTGGGGGATATAACTATACTTGGACGGTTATAGTTATTACAATAACTGTTGGGTTGATCAGGGGGATATATCGAACAAATTAGATGGGGTTGTAAAATGTTATAAACCCACTTGCGACATTTGGGGGGCCGACTATGTAGGCGGATATACTGCACATAAAACTTTAAAATTCAGTTTTGCCATTGGATAGCCATGATCTGATAAGAATGGTAATTAACCAGGAGTCCTAACATTTCTTAACCATCATTCACCAAGATTAAATCAAGACAGATGCAAATCAAATCACCACCCGCAGCCTCCAGGGCTATTGCTTGCCACAGTGGAGCTCCCCTAGCTACGAGTACAGCAGCAGCCTAGCAGCAGGCCGACTGGGTCGGCAGACAATGTTTTTGTTGGGGGGGAATGGTGGGGAATCATCTCAAACATATGGGTCTAGTGTCTGATTATTTGTGGATAACCTGTCAATTCGTTTATCGTCATTTTTCCAATTCAAATTGTTTAGAATGGCCATACCTCATCTTCAGCCGAACAGGCATTCAGAAGAAATGATGGAAATAACATAGAAATGAATCATAGAGGAGGGATCATTCCAAGAATTGCGCGCCCTTTTTGCTTTGTCATTTCGCTGTGCAACTAGGTTGGCAAGTTGCCAAGATATTCGAGGCACTCAAAAGCAACATAAGCGAAGTTCTTGGAGACTATCCTACTGCTTAGTTGAGGGTTTTCTGCGTTTTCCTATTGGCTCCATTTAATGGGAATCTAATGGGAATCTAATGGGAAATGCGGAATCGAATGGGAATATCCCCAATCGAACCACTGGTCTAGTACTGGAATTAGTATTGGATCTCTTCATTATCGGCCACATGGGGGCTATTTAAGATAAGGGGGCATGGCATTACAATGGATTCTATACCTTAATTTGCTTTACTCTTTTTACCAAATCCACATTTGGACCGTCGTGTCTACCTGACGTCGCAGGCACCGTTGACCGAACGTCGCCGGAGTCTGAGGTGGGGCTGTGGGCTGGTGCCTAGCGGCCAAAGGATTGGTTCATTCACCCAAAACAGGGAACCTAAGAAACAAACAAAGATAAGACGGAAGTTTGATAGGATGTTGAAGCAAATTGTGTTAGGTAAGTTGGTTAACTTTGTCTTATGGTAGATATTTGGAGCGAATTGGGTTAACCAATCAACGTGACTGAGCGGGCACCACCTTGCGAGAATTCATGATTACAATTGCGTGGATTTGTTGAAGAGGATGTTTAATGACGATGACATTCCCATGCTTCCCACTGGTAATCCACCACATGTGGAATTCTACAGGGAAGATTTCTTTCCGGGGTCATGAAAAAACCAAATCCATCCAAATCCCAGATTAGTATATATTGTAATGAGTTGTAATTAATGATAATACTACTGATTCCCCTAAATTATCATTACTATTGAATGATCCAATGATAAGTACACATGATACTTGTAATCAATCATGACTCCCCTGGTTACCCCCTTGATCTCTGGGGCCGCCAGGAGTCGCGAGGCAGATCTGCAGCAGCTGCAGCTCGCGGGTCTTGCGACTTGCAAGGCGGGTGGTCAGGGGCCGGTTGCTGGGTCAAGAGTGGTAAACACCGGTTTGCCTTTAGTAGTGCCCCCCAAAAAAAGATTGAAGTACAGTATTTCCACGATGTTAAAGATGTTTTTCTTCCACATAATGTCGTACAATTTCCAGGTGTTCCCACTTTTATACCATGTTATATCCATTTTTGGAGTTGCTAAGGATATGATTTTCCTTGTGTTGGAAGCGTGTCTAAGGTTGGCAATTGCAGCTTATCTGTATTATAGTTATATAATGTCAACCCTAGATTAATAAACCCCTGGGGTGTTTAATTGGGAGGGTGCCGGTTTGATACCACTAGTCACTAGTTGAGGATAACACCCCTGATGAATTAACATCAACTGACAAGGTCTCTTAATCCGGATTGGCATTATTACATCAACCTATTTATATATGGGCTTAGCCGGGGCTTAGCCGGGGCTTAGCTGGGCTGAGCCAAGCCAGCTGAGAGTCAAAGGGGTCACAGATTCATTCTTTGGATCTCTTCAACAGTTCGTTTTGATCGGACACTATTTGAAACTAAAATGTGCTAAAGGAACAAGACTATATAATACATTATAATACTATATATATATATGGAAATTCATCAGTTTTAGAATGGTATGAAAATCATCCAAGCCATGGCTTCCATGGCCATGTGAAATTGTCAGAAATTCTTGCTGGTCATGAGCCAATTCCGAGATCGATTATCCGAATGGGTAAGTAGATAGGTAGATAAACAGATACATAGCAATGAGTAGCAATGCATATGTGATGATGTGTAATCTATCGGTGTATCTATTTGTTCAATTCTATTTCTAAGATTCTAGTCTAATCTAATCATATCCAATCATCCTGCTATCCCTATGGAAATATTTGAGATTGTACTTATAACATTAAGCTGGAGCGACATAGAACCAACGAAATGTTACTAAACCAACATTTTCTGTGGGGCAATTGGGAAGATCATGGTGCCAGGTCGCGAAATTTGATGCTGCGGCCATTTCCGATCATTTCGTATAGATTCCTCCACTAAGAAAATGAAGATATTGGCACTTTGGTAAAGCTTTCACATTATCCGAGACATTCTGGGTAAGCCTTGAATATGTTGACATGTTACTGGACATTTTTTTACTCAATATTTATCAACGAGAGAAAATACATGTCAGCTAGGCGTGGTACTGAACCTAATTAAGGTTGGCCAGATTTAGTGTGTATAATATATTACATATATATATAAGATATAAGTGATACGTATATACCACATAAGCATGCTGTACGTAATACTATCCATCACTAATTTCTTTTGTTCCCTTACGCCTGTTGGTTCCCCAAGTGTGTCCTTTGCAGCTCGCAAGGAAATGCTGACCCGAGCACAGGGCCAGAGGACGGCTCGGGAAGGGATTGGCCAGAAAAGAATTCAATGGGAACCTTCTGAAGACTTACTCTAATATGGTGGGAAAAAATGGGTGTTTTGAACAGAAGCTGGCCCAGAATCCATGACACCATCGGAAGAATGGAGATCAAACACAGCGATAAGCTATGAGCATCGGCAGGCAGAAACAGGGGATATGTCAACCATTAAAAAAGGGGTTCAACTGGGCAAACCCAGGGGGTCACAGTTAGATCATCAATTCCACCAACAGATTTACCGCAGATACAAAAACCCTTGCATTGATCATTCGCCTCTGGAGGACTTTGCCATACAGTACCCTGCCAAATCATCACCTCCACTAATTAAGTCTCAGAGACCCTTGGGTCAAGTCCCCAAAAGCCCTTAGAGGGATTGAGTAGTTTATCCCATTTACAACTGGGATCTCAGCCCAGTTATGGCCCCATATCGGGCAGTAAAGACCATGGCTTCAGCGCCTGTTTGAAACGCCGCAGGACATCGCCTCACTCGATGCGAAGAGCAAGCTGAAAAACATAGACACTTCACGTGCTGAAGTGCGACAGCTGATGAATGGTTCAGAGCTCAGTTTGCCAAATCTTCCCACTGGTTGATGCAGTTTGACAAACGTGGCTGGCTGGAAAGTCACTGTAAATGGAGGTTTATAGCTGGGAAAATCACGTATATATATATATATATATGTAAATCTGGAATTCTCCATTTTGGTTGCTGAGGGGTAGCTGGTTGCACATATCCTGGCAGCTGGATCCAACACCCAACAAGGTTCTCGAGTTGTCTTAGACTACAAAAGAAAGATAAGACAGGTCAACTGAAATGACAAAACATGATTTGTGTCAGACCAAGACAGGTACGTAAACATGCTATATGTTTACCACATCAAATACACAGAGAGAGACAATGATTAGCTCGGTATGTTGGTAAAGATTGACCGACACGGAGTTTTATACTTTTTAAAATAAACAATATTAATTCATATGTCCTATCCATATTTTACGCACATATATATATACATCTGGTGGCTATCCTTCAAGGAACACCACGACCAAGGTGAGGTGGAACTGGAAGACCTGTCGCCACGGCTCCGGTCGGACCGCGCGCCTTGCGAAAGCTGAAGTCAGCCGGGTGGGACTTTTCAAAATACCTATCTATCAACATTTCTATATAAATATATATATATATGGATGAATTATAACGACCTAACTGCGACCTCACTGGAATCATGGTTAAGAAGAGAAATCATTCCGAAATGGCCTTAATTCAGGTTAGTGAAATATTATAATTTACCAAGAATCTATCTATCTATTTATCTATCTATCTAATCTAATCTAATTCAAATCTTATATTATCTTACCTTATCTTATCTTATCTATCGTTCTATCTATCTATCTATCTATCTATCTATCTATCGATCTATCGATCTATCGATCTATCGATCTATCGATCTATCGATCTATCGATCTATCGATCTATCGATCTATCGATCTATCGATCTATCTATTCTATATATCTACTATCTATCTAATATATCTATCTAATCTATCTAATATATCTAATATATATAATCTATAGAAGAGAGATCATATAGATAATCTATCTATCTATATCATAATCTATCTTCATCTATCTAATCTATAATCTAATCTATCTAATCTATCTAATCTATCTATCCTACCTAATCTATCTAATCTTTCTAATCTATCTAATCTATCTAATCTGTCTAATCTATCTAATCTATCTAATCTATCTAATTTATCTAATCTATCTAAACTATCTATCCTATCCAATCTATCTAACCTATCTAATCAATCTAATCTATCTAACCTATCTAACCTATCTAATTTATCTAATATATCTAATCTATCTAATCTATCTATCCTATCTATCTGTCTAATCTATCGAATCTATCTAATATATCTAATCTATCTAATCTATCTAATCTATCTAATATATCTAATCTATCTAATCTATCTAATCTATCTAACCTATCTAACCTATCTAATTTATCTAATCTATCTCACCTATCTAATCTACCTATCCTATCTATCTATCTATCTATCTATCTAATCTGTCAAATCTATCGAATCTATCTAATCTATCTCATCTTTCTAATCTATCTAATCTATCTATTCTATCTAATCTATCTAACCTATCTAATCTATCTAATCTATCTAATCTATCTAATCTATCTAATCTGTCTAATCTATCTAATCTATCTATTCTATCTAGTATACCTAACCTATCTATTCTATCTAATCTATCTAATCTATCTAATTTATCTAATCTATCTAAACTATCTATCCTATCCAATCTATCTAATCTTTCTAATCTATCTAATCTACCTAATCTATCTAATCTATCTAATCTATCTAATCTATCTATCCTACCTAATCTATCTAACCTATCTAATCTATCTAATCTATCTAATCTATCTAATCTATCTATCCTATCCAATCTGTCTAATCTATCTAATCTGTCTAATCTATCTAATATATCTAATCTATCTAATCTATCTAATCTATCTAATCTATCTAATATATCTAATCTATCTAATCTATCTAACCTATCTAATCTATCTAACCTATCTAACCTATCTAATCTATCTCTATCTAATCTTTCTAATCTATCTAGTCTATCTAATCGATCTAATGTATCTGATTTAATCTATCTAATCTATCTAATCTATCTAATCTATCCATCCTATCCCATCCTACCCTATCCTATCTCATCCTATCCTATCCTATCCCTATCCTTTCCTATCCTTTCCTATCCATACATCTATCTATCCATCTATCTATCTATCTTTCTCCGTCTATCTATCTATCTATCTATCTATCGATCTATCGATCTATCGATCTATCGATCTATCGATCTATCGATCTATCTATCTATCTATCTACCTATCTATCTATCTATCTATCTAATTATCTTTCTAATCTATCTTTTTATTTATCTATCTATCTATCTATCTATCTATCTATCTCTCTATTGATATTGAGATATAGCGATATTTTTATATATATATAATTATATATATACACATTTATTGAGGATTATTGAGATAAATATACCTTGGGGAATCTCCATGAAGTATGATATCCCATTTTTAAGTATGATGTGCTTGCCCATTTTCCAAAGTTAAGAGTCTATGGTGATGATTAAACATTATATCCCTGTGATATGGGAGATACGCTATATGCACATTAACATTCCAATGATTTTCCAAGTATTCCCATTATCCACTATTATATGTATATGATTTGGTAAACCCAATAGTAAACCTACCACTTGGGAATAGTTTTTACAACCCATACGCAGGCTTTTTTTTGATTGTTTATAACCGGTTTAACAGATTATAATACACAATGTATATATATATATATGTATGTACATATACAAAACCTGGTTAATTAGAAGGATACCGTAAAATTTATATAATTATATTTACATATACACCAACTGAATAGAAGGATAGATATCTTATTTAATTGGAAGGATGGATATCTTATTTGATTACTGTAGAAGGAACTGGAAGCCAGTGAGTAGAAAGCTGCCTTAGGGATCATTCCGACAAGGTCGTGGGCCTTTTTTTGCGATGCCATCGCTGTGATTGTGGCCATGATCACTTCAATATGTTTCAATCAGCTAACTTATCATTTGCTGATATTAATAGCATATTTGGTTGGTAAGTTATGCGCATATATATATATGTATAGAGGCATATGTCCATAGGGGTGTCCCAATCGTAAAGCAAAGGTTTTAGCAGTTGAAATCCACCCCTGGCAATGGCGGCAATGACAATGCGGAGAATCACCAGGTTAGTAGGTAAATCATCATTTCTATCATCTATTGCTATGGGCCATGGCTTCCAAAGCTATGTCAAAGAACCAGATGGTAAGTGGAGTATCGATGTTGTTGTTGTTGTTGTCGTTGTTGTTGTTGCTGCTGTTGTTGTCGTTGTTGTCGTCGTTTTTGTTGTTGTTGTTGTTGTCGTTGTTGTCGTTGTTGTCGTTGTTGTCGTTGTTGTCGTTGTTGTCGTTGTTGTCGTTGTTGTCGTTGTTGTCTTTGTTGTCGTTGTTGTCGTTGTCGTCGTTGTCGTCGTTGTCGTCGTTGTTGTCGTTGTGGTCCTTGCCGTCGTTGTCGTCGTTGTCATTGTGGTTGTGGTTGTTCTTCTTCTTCTTCTTGTTGTTGTTCTTGATGTTGTTGTTGTTGTTGTTCTTGATGTTCTTGTTGTTGTTGTTGTTGTTGCTGCTGTTCTCGTTGTTGTTGTTGTTGGTGGTGGTGGTGGTGGTGGTGGTGGTGGTGGTGGTGTTGGTGTTGGTGTTGTTGTTGTCGCTGTTGTCGCCGTTGTGATTGTTGTTGTTGTTGTTGTTGTTGTTGTTGTTGTTGTTGTTGTTGTTGTTGTTCTTGTTGTTGTTGTTGCTGTTGTTGTTGTATGTTGTTGTTGTTGTTTCATATTCTGTGTTGACCAATGGTTATTCCACACCGATGCTCACGTCACATGTTTCCCCGGTATACATTTCTTCGATGAATTCGTCAGCACTCCGCATAATCTGGGAAATTCTTGAATTCCCCTTCAGTAATCAAACTTTGCAATGGGAAACCCCCTATAATTGGGCATTTAAATGGAACACATCGCTTGTATGGGTGGATTTTTCTGCAAACCGAGTGTATGTGGTTCCATCGGTGCTTGCTTTATGGCAGGCATCGATGCCCAGTCCTACCAGTTGACCTGAGGAAGTGGTCGCAGCTGCTTTGCATGCTGATGGTCATGCCCTGCAGCATGCAAGTGAAGCAACTTGTGAATCAAAACCGCCAAGGAGATGGGACTAAGAGATACTAAGGGGACTTATGTATTGACCACAGGTATCAAACCATCACATGCAGGGGATCCTTTTGCTCATCATCATGGAAATTGCTTGAAGAGTGTAAGAGCTGCCTGTCCTGCTTACCAACTTCTGGACACCAACGTGGAATTGACAAAAATGCAACATCCAATGCCGGAAGATTATTGTTCAGACATGGTTGGGGTTGGAGATTTCAATTCGAAAGTTTTTTCCCTGAGATCCACATGTTTGGTTTGTTTTTCTTTCGTATTTAAACATAGCCATGGACCGTACCCCATTTGTAGATGATTTACCTGTTAGACATGGCCTGTCGTAGATTGCCAAGGGTAAGTCCCTTATTTCTTGAGGGCCAGATTTTTGTTTTTAGTTCCTACACTTTGAGGATAATCAAACATAGTAAGTTGTTACTGTTCTTTGAGTAAGGGGAATCATTACCTATTGGGGCCTTATTTCGTGAATTGCTATATTGTATGCAGATATGATCAATCCTCGAATTGATGACAAATGAACAGATGGTTCATCCTGAATCATCATTTCACCTTGTGTCAAGTATAACAATCAACAATCATAACATAACTCACCAAGATAGAAATAAGTTATCAGTTCACATATGACAATCTATTTGGATGAATTATATATAACAACCTCACTGTGACATTGCAATGATGGTTAGTAAAGGGAATCAGTTACAAATGTTTTTTTTGTTGTAGCTATGTCAACCTTAGTACATCGCTTTAATTCAGCCAGAATAGTTCAGAATAGGTTTCAATCATCAACAGTGGATAAACATAGTTTTTGTTAACAAACCATAATGCAATGTTAGCATTTATAGATAATGATGATAGTTATTAAAAATTAGTTGGTAAAGATAATTAAGTCCTATATTTTACCCGTGTATGAACTTACCTCTGATTATTAATATTAAATACATTCCCATATATTACCATGTGTTATAGTTATTTATCATATATCATTACCATCAATATTACCATTAATATGTGTTTTCTACTTATTAAGCATCAATTCGCTGTTAGATTGTTAGATAGAGATTTACAGATGGTATCCTCTAGTCACTATATAACCATGTATGAATCATGAAGCGCTAAATAGTCATTAATCATTCAGTTATATTCAGTTCACATGTGCCAGAAATTCACCATTTCGTAAATCCGAGGTTGATATTGATATTAACAGTTGATAAATATAATTAAATCCTAGGTCCATCTATCTATCTCCCATGAACTGATAGTCATAAAAGACCCATCTATCTCCCATAAATCATAGGATTATGAGATGAATTATAGTTTATTGATATTAACAGTTGATAAAGATCATCAAATCCTATATCCATCTATAAATCCCACGAATTCTATATATATATACATATATCAGATGAACCATCAATTCATTCTTAATCCACCAGCCAGACCCCCCATCCCAAGGATCTCCGAGCTGACCGGGACTTGGTGCTCACCGCGGTGCGTGAGAACGGCCTCTCCTTGAGCCACGCTGCCAAGGTCATGGGGGTTTCAGCGACGAAAGTGGATGATGATGGTAAATCATGATTTTACCAACCAGAAAAGTGGATGAAAAGTGGATTTAACATTTGAGAATCATGGTTTTACGGTGAAACATGACAAACATACGCAAACATGGTGCTTCAAGCCACAAGAAATATCAAACATGTGTATTTGGATCTGTCATGCTCTTTCTTTTCAACATGACCAACCAAGATCCTGGGGATTCAACGGGCCCATTTCGATGACCCCAACTCAATGCTTAGATTTGCCCTTGTGGTTGGTCAAGATTCGCCCTTACTCAGCCCTTAGCATCCATGTGTTCCTAGTTGAACCCTTAATTTTTGATCTTAAAAACGAGGTTGAACCACCATTTCTACTGGTTCTACATGGTTCTACCCACCTTCGGCTCATCCTGTGCAACGACGATAAGCAACCGCGCCAGGAGTTGTGTGGCGACGAAGACGTTGTGCTGGCCGCGGTGAAACAGAACGGCATGGCTCTTCAGACGCTCGGCCGGTTGTGTGGGTCCTTTGAAAGAGACTGGTGAAGGGGAGGTGGATTATGTCAAATATGTCACAAACAAGTCACACATATTGTATGCCCACAGAGATATGCATATAATCTAGAGAGAGAGAGAGGGAGATAATATATATGTTTTATTATGTTTTTTGTCACAGACATATCATTTTTTTGGCAGGAATGACAGACATGTACGATCATGTACGTATATCAAAAGTTACAGATCGGTTCACTAAAAACATGTTTTTACTTAGTGAAAGTAACACAACTTGGGATTCATCATGATTTAGTTGTTCCATCCCCCATGGGCATTTCCACCAGCAAAACTGAGGATTTAAGCTGATAAACACTGTGGATATAGCTGAGAAAGAATCGGGTCAACTGCCTTGTGAAGGCTAGTTTTTGCCTACGGCGCCATTAACGACCCCTGCGTTTTTGTCATTTTTGCTGATTGGAGGCAAGTTGCTCTTGAAATTGATGCATGCAGAACTGATGTCACGTCACTGGGTTGGGGTGGGGTGGGGATGTTAACGTTCATGTTAACTTGCGTCACATGCACAACTGACGTCACGTCACTGGGTTGGGGTGGGGTGGGGATGTTAACGTTCATGTTAACTTGCGTCACATGCACAACTGACGTCACGTCAGTGGGTTGGGGTGGGGTGGGGATGTTAACGTTCATGTTAACTTGCGTCACATGCACAACTGACGTCACGTCACTGGGTTGGGGTGGGGTGGGGATGTTAACGTTCATGTTACCTTGCGTCACATGCACAACTGACGTCACGTCACTGGGTTGGGGTGGGGTGGGGATGTTAACGTTCATGTTAACTTGCGTCACATGCACAACTGACGTCACGTCACTGGGTTGGGGTGGGGTGGGGATGTTAACGTTCATGTTAACTTGTGTCACATGCACAACTGACGTCACGTCACTGGGTTGGGGTGGGGTGGGGATGTTAACGTTCATGTTAACTTGCGTCACATGCACAACTGACGTCACGTCACTGGGTTGGGGTGGAAGGCGGAGGCCAAAAAGGCCGGTTTTCAGTTTTCCTGTCGAATGCAGTTTGTGAAGAAGGTTCCTAGGAAAAGATTCTTTACAGGAACCCAGCTGTTGGATAGCTTTTGGAAAATTCTCAAACAATTCGTTGTTTCCAACCTGCGAACTCGCGGGAAGTTAGATTGCCGTGTCCACCGGCGCTTGCTGGACCAGATTAAAGCCTTCATGTACAGACACAACTCAGGTCATAACCTGCGGAAGGAACTGGGAAAGCTGGCCAAAAAGAGTCGACGCTGAAGACCTTGCAAGGTAAGTTGAAAAAGAAGTGTTGCTCAACGACTTGTGGTCAGATGTAACTAATTTTCTCCAACAAAACGAAAAAACGATAATTCGTTTCAGGGGTATTGAAAATCGATGAACGTTTCACACGAAACGCACTTTTTGTAGTAGGCCCCAAAGTAACTACGATTTGACATTTTTATCACGTTTTTACAAAACATTGCAAATACCATGATTTGGTGAACCAAGCATCATGAAGAATCAATGAATTACCCCGGGTCGCTAACCGCGCCGTAGCCTAGTTTTTTTGGCCCAAATATGTCCCACTTTGATCGGGATATGCTAGCAGTTACTAGCCTAAGTAGGTCAACCGTCAGTCTTCACATGAAGTTTGGCCTTTGTTTCACACTGGCGTGGATTCAGCAATGGCTGGTAAGGCAATCATTATACCCTAAATGATGCAGTAAAATCGTGAAACAACCGTTTGGAATGTATATATGATTTCCTGAAGGTAGAATAACAGACACATTTGATTTCTCACATGATCAATACTCTATATACTATTTATATATCTCGGTGTTTAAATCTGATCTAAATATCTAATTATAATTCTATAATAGTCTAGTCCAACCAAATCCAAATATCAATAATCTAAATCAAATCCAACCCAAACTAGTCTAATCTATCTATACGAAAAAACGACTATATAGAATTGTTGCATTTTCGACCTATTCCATTTCCCGTCCTTTACAAATCACACTTCTCAAAGTCAAAATAAATGATATGAGAATGCTATTAAGACGTGTGATTATCATATAGGTTCCCAGTGATTTCCCATTTTAATTAGCATTCATAAGCCATTGATTAGTTTATCTTAAGTGTGATCAGCCCATAAGTCGCCATGATTTTTCATCTTAATAGCTATGGAAACAGCCTTAGATGGGATTTCCTTTTCCTACACAAGTCTTTTCTGGAAGTCTGTAATATGGACGCTGACCCACACGAAGAAAATCCGGCGATACCTCGCCGTGTGTGGTGTAGCCTCCAGCTAGCAAAAAGATGCTAAAATTATATAAACAATAAAAGATGCTTTTGGAAGTCGGTTCTGGGCCGTTTTTGAGCAATGTTTGGACAATGTTTTGCTGCGCTCGGGAAGCAAAAACATCGTAAAATACAGTGTTTTTTCCTTTTCGTATATACCAGTGTTTTTGCTAGGCACGGGCACAAAAACATTGTAAATACCTTGATTTTTGCTACCAGAGGCAAAAAAATATCGCAAAATCCTGCGGTTTTGGGCTTCCGAAGCGCAAAAAACATCGGTATGTACGGCGTTTTTTTCTCCAGGAGTGTAAAAAAACACGGAAACACAACCTATGTGACGATTTTCAGGGCCCACAAAAATGCGACAATAAGGTGTGTTGCAAGAACAAGAAGAACAAGAAGAACAAAAAGAACAAGAAGAACAAGAACAACAAGAACAACAAGAACAACAAGAACAACAAGAACAACAAGAACAAAAACAAGTACAAGAACAAGAACAAGAGCAACAAACAACAACAACAACAACAACAACCACAACCACAACAACAACCACAACCACAACAACAACAACAATAACAACAACAAATAGCACAAAAATGCGACAAAAAAATGTGTTACAAGCTGCGGTATGAAAAGCGCATCATACTGCGCTCTGCACCTTCGCGCACGCGCCGAGCACATCAACAAACACCAATGTTTGCACACAACTATACATAACCTATACATAACCCTTATGGCATCGCCGGTGTGCGAAGTTCTACAAGAAGTTCTACAATATACAGTTAAAACTTTGGCACCGATAGAAACCCTCCTCCACTGACCTTTGCTTGATACTATTGGTTCCTTGGCTTCAGTACACGATTTCTATTCTTTATTTGGTCCTTATTTGGGTAGGGTGAGGGAGGGCAAGTTTGGCAACTATGACTATGTCAGCCACCCACCTCTCCAAACGTGTCCCCAAAATCAGTGTTTTTTCGTTTTTTTTTTGATCCCCCCCCCTTTCCCATACCCCAACAAATGCCGGAATTCGATGGAATTCCGGCTTTCGGCAAAGAAGAGCTTCGGAGCTGCGCCTATATGTACAGAATTTTATTTTCTTCGGACAATTGCTTGATCTTCCTTGAGGAAATCTGCAGCATGAAGGAAGATGAGCAGCAATTCTAGTTGCCATGAGTAAAAGGCTAAGGAGCGCAGCTAATTTCCTCGTGGTTTGCAGTATGATTGTCATGAGCTCACCATGGCATGAAACCCAACAGAAAAACAATATTTGCAGTTCTTCAATGTTCTTCATGTCCTTGTCCCCTTGATTGTTTACATTCCATTCCAAAACAAGGTGGTCATGTCTAAAGCTTCAGAGCACCGCTGGCATTTGTCAACATCTGCCTTACAACTTTGAAGCAAAGAACCCGTAGCAGAGGTCAAGTCAATGCCTAGGGTTTGTCTTGAAAATACGAACTTAGAAAGCACGACCGTTTTGCCCAGGCAAACTACATGAGATGTTCACGTACGCTACCTGCAGTACAAGTGGCCTTCTTGCATAGATATCTTATATTGAAACATGTTTGCAACACTTTTCCTATTGCACATTTGTTTCGCATGAGATCAACACATCTAGCAAACTGTTCGGGCACAAAGAATACAGCAGAAAAACAGCCACATACAGATTAAAGAAAAGATAGTGGGGTAAGACCATTCACGATTTCCATACTACGTCACGCTAAGGCAAGGAACGCCCTTGAAATACATGGAGGTCAGGTTTTTTCATGAAATGTCACGAAGGGAGACACAGAGGCAGATATATAGACAGCAAAGTAGCTGGCCTTTGATTCTCCATATGATTCTCCATATGTCCATTTCTTCGTAGCCAGTTATGGCCCTTAACACTTATCAAATATTGCAAATGTATATAAATGGGCCTATGGTCTAGGATAATCATATATATATATATATAACATTATATAACCATTTAATTAACAATTACTAGTATAACCTCAATTATAGGATCCTTATTCCATAACAAGTCCTGTAGCCCATCCGCAAGGCACAGTTCCCCGGCGCTCCGCAGCCGCCCCGTGCTCCTAGCGGCGCTGGCCAACACGCCACAGGCGGCGCGCTTCGTGCCCCGGGAGCTGCTGGATGACCGTGACTTCGTGACCGCCACTGGAAGGGGGGAAAAGCCATGGGAAAATCCATCCAAAATGGCGACCAAATCCACGGAAGTCCCATGGCTGTTGTCATGTTTTTTTCATGGCAAAGCTGGGAAAGTGATGGAAATGGATCTCCTCGAAATGGTTCTATAAATGGAGGTTTTTGAGGGGAAAATCATCGAACATAATGGGGAAACACTGTGGTGCCAAACAATAACTTCATGCAGCAAATATGGAAATCGCAGAGAATGTTGAATCCAGAGGGGATGCTATCATTTTTATTTAGTTGGTAATTCCCAATGGAAACTCTTCCCATTCAAGCCGAACAATGGAAAAACAATGGAAAATGGTCCCGTGCAAAGACGCTTCCATTCAAAATGCATGAAAGTTGGATTTTCCCTGTGAACATGGATGATTATCACTGATTGTCTTATTGGACCTGATCAAAAACACCCGACTTTCAGTGCATGTCAGTGCTATCGCTGGTGCAGGATCTCAGCTACCAGCTTTAGCCGGCGGATCTTCGAAAAGGCATCGTTTAGGTGCGATGGGCGATTTAGATATTTTCTGAAGTAAGGTGGGGATATTGAAGTATCCAATCTTGTACTTCAATATTATTCCTCAATAGGTTAGTGCTTCATTTTTTGGCATTCACAGGCGTAGACGATATTTCTTGACAGGGTCTCGAAGATTGGCCATGATCTTATACATACACAAAAATCACAATACACGTCGTGTGCTACTGAGTGCATTGATTTCATTGAGTTTGACTTTCTATGTGTTTTCCTGTTGATATATACTAATTCAATCTAAATTTAGTCGTTGTGACATGAGCTTGTGTCTAGTAGTCCTTGCCCTGCAGCATCAATGACTATCAAGTTCGTGGCCACCAGTAGCAGGGGAACCTCCCCCAGATCACGTTAGTTAAGTGTAGTTCTTTTTCAGGTTGGTAAAGCAATATACATAGCATATTGTTTGAAGGGACATCACGCAGCCAATCTTTGTCACAATGATTTGGTCATGTGCAGAATCTCGCAGGTTGAAGCGAGATTTGGATGTGGTCCTGGAGGTCGTTGAGCCTCGGCACCCGCACCGGGGACCCGGTTGCGAGTAAAAAAAACTGCTGTGTGAAAATCACTTTGGTGAAGTGGTGAAGATCACCCAGCTTAACTAATCTTAACTGCTTAACTGATCATTTTTTGTGTTTTATTTTCCAATGCGACATGTTTTGATCACCTTGATCCATGGTGCAAAGTCATATTTGCAACGCTGAACAGGTTGCGTAAATTGCCCATGTTGGGGGATGGCCATCCATCAAATGTTAATGCTATGACCATGGCACAGATGGAACCAAATTTTGCTCAGAAGATACCCTGGGGTAGACTAACATAGATGATCATAGATGTGAAAATCCACTATTTGTAGATGGTTTTCCGTTGGGAACAATGGGTTTTTCACATCTTTTTGTATGCTTACTCTAGGGTAATTTGATCGTTATCGCCCTTTCACAGGCTTTCAACACTTGATAGTCTAACGACAGCGGTTCATGACCAAGAGCCCAAGGTAAGGATCTATGCTCGAAACATGGATGTAAATGGGTGAGTTCCTGGCATACAATGGCCCCGTCACCATTTTTGGTGCTGTCATCAAAGTTTGTTGCTGTAATGAAATATCAATGTCACGCCAGTTAGAGCGAGATGGGAGGCATCCCCTGTCATATATGGGTTGTTTCTTTGGATTATAAACTACTCTTCTGGGATGCACATCCAAAACTTTAGTAACAGTAGTAAAACCATAAATCCAAGAGTTGGCCTAGCCTAGTTCAAAGCCAACAGAAATCTATCATCAATTGCTTGAAATCAAATGTTGTTGCTGATGTTTCATCACTCAACTCCACAACTTTTGCAGCTGGTCAATTTCTAGCTCTAACGGCCTTTCCGGCCTTACCGGCCCTTTAAAGGGCTCCGTTGCCGAGGACCACGACCCGGACTGCTTCATGTTCGCCGCCTGGGAGCTCCGCTGTGACCGCAGAAGCGTCTTGGAGGTGGTGAGCTGCGCGGGCTGCGCCATTGCGCACGCCTCACCGGAGCTGAAACAGGCGCGACATGCCGTGGAACCGACCTGGGGTTGTGTTGGTTCATCCAAAATGGAAGGATTTTGTTACAGAAATTTCCATAGAACAGAAATGAAGATTGAGATGAATCAAATAGGAAATTCGGAAGAGACACTTCTGAGTTCGTTTCTTTTTTAATTCGGGTTTTATCATCCAGAAATGATGATATATTCGAAAACCAAAAAAGGGGGATGTAAGATGGTAGGGCCGATATAGAAAACACTGTCGCCAGTGTGTGACTGGTGTTTTCAGATTGTTGACGTTCAACGGTTCAACCTATATACTTGGGATGATGTCCGAAGTGATTGCTATGTTTTTTAATGGGTTGAAGCCACCAACCAGTATGTATAACCTTTACCCCTTACTACAGCATTGGGGTTTTAAACCAACCAATATCATCACAACTGACTAACAGTATGGAAGCCGGTTAAGCATATGCCAAATATGATGGATGTTGCTGCAATCCCCCTAACAGACATATAATATTATACAATACTTCTGCGACCCGAGTTTTCTGGGTATGCAATATTCGGAAACCGCTCATGGAAATGTCACATGGAATCCCGCCAAAAAATAAAGCAGGCAGATCAGAGCAGGGCTGTTGTCCATGACATGCCCATGTACGTGACGGTACAAGCCTCACTACATGAACTACGTATATGAGAGAGTACAAAAGTTTAAGTGGCAACAAATGTGTAGACATGAGACATGGGGGTTTAGGACGTTTTAGGTGTGTGTGTGTGACAGTGTGTATAACCTTGTTGATTTGGGATTTAACTGATGCATTATCAAATAACGAGGTGTCAACTAGCGATATATGGGATCATCCAATTGGAGTTTATCTCAGATGTTGCATGTTGGGGATTTTGATTCGAGGGATGATACATGATAAGAATACAACATTTGATATTAGAGGGATTGTACATGCATATGGGGACTATATTATATATAATATAATATGTACATGTACTGGCTATTGACTATCTTCTGTGGACATGCAGTATCCCATCGACCAAGGATCAACCAATCCAGAATCTCCAGCCATGTATAGATAGTAGATGTTTTTTCGCGAGGGGGAACGGGCTTCCGTTGCATCCGAATGAAATTATAAATTCATGTACAACAAATTAGTTCTGTATAGGTATCATTAATATCTATTTGCACACACACACATAGATATAATATAATTGACATATATATATATATATGCAAGATGTAAATAGATGACTTTACTACCTCCCTTCCTGCATCCTTGTCCATTTTCACTCCGGGAACAGAGTCGCCAAACAGCAGGACCCGGAAATCTTGGCGGTGCGGGGACTCAAGGGGAATCATCCCCAAATGGCAGAATATGTCATTAGTGAATTATTATTATTGTTCTTATTCTTAGTAGTATCAAGTATTAGTAGTAGTAGTAGTAGTGGTGGTGGTGGTGGTGGTAGTAGTAGTAGTAGGTAGTAGTAGAAGTAGTAGCAGTACTACTATTAATAGTAGGTCTTAGTAGTAGGTGGTAGTAGTAGGTGGTAGTAGTAGGTGGTGGTAGTAGGTGGTGGTGGTGGTGATGGTGGTAGTGTAGTAGTAGTAGTAGTAGTAGGTGGTAGTAGTAGGTGGTGGTAGTAGGTGGTAGTAGTAGGTGGTGGTGGTGGTGATGGTGGTAGTGGTAGTGGTAGTGGTAGTGGTAGTAGTAGTAGTAGTAGTAGGTGGTAGTAGTAGGTGGTGGTAGTAGGTGGTAGTAGTAGGTGGTGGTGGTGGTGATGGTGGTAGTGGTAGTGGTAGTGGTAGTGGTAGTAGTAGTAGTAGTAGTTTGAGTATTATTGTTATTATCTATTCAGATTAGTGGGTATTAATGGGAACCAAACGGGTTTTAACGGGGCTTTAACAGGATTTAACCAAACCAGATAACGGTGAATTTGCCCTAATTTGGTTACTGTTTGTTTGCTTTTTAATAACATAGACGTGAAAACATAATTCCAATGTACGGAGCATTTGCTTATATAATCAGCATGGCTGATTTAAATCCCCATCGACCAACCACTACTGCGTTGACACCTACAGTATATCATCTATGGATCTGTATGGGCTTTATAGAGCCTTGTGGCCGACCCCCACAATACAATCCATGTCAGTATTGGGGAAACATTCATTTTAACCAATAGACGTTTATCACCAGTTGTTGTTTTTTTCCAGAGGGGATAGGGTTGCAATGATGTTCATGATAGCCATCGATATATTAGCCAACCTATAGCCTGGTAAACCTTTTTAATCAAAGCTCCCACTATATGTGAAAATTTTCATGAAGCAGTACCAAAAATACGTATTTGTGTGTTGCGTGTTGGTGAACACAAACATTTTGAAAGGTATTTGAGCTTAGGCCCTATGAGTATTGCATATGTTCAGGCTCAAGCACCAATTACATAGTGGCTGGATGATGATCGCTGTTGGGGTCATCGCATTTCCCGATTTTGGTTGTTAATTTCTGGAAACATGTAGCTTAGTAGCAGCTTGGGCTCCAAAAAAGTTGATGTTTAAACAGCTGAAATCCTACTAAACCTCTGAACATTGAGATGTCACCATCTCCACCAAAGAAATTACCGTACCAATTTCTATATTTCTATCATCCCACTGATCTTCGAAGTCCCAGACAAAGATTCTGCTGCTATTTGGACTACCCACTTCTCCGATCCCGCTTGTTGTAGGAAAACTTGCAGGAACCCCTTGGTTTCCCTTGAATCAACTCATTGAATGCTATGTATTTTTGCTGCGTAAACCCAAAGGTCATTGGTAAGACTCTTGTTTGATGGTTATAAATCCCGAATGGTCTTCGGCATTTTTGGGTGGCTTTCTTCGAGGCGGTGAACCCCAGTTATAAGGTATTAAAAGTTGGTTGATAGCACACACACATATATATATATATTTACATATCTACCATAATCCCAAACTATTGGTATAAGTTGATGTTCAACAGTGAACTCTCTCTATATATATATATTTATGCACATACATCCACACACATACACATCATATATATATATATATGCACATGCCTGTATATACACACATATTTTTTTTGCATGTCACCCATAAAACCCGAGCATACCCGAGCTATAGTAGTTATAACCACAAAAGCTAACTATGGGGCACTACCGTGTACAAGCCTTGTGCACATATATCATCATATGTATCATATATTATATGATGTCCATTTTACCCAATGAGAAATCCCCATATCTATATAATTGATGACCGTTAACTTTCCATTGATCCTAATATCAGTTGGATCAATGGTTTGATTTAAAATATTCAAGGGACATGTTACAGCAAACCCTTATCTTCAAGCAAACCCTTATCTTCAAACAGGAGAAACCATGGAAAAACAAAGGAAAAAACATGGGAAACACATGGGAAAAAGAAGCATGAACAACCATGAAAAAACATATGGTTTCAGAGATCTTCCCGGTACCAATCCATTGTTTGGATCGACAGAGCCACTAGGTGGCCATCGCCAACGACCCCATGGCTCGAGCAGCTGCCAAAAGCTGAACGAAAAGCAGCTTTTGCCATGGTCCGATTGATCTTTCGGATGTGGGTATGTCATGTGTCTTAAAATAGGGTGTGTGTGTATATATAGTGTATATCTATAATAATAGTAATAGTAATAGTAATAACAATCATAATAATACGAATAATAATAATAATGCTAATTCTAATAGTAATGCTAATAATTTGAATATATATATATATACATAAATGTAAATATAAATAAACTAATCATTATATATATTACTATTACCAAATGGTTGTTTTTATAGCAAACATCGTTATTAATGAAGCAAAGGTCTTGGGGTGTGTCTGAAAATTTGATGTAATGCGGATGGTTTGATGATAAACAAATACAGTAGATTTAGCGGCGCCGTTTTGAGACAAACTAAATAGATATATTATGTATATTCACAGAATTGGGGATCATTACGGATCCATATGTTTTAGACATGTTCATGTTGACATATATACAGTTTATATATGCTTATATTTTTCAATAATGAAAGGAATGCATAAGAGCATGTAAATGTTGTAATTGCTATTTTGTGAGCGTGAATGTGTGCGTTAGCAAATAAAGGTAAACTTATCCATGAGAGGGAGAGATTGTTTGAACATATTCACTTACAGTATGTTCATCTATATTCATCGCGGTTAATTTTTCATTTAACTCATTGATTTAAGTCGTTGATATGCATGGATGTGGATTCAAAAAACCACAACAGGCGAGGATATTGAGAGTCCAAACACAAGTATTACCCTCAAAAAAGAGGATACCCATCAAACATGGATAGTTTGGCAGGAGCGATGAGAATACACATCAGCAAAAGTTGACGTAGTCCCGACATCGGTCCTGATATGTCTTGATCAGCCAGTGAGTGTTTGCGGAGGCAAGTCTTGATATTTCCAACCTGATGATCATGGTGGTTTGAAGTCATTTACAACCTGAAGCACTCCAGGCCAATAGTATTCACGCATTCAGCTGTATATAGATATACAGTATCCGCCATAGCCTGGCCTAGTTACACTACCTCTAACAGAAGGCGATCTCGTTGGCCCCAATCATGATAGATACCGGTTTGCTGCATGGTCAGCAAGCTGCGTGTCACGTTGCGTAGTAGGCGTAGTACACCGTCCCATATTATTCCAGGAGATCACATGTTTGATGCATACCCAAAGTGAGCTTCTGTTGTCCTTTAACACAGATTTACATCCCAGCTTTATTACATTACAATGCATATGATTGGAAACATGCATGTACACAGTCATATAATTAAGTCCCTGCATTATTCCGGCAATTCTGATTGGCTGCAGTGGATCGCCCGAGTATTTGTTTCCATCTTGACACGATGACGCCATGAGTGTGACACTGAGTGCTGGACTGAAGCGTGGCAAGAAGTTCTGCAATGAATCTGGGTTCTGCTTTCAGCCACACACACGTTTACAGATCCTATATAGGTAGGACACGTGTACACATCCTATCTGTAGGATACCAACACCGGAAGGAGTTGATGTAGTAGTAGATTGAATCATCATGTTACTTTTTATGTTTAAACATGTAGTCTTACATCGTTTTACATGTCAACAGTTGTGTAATAATGTGTAATACACCTAATTTGTTCACACATAGGGAGATGACGTGATCTACAATCTACATGTCCATCAAAACAACACCAAACACACTTTGTTACCTTTGGTTCGGTCTTTATCAAACCATCTATCCATCCACCCATCCATCTAAATCTATTTTAATCCGATCCAATCCAATCGAATCTAATCTAATCTATCTATACCTTTAGAATGTGTGTTTGGATTATATAGATTAGATTATTTCACCCTTTAAGTTTCTTGATTATTTGGGATAATCAGTTTCTTCATTGGATTATGCAAATAATCCACTTGTAGTGTATTGAATAGTCACCATTGTATGGATTATTACTGCTTACGAAGTATCCAAATAATAATCAATATTAGTTAAATAATCAACAATGACAATCCAGTTTCTTTTTGTTCATTTCACAACTTGTCCCATATATTTTCCCACCAACAAAAAACACCAGATTTTCCCAGCATTTTCCCAGCATTTTCCACCCTTAGCCCAGGAATCTTTCGCCTGGTTCCAGAACTTGATCCGCTGCGAGGACGGCAGCGAAATGCCGGCCACGGAGCTCTCCAACACGCTGATCGGCGCCCTGCCGATGACGTTGGTTGACGTTGAAATGCCGAGCAAAAACCATGGGAAAACCATGGGAAAACATGGGAACATCATGGAACTTCCATCAAACATTTGGAAAAACAATGGAAAAACATAAGGGTTGACTGGAAATCATTGAATGGAAAAATTGGGTTTTAAGGGAAACACATTAAATTTTGGCCACTAAAGGGGAACACCTTTCCCGCACAAAATCCCCACGCTGTCTGCCGTGTAGCCATGAATTTGAATCACAGTGGGCACACACACCACACCTTCAGATCCTCTCCCGATTTCTCCCCATTTTCGGCCGCTTGTCTAATTCCCCACAAATCAAGATAGCTATTATCCACGTGTCTGATGCTTACTTGGATGTGCAACGCAGGAATCCTAAGTGGCTAATGGCTATATGAAAAAACGTGTTAGATGAATGGGATATACCGTAGTACCCCAGTTGTAAAGCTAATTATGGTTCATGATCACCACCTGCCCGCGCCCCACACCCCCAACTACTTCCCAACATGTACGATTCAACCGACTATATATTTTAAATGGGAAATGATGAGGAGTTCACCAACAAAAAATCTAGGTTCAACCCAATTCCCGTTGACTATCCCATTTTATCCACCATTTTTTTGCACAGGTTTGCTTACATCACCCTCCCATTGCTAGCATTAGCCGGCTGACTTGGTTTCCGAAAATTCCATGGCTTCGTGGTCGAGATATCGAAGTGGTGGAGGGAACACAAAGCAACTTACACAGTAACTGGGGGGCATCACCTTGTAGCTTTTGCGGTAGTGTTTGGGCTATGATTACAGAAACAATTCTTTCTTTTTGATATTTTTTTGGTAATTTAACATGGTGTTTGATAATCACCACTTAAAATAGAAGGACAATTTTCCAAGCCATGTTGAATTACCGCATGGTTTGGATTCCCACTGGCACCATTTTTTGTTGATCAAATCTGCATTGTGACTGGGCCATAGTCACCATGTTGAATCCCGTGAGCCAATGAAATCAACCATGAAATCACTATGAAATCCCATTAAATCACCATTAAATCACCATTAAGCCCCAAATCACTATTATATAAATCACCATGAAATCACCATGAAATCTTGTTGAGGCCTCTATTTCTCAGCGTCCTGGTGCCCACCGTGCCAGTACTTCGTCCATATCCTGGCGCAAGGCTATCGAGCCATCCGTGAGGTTCACGGTCCACAGGCGCTGTTCGTGAACAGGGGCATCATGGAGATTCTTTGGAAATATGTAGAGATTTGATGTGATTAAAAATAACATATATATATATAGAATTTGTGGACACATCGATTATATGTATATGCTGGAAACACACATGTATATATAACATAGACAAAGTATTGAATATTTATTTGTGCATGTATTTTTTTTATTTTAGTTTTATTTTATTGTATATATATATATGATTGTAACCTATTATCAATTTAATATATACATTTTTTAAGTTACGTGCTATTGACTGACTAGTATTTTTTGTGGTTTTCATGTATCATAAATTATTTATATGGCATGTGTTTTGATTCTTGGATTCATTCACGACAAACATCCGGCCAATGCAAAGAGCTTCGGGCTTCACGGTGGTTTTCATTATTCTAGGACACTTCCTCAGTCACAAAGAAAGGACTTCTGAAACTCCCAAAAGTTAAATGAAATCAGTTGGTTTCAATGGACATTGTGAACATGATCATATAAGTCATATTGACTTTGGATATTTTGGATCACATCCATCAAACAGAATGCCCCATGAAAACAGTGCACTCAATTTCCCATGGTTTCCTCGTTCGCAAGGCCTTTGAGGTCATTCTGGTCCCCTTGGATGTGGACGAAAAGTTATGGGAGCTGCATATGTCCAAGATGCCCTGGCTCTCCATCCCCTTGAAGAACCGAGACGCTTGGAATCGCTTAGATTTCATGGCTATCCCAGTTCTTCTTGGAGATGTCAGCTCTATCACATTGATTCACATTGTGTAATGATGATTCGTACTATTTGGTTGAATTATAATGGCCTCACTCTGACCGAAAAATGGAATCATGCTTATATTATGGGGAATTCTCCCAATACAGCCTTATTTCATCTTGTTTCAGGTTAGTGAAATATGATAATTTACCCAGATATTATGATTGTTTGGTCATACACGCCACACAGACGTCGTTGGTGTTAAAGGGCTTAGGCGGATTTAGCCCAGTCATGTGGTGACATGGCGCAGACCTTCAAGGAGATAGCAGGCCCATGAAACATTGAGTCCTGTCAGGCTGGTATTTTCAAATGTTCAGATCAGATGTTTAAAAAAAAACAATGTTTGGCACAGGTTGGTCATTTGGTCAGTAGGTCGGTGGGCCATATTCAGGTCATTTTTAGATAGGCATGGATAAACAGAAAGCAGTGCTAAACAGTTTGTTGTTTTTCATTGTGCCCAAGATTAGCCATCAATGAGCTGTATTTCTTGGACGGATAGAAATCACCAGTTTTTAGGTCTTCACCGGCGGGAATTTTATTGCATGGTCTCTAAGTCCACAGGTGTTTTTTTTGTTAATTCAAATCACCATTGTTATCCAATTTGGTGGATTTAACATGTACAATGCAGTTCATGCCAGCTACGCAGATCCTCAATTTCTCTCAATGTCTGTGCCTTCATTGCTTTATCATGAATAAACAGCGGGGTCACAGTAATTGTTTGCTAAGCTTGCTTCAACCACCATTTTTTCATTGAACCACTGCTTGAAGCCAAGTGGCCGAAGCCCCAGTCTTGAGGCTCTAATTGCCTTTTTTGTTATCATTGTTCCATGGTTTTTAATAGGGGTTCCCTTTTGTCGCCGACACATCCACCCATTATCCTTGGCAGATGGGCGATGCTGGTTGCAACTGCTAAGTAGACGGGTTTAGAGTATCCCCAAAGATACCTGGGTGTCATTGGTGAACCAACTTACGACTTACTAAATCAGGTCACCCTCAAGCCTCCCATCAACCCTTCTCAATGGAGCCTACTTGCCCTGTGGTCAATTTCTTGCGATATTGAACACCATGCAGCTTTTCAAAACCCAGTGGTCATCCCATTCTCTGAAATGGATTGAAGTGGTTTAAAGAATCCATCAATTCATCAATATCTTGAACCACTTCTTGTCCCCAATTTTTAAAAGCCATTTGTTAGCCATCTCCGGTGCCCCTGGCGGCCCGACCGGGGATGCCCAGGAAGTCATCGTGAAGCTCTTCACGGCGCACTGCATCACCGAGGCTCCGCGGTTGATGATTTTGGACTCCCAGGGCACCACCGTGGTGGAGAACGCGTGGGGAGGCACGCACGCGGGCCATGGGTTGGATTAGCGGAGGGTCGTGTTTTGTAAGAGGGCTGTGTTGTGAAATGTTTGACATGAGGAGAATGTTGGCAAGCACTCTGACTGTGCATGGCTGATTTGTTTTAACACAGAAATCCGCAAGAGCCGATTGTTCTTTTATTTGTTTTCAATTGGATAAAAGTATAATTATTCATCCAGAAATTCATGTCCTTGAGATTGCAATGTGCGCCTGCAGTTTTGCACAAACACAAAATCCACTGTACTAGTATGTCTTATTTGCAGCGCTTTGTGGCGTTTTTTATGAACATGTTAAATTATAGCGATGTCTTGCGCCATTATTTTAAAACATGTTATGTGATCATAAACATGTGTGCATTTTTTTACAGTGTGTTCCACTGATAGACGGTTAAATATTATATTCATGTTCTACCTTAACAGAATCTATGTACCATCCGTATATATATATACACATACATGTACTATCTAATCATACATGTACTAATTATATTTGTTAAAAAAGAAACATGTATATATGTATATATATATGTGAGTGTGTATGTATACGTATATATATATAATTATATATATATATATATATATACGTTTTCCACTCTTATATAGATGGTTAAATCTACTATATAATGTACTTTCTTGTTTATATACATATATCAAGTGAATATATGTACCTGTATATGCATAATGTAATATATATATATATACAATACATGTTTTCCGCACTTACTCTTACTGGTTCAATGAGTCACCATGTTCCACTCGACCAGCTCGTCGTCTTTTTTTCTTCGAGGTGATCATGGTTTTGGCTTCGGCCTGGATCCATTGCACGCCTATGTCACGTGGCGGGAGAGTTGTGGTGAATCCACGTTTGAAAGGGGAAATGATTGGGAGCCACAGAAATAAATGGATAAACCATGATAGACCACTTGCAAGTGATGAATTGATGCCATAGAAATATGATGTTTAATATATGATAAAACTGGTTAATTTAGCAGGTTGCTGTTGAACATGGTCATTTTGTGAGTTGATTTTTCTATTAAAAACATTGATTTTCCATCACTACATCAGTTTAGCAGAGGGCAACAAAGTGGACGGGGACTTACGATCACCAGGCTTATTACTGTAATCATTTACGATTTGCGGGATGATCCTCCAAGTACTATTCAGTGGTTGGGAGAGAAGTGTTCGGAGCTAGGGTAATTATCCTGAGTAGCTAAGGAGCTATTAAGAGTTTCCCAACCGCAGGAAACCATGAAACTTGCCCCCTAATCATAGAGGTGTCCTGTTTTGAATTTCTCCATCATCCGATTCTGCATGCATTCACTGCCAAATCGTCTAGCTAGGCTGGAGAGATTAGGTAAACCTGGGTGAATGGCAAGTTAGTAGGTCAGTATTGTTCCCCTACAGATACTAGTGCTATAAATGGATGATTGATAATCGATACATATTGACGCTATTCTTGGGAAAAACATAGGTTGTCTTGCCAAGCATCTAAAAAGGGAACCATCTTCGGGATACTCTTGGGTAGACCCTGGAGGAGAAACTGATTGAAGAGTTGCAGAAGATGCAGCGCGGGCGCGAAGAAAATGATCCAATCGAGGAAGAACCCTCCGACGTCGAAGATTGATGCGAGGGCGGCAGACCGGAGGTTTCGTGAAGATGGTGATCCAGTGGTGGATTTGGTTGCTGATGAAGATATTTGATGTTAATATATGTTAATCGAAAGTTCTGTAGGATCATACGCGAATAGTGTTCCTGGAGTTGGAGGCCAAGAAAGAACCTCTTTCTTTCATGGCAAACAAAAGACAGTTTTCTTATAGGGTTTCCATTAAACCAGTCCATTGGTGAAGTTTTTTTTGGTTTGAACGCTGGATCAAAGAGTTTGACAATCAGAGGCCTAGCCTTTGGAATAGCCAGCTTGGGCCATGAATTTCAATGTTCATACGCCAATCGGTACACCCCAATCGGTGTAGCAAGTGTGCAACAGACGTAACATCCATCATTTTTGGGAAGCCAACAAACCCATTTGCCGACCCCTCCAAAAAAGAGGCCTAATCACTAACGAGCCGATTAGGGTCCCACATCCACATGGTGCCACAAATTACATGGAGGTCTCTTTCCTAGGGGTACCCCCCAAATCATCAATTTTAATAGGATGTGCCATTATAAACCAGAAATTTTGGGGTACCCCCCATTTATGGAACCCCCCAAGTGCTGATTGCTTTTCATTTGTGAACCAAAAACGCCATGTTTTTCGTGGGCGTTCTAACTTGACCACCAATCATGCTGTCATTTAAAAGGGCACTCAGGAAACCCAGTCCAGCAGAAATTGAGTTCTTGGCCCCCATCAATCCTTAATCGAGCTGATTCACCCATTGTTGGGGGCCTTCCTTTGGAGCCATCGATTGTCAATCAGCAGCGGGTGTGCCGAAAAATGTCGTAGAATCCGTGAAGATCATGGTGGCACACTGCCAAATGGCATGTGTCAAAATCGCCGCTTGAGACCATAAGAGACCCAAAGAGCACAGGGATTGATGGGAAGGACGGGCGGATAAACATCCGAATTGATCAGAGAGGAAGAGAAAACAATTTATTTTCCACACTCGAAGCTGTTCAGCTGAGTTCCCACCATATCGAAGACCTTTCTATGACAAAAACATGGCGAGAAAGGGAGGGGGACACGCGTCCAAAACACACGGCTGTTATTAAAGATCACACTCTTGGGAGTGAATGTTTCAGACCAACAGGTATGCATATAACTATGTAGCCCTACCCATACATAAGATCAAACGAGTTTACTCAAGCCAATGGTTTGCGGCTTCACATGTTTATATAATTTCATAAGATTCCCAAAGAGAAAAGTTGCATTCATGTTCTGCCACAAGGCGTCTTTCACACCCCCACAATTTGGCGCAAAACTGAAAGAAAAGGCTAGTTCACCGATCTGGTAGATGTTCATCCCACTAAAATTGATAGGTTTTGAAGGGTTTTGACCCACCCATATATCGGGATCCCCGTTTAGGGCTTGGTCATGGTGTGAGGCCACAGGTTTCCATTCGCAACAGACGACAGACGGCCATCCAAAGAAAAGAAGGTGTCGCTTGTGACATGTCAATCACTTGAAATTACATCAATTTACTTATTACATCGCGTTACATAATCTTACGTTACATCACGTTACATCACTTGACCAGGATCAGATCATCATGTCACATATCTTTCAGTGTTCACTGAGGTCACCAAGTCACCAAGGTTGGCCATTTGACCTGGGGCCCGCAGTTGGTTCAGAAATCGAAACCTGAAGCGTTCGCCCATGAGTGCGTCCCAACTCCTGCAAATTCAACAGCATCACCTTTGTTGAATGTGAAATGTATTTCAGAGTTCCCATCACACAGAAAACAAACCATTTGTATATAGCCATAACCATTTTAGAAACGCTTTGCTGGTTACTTATCCATCCTTTCACTTGACACTATGAGATCCTTGCAAAGAAATTCCTTAGCCAGATCTGGGCTATGCAGCGTTCCAATGGCGCAGGTGTGGAGGGAGGAAATTCTGGAAGAGTGGTCAATTTGTCAGTTTCAAGCATGGTGGGGTCCCATAGGATATGATCGCATGGAAGAGAGGTTCCTTGCCCTCAGATACAAAAAGCAGCACGGAACCTCGAAATATCCATTTCTCGGAAAATCTCCAAGTGCGTAAAATCATGTCAAGATTATGTGGTTCTCTCCGTTCATGCTGGAGTTTCCAAACGGTCACCACCTCTCAGAGCCAACATCTCTCTATACCCCCATTTTTTTTAACTGAGAAAACAAGAGCAACTACAACTTGTTTTTTGCCATTGCAGATGCCTCCTATGTCCGCTTGTTTTGGACAATGGTGCACGATGCTCCTTCGCCGCAGCGGCTCAAACGATAGCAACGATGCAGATTCCACCGCTGCTCGCGCCGCCGGATGGCTTCCAGGGCGCCGTCTTCGCTGGTGCAGCCAAGGCGAACCTGAAGCCCTCGAAGCTCTTGGTCTCGGGGATGCCTGGAGCTACAGTGATGGCCCAACTAACAGTTATAAATGAATTATACCCCCTATAACTGAGGTAAAAAAAAATCATTGACCCATTTGACCCTCCTTCGGTACTCAATAGAAATCAGGAGGTCGACCCCCCTGGGAGAGGTCCCCCAAAAGTGTTATTGATTTTATGTGTCCCTGTTTTTTTGAATAAAATGGGGTTGGGTACCCTGATTCGGGAAGTACCTTGGGTACTTCTGATTTGATTTAGCATATACTGGGCCCCAACCCCTGGGGACAAATGGAGCTGAGTAGGCTAGGTACTTAGGATTTTATTTCTAGACAGGTTTCTTCTGTATTTTGAGCCCAACAAGACCAGCACATTGTGAACAATTCTACTTGTTTGCATGTTTGTTGGTAATATAAATAAATATATATATATATGATGATGATAAGGCACATTGCACAATATTGCACATAGACAACATAGAAATGCATTTCATATTCACCATGGTTCTTAATATTTTCTTACTGTATATCTCCTACGGGTCCCCATCCTAACAAGCACAATGTGCAGAACTATAACAATGGGATATATAAGCCATAAATTGGTGACTTTCGGATCTTTGATGTCGTAAAGCCATCCAAAACAGGGAAGCTATTGCGCAAGCATTGGACCTCAAGGGAAAATGCAGGAACCCTTACTTTTCAAAGGTAAGACGACAGGTGTTCTGTCAATGTTCCCTTTTAAACTCTAAACCGGCCTAGGTTATTGAAATAGCTTTGCCCTTTCCGTTTATCTTCGGGCCCCTTAAGCTTACCCCAGCTTCAAGTTGATTTGTGACTCCCATTAACTACTTCGATATATCTACCATAAGCCCAACGCTTTTTTGAGTTATGTTTGCCAACTTAGCCAACTAAATTCCATCAACTTCTATGAATTCAATCACACTTGTTGCTGGTCAAGACCTGGTGCGCCCCCAGGATCATGGCTGGTGCCTTCATTGGCTACGGCGCTTACCTGGCGTGCACTGTAGGGGGCAATTGCCCGCAGCTGGGGCAAAGCAACCCCGGGCTGCAGAAGTTTCCCGACAACCAATGCAAGCATAGGTGCTTCCACCATAAATTTTCAATCCAACATTTGTTGGAGTAACCAACTTACCTATCTTGGGCGGGGGCCAGATTGTATACGCACCATGTTAAAGACCCTAGGATAACCCAGTTGCGTATATTTTTTTAAAATATCATATTTATCCAGTGTTTTTCTATGGGCTAATTCGAGTCGCTGATCAACCTGGACCAACATTAGCAGCGTGACATACCCAGCCATCCAGCACATTTGAGTTGCTTTACAACCCCATCTAGCTAGAGATATAAATATCCTAAACCCTGCAGTTAACCTACTCACAAACGAACCACATAAATTGATTTCAAATCCCATCAAATCCCATTGTTTTTACTGGTAAAGTCCCATTTTTGCAGTGGCTTCAACCATTACCCCTTGGGCCCCTTGATTATACTAACCTATACATATTTATAGTTACATATAGTTATATAGGTATATATATATATGGTCACCGACAGAATTATGGGAAAAAAAAACGTTCAACTTAGACAGGCGGCGCCTGCGTCCGATTTTTCCATAATTGGATTTTTCCCCATAAGGGTTCAAAATATCCCGGAAGTGATCCGAACCTTTTTTTTTCCATAATTCTTGGAGGTGGCCATTATTTCCATAATTGATTTTTCCTGTGAAATCAGGGGGCTAGGGCAGATTGACCGGTTTTTCCTTATAATTATTTTTTCCATAATTATTTTTTCCATAATTAATGTTTGGGGCTCCACCTGTTGGACATGTCATGGATCCACAATTCAAACCCGTTTTTTTGGGGGGTTATGGAAATATGTATGCAAATGCAAGTATGTAGTATCAACCCAATATTTTCTATAATTCAATATTCCCCCTTAAAATGCATTCAAATTGCGAATCGATGGTAATACAGTCACCGACAGAATTATGGAAAAAAAAATAATTATGGAAAAAATAATTATGGAAAAAAAAAGGTTCGTAACTTTTCTATCATAGACAGGCGGCGCCTGTAAATTGAAACGTTTTTTTTTCCCATAATTCTGTCGGTGACTGTATATATATATATATATAATATACCCATTAAATAGACCTGATGGCGATGGAGGGAGAGAGAGAGAGAGAGAGAGACCCACTAAATAGCCATTTGGTCCCCCTGGCTTCAGGTTGATTTTTGGCGCCTTCGGCTTACCCTTCGGTCTCTTCATGACCGTTTTGTCCGGCACGGAGCTCTTCACAGGCAACGCGGCCATGGTGTCCATGGCGACGCTGGAGGAGAAGGCCGAGAGCCGTTGCGTCCAAGGAAAGGGGAACTTGGCCATGGGAAAATCGTAGGAAAACCACTGGAAAATCATAGGAAAATGGATGAACATGGTGATTTAACCAAGAAAAATGATGATTTAATAGGATTTTGTTGGGATATGATGGGAATAATGTTGGTGAAGGAATAGGATCCACCATCCCCAAAAAAAATAGAGAGAGAGAGAGAGGTATAAACTACCATAAACTAGCATAAAACATTAACATATAACATATGGGTTGTTTAGCATTGCCTTACTCACATTTCTCGATATCAATATTGGTCAGATCGCCTCCACCAGTACGGATATAACCAATACAACCCCTATAACTATGGTAACTATGGTTGTATATCCACTTATCAATATCATTGAAACTGCAACTCCAGGTAGTTTGTGTTAGTGATCAATAGAACTAGTGTGGAATATTTGTGGTTGAATGATGGGAGAATCGCTGCGGACACCTCGGGCATCGGGCAAAGCCTCTTTTTAAGCCCGAGCAAAATAAAGAAACATGGATCATATATGGGTAACTACTGGATGAACTTGTTGATCATATGATACAAAATGGAGGTTTCTTGAAATGGGGGATCCCAAAATTGTCCAAGCATCATCATGGTTGAAAACGGGAAACTCATTATTTTGGGATGCTTTGGGATACGCCAGCAAAGAGATTTAATTCCTTTATCATGACCCCCCCAATGGGAAGTCATTGGTATGATTTATTGATGTCCTTTTCCCAGGTTGGTCGATTACACTAATCAATAATTTGGCGAGATGCCGCCCCCATCTTTCCCCATCTTTCGTAGAGGTGAATACAGTTGACTCGTCAACTGAGGGCAGCTAGGCAAATGGATGCCAAATGTACGCTAGTCACTAGGGGTTTCTGACTGTCGCATTGTTTTAAAACATCACCTCAGGATGACACAGGACACGATGGCAACGAGATGGTTCTTGCCATTGCCATCAAAGACATGGGTTTCCTGCAACTGTTCCCAACACAGTACATTGACTCAGGATTGCTCCAAGCCATTCTAAGTGAACTTTAGCCAAACGGGGGGAGTGGCAAAACTAGCCATGTCCCTGCGACAGTTGCAGATCCAGGCGCAGCCGGTACAACTGCTGAAGTCTTTGTGCCTCTCGTGGTTGGGCAATTTCATTGGAGCTGTAGGCTGCTGGGCAAAGCATTGCGCGTTTAGAAAGGCATATACCCAGTTATCCGCCAGATATAGTTTGAACATGTTTGAAACATGGCTTCCAGGTCGCAAACTCTTAAATTTCCAGAGGGTATATTCCATTAATTATATATATATATATTCCCTACCTTTGCTGGTGAAACCTTAATGAATCACCATAAAATCCAATGAAATCATCACAAAACATTTAAAACCCCAATGAATCCCATTGAATCCGGCCCTGCCAGGTTTGGCGAAGTTGGCCATCCTCTCCGGCACCATGCCAAACGGCGGCGCCACCGTGACGCTGGCGGCGGCCAAGACGTCCTTGCCCTTTGCCACGGCCTTCGTGCGGGGCGTGCTCTGCAACTGGTTGGTGTGCATGGCGGTCTACCTGGCGTCCATGGCCAAGGTGGGCGGCGGTCGAAATCTTGCTGGTTACAGGGTGATGAAAGGGAAAGCATCCTTACAAATAGTGGCCTCATAGATTTGGGACATGTAGGGAATTGTTCTAATTTATTTGGAGTGATTATCATTTTGCTTTGGGTTTGTGTTGATAAACGGGCCATTGACCCTGAGGGTTATGGTGACTTTGTGATTTTTGTGAGGAAAGCAAGGTTTTAAGCCATTGGAGGACGTACGGGTACCCTACAAACAGCCCCTTTCTTTCTAAGGTTTTCAATCATCATCATCATTGTAGCGGATTCCATGGCCAAATGAGGACCCCTAAATAATTTCCCAGACAGGTTCTGAAGTCTGGTGGTTGAAAAAACGAGGGGGAGAGAGGTTGATTTCAGTTGGGGATGTCGATCACTCACAGCTGGGAGTAAGTATGTCATGGGAATGGAAGCTGTTCTGGATGATGTCCCCATGTTGAGCATCAGTGGACACCGATATTTGACATAGAAACATGCAAAACAAAGCACCGGAATGAATACTTTTAGATGTTCTTAGATAGGTGATTTCTCCCCCCACCAGTTTTTGTTTGCTAATGTGCTCGTGTATCTCACCTTCAGGATACCATCGGAAAGGCTGTGGCCATTTGGTTTCCCATCTCCGCCTTTGTGACCCTTGGCCTCGAGCATTCCGTGGCCAACATGTTCATCATCCCTGCCGGTATCTTTGCTGGGGCCAACGTCTCCTGGTCAGCCTTCCTCTGTGACAATCTGCTACCTGTAACCTGGGTGTGCTTAGTGAGGCGGATCTTTTCCCGAAATATCCACGAATCGAATGGGATTCCAAATTGATTAGTTTCTATTTTTTTTGGTGGTGCCTTAAGCAAATGCAAGGTAACTTTGGGGAACACCTTTGGTGGCATGGTGTGTGTAGCACTGCCTTTCTCCCTCCTCTTTGGCAGCAAAATGTAGTCTGCGAAGAGGGTCGACATGGGAGAGTCACAGGAATAGGACATAAATCATGTTGTATAGAAGGGCTATTGACCACTGCAATTATATATCACTGGGATTGGTATGGACATTTAGTTACTTACTATCTCTTATGATACGGTTGAAGCGGCCGTCTTCATGGCTATACTGCGATCGATTAGGACTCTGTGCTGTTTTTTCTCAGGCGTTTGAAAACCTACTGGTTCAGAAATTGCGAGTGAAAAAATAAAGAGTCCCTGCGGCACACGCGCTCTGAAAGGTTGTTTGGCACAAGATTGATTTTTCATAAGAGGTACCCTCTCGTAAACAGACATCAGACATGGCCATGAAAGAAACATATGTTTGCTTTCATTAGGCAGAACTGAACAGGTATAAATTGGGAACTGTTCCATTTCGAGGTTTGCTGCAAGGTACGGTGAGCTAGAGGATTTGTTTTTCCCCATATACCTCCAGAATGGCCACATCAATCCACAAGACTCGCTCAGTTTACGGGACCATTTGCAAGAAACTGCATAGAATGATTAGGGCCCCAGGGGTACTTGTAGAATGCACGTCCCCCCAAAATCAGTCAGGAAAGTCCCGTTTTCTTCTTTCAGGTTCCACATGATTGCACGTGTGTTGATTCTTGTCTTGGGATTGCTACAGTTCGGCTGTACACCGGCACTTGCCGCAAGACTGCCAGATCTACCAGCACAGATGGTCATGGTTTCATTCATTTGATGCATAGGCAATGCCCAACAACATTCCAAAGCCGGGAAGTGTTCTTTGCTTGTGGGTATTGAGGTAGCTAGATGTGGGTTTGAGAGTTTGAGATACCCTTTTCCTATATTTTCCTATATTTTGATACGATATGAAGTCAAAACCTGTCATGCCAATTTGATGGGGAGAAGCATCCAGAAATCCCAGCTGTTGTCAGGGTCCCAGCTGGTCTGGTATCTCCAGTGTAGCCACAGGACGACGATGAACCTGATTGTCTTGGAGAAAGCGCTTATGTGTGGCTGCCCAGTGGCCATGAAAATTCTACTGTAACGCTAGTGATTTCAACAGCCTGAAATGTGAAGGTGATCAACACATATGGGAGGTAGGTGTATAAGCCTATATGCAGTATGCAGAGGTTGATTAGATAACAAGCTCGGGCAATGAAGAAACATGAAATTCAACAGCCCACAACGATGCCTCATCTCATGAGCCCTCATGAGCCTGTAAGAATCGTGCAACAACGTTGGAGGCATCTTAGCTGCCTATATTGAAAAGCCATGATCACAAGAAATCCGTCAGTGATATTTCCCATGAGGTCCATTTAGCTTAGCGAAGCTTCACTATAGTTGCATGCGGAGTCCTCCCTCGTTCCCACACTTGCAGTTAATTTAAGAGCCCAAATATATGTATTTATATAATTATATATATATCCCTAGAAGTCAGCGGTCCTACTTTTTGAGGTCCCAAGACTTTTTATGGTATTGATTCTAAATAATTAATGATATCAAATTATTCATATGTGCGTGTATATTGTATGTGCCTTTCATATCGTTATATTTGCGCGGCTGGCGCGCCACGCACGGGCCCTTGAGGTGGCTTTACTTCATGGATCAGGCCGGTGACCCGTGGGGATGCGTCCACACTCGAAAATCACCATGAAAAATGTGTAAATCAACTATTTCTATGGCCATGTTCAATAGCTTTTTGATGCTTTTTGTGTGTTTACCAGAGGGTAGTTGTTTCCTGAAACAAAGCCATTGATTCAAACCAAGATCTTGACAGAGGGAGGCAGATCTTCAGATTGCAGAACGCGATGTGAATGGTGCACCTATCAAGGCGCAGACCATTCGCATGTTGATTCCCCTCACTCCGTTCGGCGCTTGCAGAACGGGAGTTCTTCCTCTATGCACTGCTGTTCCATTCTCAGATATGGGAATCAGAGACTGAACACCTTTGGTCAGTCCCTTTTGGGGTAAAACAATCCTTGTTCTATACAGTGTTATACACTAGTAACTTTTGCATTATGGGCGCATGTATTGCAATGCCTTCTTGGCTGTATTCTGGCATTTCCCAGTTCCACACTTTTAAAGCATGCCCAAAGATCAAAGACCTTTGAGACGACTCGCACTTCAGCGGTTTCCTTATTCGTATGGAGGACTCCCAAAATGGTGACGCTAGAACTCACTTCGAGGGAGACTGCAAGAAGAGCATAAACTCGATGCAGATGAGGCTGCAAGAAGAGGAGTTCAATCATACCCCAAGGTCCTGTTTTCTCTTTAGACAACCATGGACGTGGTTTCATCATGGGGAACCCAAGCATCTACCCCCCTCGATGGTGAGTTTGTTGCCATTGTTTTACAGAAAATCCCGTCATTGCACGAATCCCTTTCTTCAAAGGAAATACATTCACGACTAATCTATATAAAGATGTTAGAGGGCCATCCTGGGATATCCTTGAGTTTTCAAAAAAGCGCATCCGACATTCATCCTTATCATAATCCAGGCTCAGAATTCGTTTGAGGGAGAAGTTACAAGAGGCCGGGTATTTGATGAAAGTGGCCAAATAAAATCAATGGGCCAGTTGGAACACTAAGCTATAACTGATCTAAGCTTTGATCAAAATAAGGGCTTCATGGTGGATCTATCGAAACCTGCAGCTACAGAGGGCTCTTTGCGCCCGGCGCGGGCGGTCGCCGTCGTTTTCCGGAGGTACGGGCCAGAGTTGGTGTCTGGGCTGGGTGACATCCCCACGATTTGTGCTTGGGAACCCTCCTGTGACATCCGGTAACACGGCAATGGGAAACCTCCTGTGTGGGAAAAGCATCGAATTAAACGGGAAATTTTCCAGCTAGCCATGTTTGATAACCAGAAGGTATATTTGAACATACCTACATGTTATATTGCATCTTGGATAGAAAATGAACAATTGCTGGCTATAAAGTAGATATTAAAACGTGTTTGGATATTTCGGAAAGAATGATCTTTAAGTCTAAGTGTTAATAGTTGTTTGGCAATGTTTTTCAAGAAAATTCCCTGCGCGTGCTATCAGCAAAAGTCTTTTGCCGTGGTCAGTAACCCAGCTGGTGCAACCGGTGCAGCCAGGTACATGAGGACCTCCGCTTCGGGTCCGCTGAATCGTCGCTCCCAGGCAAATGAAGTGGGTTTGCTACAAAAAGGGTAAAAAGGCTTCAAGATCTCTGGGGATCCTCAAAATGGCAATTTGTTATGGGAAAAGTTCATCCGATACAACCTGCAAGGGTCGAAAACCGTTTTACCGGAGACCTTTTGCAGTGCAAACGATATCCAATCTGAAAGCTCATTCGAGCCGGTTGCGCCGTCCGATGAGCTATGACATGAAGCTGTTTGCACGCCTATGATCTATGAAAATTAACCCTTGGATCATGTTAGATCCAGATATTATGAGCGTTTTGAGGTGCCTGCGCAACAAAACGTCCTGGCTACTTGTAAATCAGGCCAAAGCACAGGGCCGACCGTCTTCCTTGGAATGGCATTATATCACTGCTGCCTTCCAACTATTGTTTGAACACGTCTTAGCCTTGCTGGTGTAAAAAGGAATGAAATGGCCCTTGATGGGTTCAGTTTGACCTTCAGTGATTGGTGATGATTTGTGCGTGTTTGATGTGTCATGAGCTCAAGACAATTTCCCGTGCGCTCCATGCATATTTGTGCCCTGATCTTGGGTGATTGTTTGGGTTGATGGTACTTGGTCATCTTGGTGGTTCACCCCAGTAAGGATGGTCATAAACCCAGTTATAACGCGACTATATGACCCTACTATACCCTACTTACTTTACTTATCACATCTTATCAATCACTGGGGTTGCACAGCCTGTCCAGGCACAGCTCAAGGCTGGAGCACGACCAAAGGCGCACGGGCACATACGTAGACCCTCAAGCTGAACTGCCGAACGGCAACAAAGAACGAGGATACATATATGATTTTAAGAGATATCCACGTTTAACCATTTTCATATATCCATCATTGTATTTTCATGTGACGTATCCATGTTCCATGTTCATTCATATGCGCATGGTCAAAACATGATGTGTATGTAAAGATCTACATAGGGTGTGGTCATCCCAATATCAATAGGGTTTCCTTGCAGGTGGTATATTGACCCTTGTAAATGGAATCATGACCGATGTATATATATGTGTGTGTGTGTACTTATATGATATATGTATATCGATGAGCTCTTGACCATGGCTCATACATTAGCAAGCCAAATATAGCTGCACACAACTGGGTCAGTTCACGTGTTTATTTATCCCATCATTACTATCCCTATTATATCCCTATTCCATCCCATAACATCAATATTTACCCATATTCTTGGTTATATTCCCAATGTATCCAATATCCCCAGCCATATCCCATTAGAATCCCATCAAACACCATCTTTGTGGGTGAAAGTACCAACATATCATCACAATATATCACCATAAAATCCTTTTCTATCACCATGGCATTCCAACAACAATAAACATCTATTATTATTTTTAAAAAGAAATCATTCAATTAAATCACCATTCACCCAAAAATTATCCTTTACTTATGGTGTCTCTCCTTGTCAGATTTGCACATCCCTGGGAGCATATCCATTGGATGGGATGTTAATGGGAAATTAGTTAATGATATATTGATATTGTTAATGAACACTGGTGATTTAATGGATATTTCATGGCTATATAATGGGTGATTTAATGGATAAAGCCAAGAAAAAACTGGTGATTTAATGGGATATTGATGGAATGTACGCTCGGGTAATCTAAGATAGCCATGGAACATGATGGAAAATGATGACACATGGCCATGGAAATAATAGGGCAATCTACGAATTAGTCATTTCCATGGCTAAGTTGGATTACCAGAGGATATTATATACATGAAGTTGGTGTAGTTGGAGGCTCATGACAATCCATTTGCCATCTTATATATACCGTTACCATTTACATACAGATTGTGTGTGGGTAAGTGTGGGTGTTGGCTCGTTTGTTTGTTTGCTTCTTTACGCCTTCATTCATTCGCGCATGGTTAACACATGGTTTTTATTCCTTCTTATCAGCTGTTTCAAAGTTATAAGGCCTATTCTCCCTGTCTATCGTTCTTCTGACAGGGCAATCTTCCACCTACAGATCCGTCCTGTTGCATCATCCCCTGTAAAAACACCATCGCAGTGTCAGGCCGCGGAAAAACGAAGACCGTCCACCGGCCGTGGAACTTCCGGCCCTTCCGGCCCAGGATGCGGGGATCAAAATGGGCCTATCATAAACCATTTTTAAGATACCCGGCCTGGTAAACTGTGACCACTAACGAACTGGAAATATCCACCATTTTTAGGTAAATCAACTATTTCCATGGGCCATTTTCAATAGCTATAGTTTACCAGAGGGTAATAAAGGAGCTAAAAATTTCGCCCCTATGTGTTTCTCTATAGAAGCAAAGTTGATAAAGTTGGGAATTGCAAATCTGGACCCAAACCAAGCCCAAGTTGGGATTCAACGGTGAAAGGGGAAGCTCACCAACACGCAAAGCGAATTCACACCACCCATAGCATGGATTTTACAACCAAAGCACTGACCGAACCAACAACATACATAAAGCATGGACCACATGGCTGGGGAGACTCCCAAATTTGAATTAAATCACCACAATCATCTATAACTGAAAGATCTGTTGTCGGAAATTTAAGATTCCCCAAGCCGCACATGCGTCTGGCTTGCGGAGAACCATGCCATTTGTTTGCTTACATGTAAGCCCCGCCAAAGTTGTCACCTTTTTGGTTTCAGACTGATATTTCATTGGGTGCTGCTGAAATCCTAAGGCACTAATCCAAACCACCAGGAAGCCAGTGGATGATGAATGCGCAAATTCTGAGCGTTTCGCAGTTGTATCCTTTTTGACTCTGAAATGTGCTTACAATCTGGTTGGTGGTTTGGAACTAGTCTGGCTCGAGTACCTACCAGGGGTTGACCGTTTCTCACTGAACTCGAGTGTCCTGTTACTCACTGCAATGGCTAGTTGGGATGTTCCTCGAACCACTGATCTGTTTTCCCCCAACTGGGATCATCTTGACAGGGGATCCAAAGTTTCAGTTGTTGTTGATGGATGTATCCACACAGCTGGCATGGTTTTGGGGACCATCATTCCAGATGGGAGACCTATGAGGGTGATTGGGGCCATCGACCGGGGTGTCAGAGGATGCCACAGGTTGACCCTTTTCGATGTTGTCTTCGACAAAGATGGACCGATGATTGACCTGCTGCTTACTGACCAGTCTGCTGTTATTGCACATGGCCTTAAGCCAGTGGAGGACCTGTTCCGATGTGTTGAGTTGTGTGCCGGTGTTGCCTGCTCTAGCGTTGGACTTGCTGCTGCTGGGTTCCGTCCTGTCTGTAGCGTGGAATGGCGTGCCCCTTTGGTTGATCTCCATCGCCGCACTTTTCCTGGAATGCCAGTCATCCATGGTGACATTGCTGATTTGTCATGCATCAAGGAAGTGGCTCAGTGTGTTGATCCCCCGTTCACGCTCATGACCGGTTTCTCCTGTCAGCCCTACTCCACTGGTGGTGCCCAGGGTGGTTCAGATGATGACCGTTCCAACTGTGCCTGCAACTGTCAAAGCTTGTCACCTCCTTCAGTGCCCAGTTTTGTTGATTGAAAATGTGACCCAAGCTCGTACGAATCAGTTTGTGCGGTCGTGTCTCCAACAACTTGTCGACAGGCTTGGATATCACTTGAGTGAAATTTGTCTGAAGCTTGAGGATAATTGGTGTGCCCGTCGTTTCAGGTGGTGGTTGGTTGCTGTCCATCCGTCATTTGGTCCTGTTGCTTTGCATGATTGGCCGAAGAACCCAAGCCTCAACATTCGAGACATCATGCCTTTCATCAAGTCTTGGCACCAAGATGTGCTTGCTGAACTCCAGTTGACAGAACATGAGATCGCCCAATTCACCATGGATGGATCAACCCTCCGAAAGTATCATGTGCAAATGGATGGCAAGCTTCCCACGAGTTTGCATTCATGTGGTAGTCAAGCCGATGATTGCCCCTGCGGTTGCCGTGTTGCTTTCAGTGAACAGCTCATCCGTCAGAGAGGAATCTATGCCCAGCTGCTGCAAATCCCAGTGACCACTGGGGCGGCTGTGTACCGGCATTTGCATCCGTGTGAATTAGCCCTGCTTAATGGAATGCCACCGCCTCAGACCTGGATGCGCAGCGATCGACCAAGCCTGCGATTGTGCCTTGGAGCCATTGGGCAACTTGCGTCTCCTTTGCAATCTGTGTGGGTGGGCTCTTGTGTCATGCAGCAGCTGCGGGCCATTTTGGACTTACCCCCTGTTGACCCCATTGAAGTTTTTGGTGAGTTTAAGATGCGCTTGTTGAATTGCTCCCGTGACATGTTTCCCAGTTTGGTGACCCCTCAGGTGCATGTTGATTGGACCCAGTTGACATATCCCGATGGTACCACTGTTCGGGTGCAAGTTCAAGCTGAAACCACAGTCATTGAGCTTTTCCAAGCTGAGTTGGCACTCTCTCAGGAAGCCACGACAGACCACTGGATTGATGCTGCGACAGGTATGCCGTTGGATTACTACACCAAGGTTTCCGGCTTGAACATTCTTGTCCAAGGTAACCGTCACACTGTTGCGTCCTCTTCCACTGATCAGGTGTTGAATGCGGTGTCCTCAGTCCCTATTCCTTTGGATTTTGGGGAAGGGGGCACTGACTCATGGTGATGTCTTGCCTACCGCCATGGACTTGACTGAGCCTGATGATCTGCCTGTTGGTAGTCATGCTGCTGTTGGGTCCTCTGAAGTGTCCCCACCTCCGGTTGTTGGTCAGCCCAAGCAGGTTGAGTTGCCTGCGTTGGATGAGCCTGTCATGGATACTTTGCTTGGTCTTAGGCACCTCACTGGGGTCCAGTTGGCCGCTTTGATCCCTCCTCTGGTCTCTGAAATCCAGTCTTGTACTATGTACCGTCTTGCTGTCGTGCCGGCCCAGTCAAGACTGGCCATCCTTGCCAATGAAGGACATGCCATGGGTGACGATGAGATTGCTCTTCACTTGCGTGCTTGTGTGAAACTTAGTCGCCGTGATGATGTGCAGTTTCTTGACCCTCTTCTTGCTGGTGGATGGTTGCAGACCGGTTCTGCTGAGAAAGTCCGGGAATGGATTCAACAGTTTCCGTCCGTGTCTTGCGTGGTCACTGCCGTCCATGTCCAAGGTCACTGGATGCCTGTTGTTTGGTCAGCTGGACTTACCGAGGTTCAAGTTGCCATGTGGGAACATACCGATGTTGACATTGACTGCCTCAACCCCCTGCATGGATTGATTGCCCAAGCTTGGGGCAAGCCCAGGTTCGCGCTTGCCTGTACACGCAGATCATATGCACGGGGTCTTTGTGGTGCTGCTGTCATTTCTTTTGTTTCACACCGTCTTTTGGGTCATGATTTGCCAGCCTCAGAGTCTGCCTTGGAATCTTTGCATCAAGATCTGAAAGGGAGTTTTGCAGAAGCATGTCGGTCTGCTGTTGCATTGCCGAAACCGTGGTGTTGGGGTCTTGGTGTCCCTGATGTTCTTGGACTTACGTCTGAACTGTTGCAAAGCCATGGTGTCCCTCCTGGTCAGTCCATGCTGCGTGCCAAGCTTGTGGTCCAAGCGCTTGGTAAGACTGAGGTCCAGCAAGCACTGCACGGCGTCGCACCTTGGAAGACCTTGAAGAATCTTGCCAACATGCAAACCCCCCCCTTGCAGATGGTTTTACCTGATGAGCAAGCTCAGCAGGCAGCAAAAAGACCTGCAAGTAAGCAGAAGAAAGCACAGCCTGCCCCCAAGATTGTGCCCTCAAGGCCTGCAGAGTTAGATCCCTCCAAACTGTTGATTGAGCATGGTGCCTTTCGGGTTGGTGATGATGAGGCCTTGGGTCAGGTTTCCTTTGCTTCCATCGGACCGCTGGCTAGTGGTGTTGTGCTTGCGAGCTTTCAAGAGGCCCTTCCCTTCTTGCAGTCTGGTCAGTTGCTTACCAATCATGGCTTGGCTCTCTTGATCTTGAATGCCCCAGGCGATTTGCAGACGCAATTGACTTGGTCCACAATCCGATTTGCTGCTCGCTGTAGTGTCAATCAGGAGCCAATGCTTGTCTCTGGGGTTCTGGTTCAACTCGGTCGGTCCGCTGTTTACCAGTTCAAAGCCAAAGACACACCTGCTATCTCGTCCGTTGATGTGGCTTGTGCTCGTGTCACCGTCTTCCAAGACCAATGGGAAGGCAATTGGGAAGACTTTGCAGCCAAACCCGTCAAACAGGTCCTGTCTGTCTTGTCGTGTCTCCAGACGTGTCGCAATGGCCCTGACTGCAAATGCCCTGGCTGGCATCCAGATCCCAACAACAGCCATGATGCAGTGCTTGATGTTTTTCGCAGGCAATTTTTCAATGACTCTGGCCGTCCTGTCAAGTGGGACAAAGCATCTCACTTTGCCGTGCTGCTTAGGTATGCCAAGAGCCTGGAAACCCAGATTCTTTGCGCCAGTGGTCAACATGGAGTCTTCATCGATCCAAAGACAGAAGATGCACTGCGACCTCACGATGATTTCCAGGTAGTTTGGCTTCCACACATGGATTTCAGTGCTGTTGCGCATAAAGCCAAATGTGAAGTGGATAGCCTGGGCATTGCACGATCCGGCCGCCGTTTTGGCATTAGGGTCCATGTTAAGCATTTCCAAAGGATTTTCACCAGCACCAAGCCTGATGCTGTGTACCTTGCACCTGGCAGCCGCCTCACCTTTCACTGCGGCCCCTGGCCATTTGGCAGTGACAGGAAAAACATCGCCCGTATCCTCAAAGCCAGCGGATGGGAATGCAGGCCTTTACAACCCATCCAACATGTCCCTGGCGGTCTGATGTGGAGAATTCAGGCGGTTGTTGACCCTCCAACCAACGTGATGTCCATGCAACATGGCCAAATTGTCATCACCAGCCCTGCTGGTAAGCCTGGACCCTCTGAACCCGATGTGCAGGTTGTTGGCCATGCAAAGACTGTTGAGATGTGTCGCCCCGCTGAGCACTCCGGTAATGACCCATGGCTCACCAATGACCCGTGGTCAAAAGCAGTGCATGCAATGCCGGCTGCCCAGACGAGCTCGCCTGCTCCACATGTGTTGCATGAACTCGAACAAAGGCTTGAACAGACCTTGCTTGCCAAGCTGCCTGTGCCGGACCGCATGGAAGTTGATGACCAAGA